CTCTCTCTCTCTCTCTCTCTCTCTCTCTCTCTCTCTCTCTCTCTCTCTCTCTCTCTCTCTCTCTCTCTCTCTCTCTCTCTCTCTCTCTCTCTCTCTCTCTCTCTCTCTCTCTCTCTCTCTCTCTCTCACTTTGTCTCTCTCTTTATCTCTCTCCCCTTTCAATGTGATGTACCTGCCGTCCGTGATATGTATTCGCGAATTCTATGGCCTTACTGCTGCCTTGCAATTGTTTGGCGCGAATCTGCCAGGCTTGTCTCGACTGGCCTACGGGTGCTGCCTTTGGTGCTGCTGTTTGCTTGGCTTCCTTGAGTCTCAAGGTGTGGATGTTTTTATGTCCAGCTGCTTCTGCTGCCGCTAATAAGTGTCTGTATCTTGCGCCGCTTGCGGGGGCTGTAGGTACACTGGAGGCCTGCTGGCTGCGTCTGCAGCTGACGGGGTCGTGCGTCTTCTTTTTGACGCGAATTTTTCCGCGCGTTCAGAAGAAGAAGAGCAGTAGCAGTAGGAGGCTGCCTGCCTTGGGTATTTCGGCAGATCGCAGCCGCAGAGGGCAGCTGAGAGCTACCAGGCTGCCACTTACCTTTGCGTTTCTGCCAAACTCGCTGCACCGATTTGCTGGACAGTGGATAGCGCCGTGCGTCGGTAGCCTGCCAGAAATTCTCGGCTCGCCGAGTTCGCTTTTTTTTCTTGCATGCCTAAACCCCTAGACGCTTCCTTTCTGCCTCGCGAAGATTATCGTGTAAGGGCCCTTGTTTCGTGCGCTGGCGACTCGCTGCGGGCTCTGTCTTTCCCCGCTAGTTTCAAGGCTTTGATCCTTTGCGCTGACTGTAGCCTGTCACGTAGAGCCAGATGCTTCCGGTGGCAGCTTTCTTTTGGCAGTTGCGTGTTTGCGCGGCTGCCGCTCATTGGTCGGCAAGCTCTTACTTTAGGCTCCCTCCCCGCCTATCCATCGCCCTTGTGGAAACAAATGGGCTGTACCGGCACCTCTGCCTTGGGCAGTGTAGAAGCCTGCAGTTGCCCTGTCTATTGAGACTCCCTCCCTCCTTGTCACTGGCTGCAGCAACATGAAGGAAACACCATTCGGCTTTAGTGCCTGCTTCTTTAAAGGCTTCAATCCACCGCGTGTGTATTCTCCGCGGGAGCCGCAGGAGGTGGAAATTTGGAGGCATGGTCCTTCGAAGGCCACTGCACGCTCCCGCTGTGCAGCGAAAATGCAACACACGATGGCGCCTTGCTGCCTGAAGCCTTCGCCGCGGCTCCGCATCGGGGGGTTGCACAAAACGCTTACGGGGCAGACAGACACAGCTACTGCCCCTCCTGTCGCGAATGCCTCCTTCGCTCAGTTCAAGTGCGACGCCTCTAGCAGCTTTTGTAAGTAGCCCTCGGATGCCAAAGTGCCGGTCAGCATGTGTCCATATATATATATATATATATAAATACCTTCATGTATATATTAATAATTAATATTGGAGGTGCAACTGCGCAAGACACTCCTTGGTACCTTCGTATTTGGCGTGGATCAGCCTGTCACTAGCAGCTCGCATGAAGACCTATAGATGTATCTTGATCTGTGTCTCGATGTGGAAAATTCAAGTAGGCTAGGCCCCCCTTTTCACACACAGGAGGAGCAGCACGAAACGCATCCAACAGGGGCATGTACAGGGAGGCGGGATGGGGGGAGCGTGCCTCCAAAGCGATAGCTTTTACGCGCCTGGGTATATACATATATATATTATGTGCATTCATATTTACATATACACATAAGATCACTACAGTCTGCTGCATCCGTTTTGTCTGAAGCGGGCTAGCGGTGTTGGTCCGGGTAACGACTGTTTTGCCCGCGTAGTGGGGAAGACAGCACTTGCTAGCGGAGTGGATGTGCTCGGGCTGCAAGGCTTGAATCAGGCATTAAAGGAGCAGCTTTAGCAGGATTAAAAAAGAGGGCAAGCCGGCAGGCGCCCTCGCGAGAGCAGCCATTATCAGAACGCCGCCTCGAAGTCCTCGTCTGACTCTGCCGTGATGTCGGAAGTTTCCTCATCTCTTGCCCAATCAGAATCTCTGGGATCCTCTCCCTTTCGAATTCCGAACCTCCTGCGCTTCCGCCGACGACACGTCGGAGCAGAGGATTCTGCCTGGTGCAGCTGACGCCGTTTCTGCCAGCGTGGGCCCTTTCCTGCACCGCCCCCCCGCTGCTGCTGCACGTGCAGAGGTGCGGAGGCGAGGCGCTGCGCGTTGTCTTCCCAGAGACGCAACTCGCTCTCGAAGCAGACAGCTGCGTCCACCAGCTCCCGAATAAGGCGATCTCGCGTATCCTCCTGCGTGGGGGCAGCAGCCGCAGCAGCAGCTGCCGCGTCTGGAGCAGTTGAACTCGCCATGACAGCAGGATCGGTATCCAGAGCGACAATCGCAGCCCACAGGCTTCCGATCTTGGCGACAGCACGGCGCTGAGCTGCAGCTGCACTGTTGAAAAGGCTTTCCGCATTCGTCGCGTCATCGCCAAGTGCTCCGAGGAAACCAGCTGCACTGCTCTGCCAGGTTCGGCGCCGTGTAGCTGCTGCCATCCGCTTGCCTGAGGGTATTGCAGCAGCACATGCTGCTGCTGCTGCTGCTCGTGCTGCTGCTGCTGCACATCGGGAAGCCGCAACGGCCGTGCGCTTTGCGGATTCAGGAGCTGTCAGAATTTCTCCTCGCATCGGCGCTTCTTTGCAGCTCCTTTTTCCCCGGTTACTGCCGCTTCGAGGACTGGGCTGCTGCCGCTGCAATCCGCGAACGTGCTCCTGCTGCTCAGGGAATGCGCGACTTCCACTTCCTGCTAAATCGCCCGTGTCACTGGCACTGCTATCCAGCTCTTCGCGCGCAGCAGCAGCTGCCGATCCTGCGGAGTCGCTCTCCCCACCAGGCCTGTCGCTCACGCGGAAGCCTCGCAAAAGGGCAGCCCTCAACTGCGACGCAAAATATCCGCAGAAAGCAGCAGTCAGCGCAGCAACTTGCTGCTGGTGCTGCTGCTGGGCTGCATGCAGCAGCGCGTCGACTGCAGAGCCGCAGTCCACTGCAACCCCTCGCAGCGCTGCGGCTGCCGCTGCTGCTTCGGTAGGCCTCTTGATCGAGGCGAGCAGCACGTCTGCAGCAAGCCGCAGATGCAGCAGCGCTGCAAAGGCTGCTGGCAGCAGAGGCAGCAAGTGTGGCGAGGTTCGAGATAGCCACGGCGTCACAGCCGCGTCTGTGGCAATGCCAGCAAGCGAAGGGGGGAGGCCATCGATCCAGGCAGAAATGCATGCAGCCGTCGCCGCTGCGTCTGCTCCACTAGCTGCCGCATGCACTGCCCCCGAGCAAGAAGGCGGAAGACGCGCAGCCAGGCACGACAGGCCGTCTACGCTGATCAAGCGCCGCAGCGTTGCCACTATCCCGAGGTGCAACTCAGCGAAGGGAGACTGCGTAGCACACATCCAGGCAAAACAAAGTACAGAAAAAACGGATCTGCCCCTTGCCACGCACCGCCGCAGGTGTCCCTTGCAACAAAGAGCCAATAAAAAACCTCATCAATGTCGCTGGCAATACTGCAACAGCAGCACTGGCAGCAGCAAGAGCAGCATTGGCAGCAGCAACAGCAGCATTGGCAGCAGCAACAGCAGCATTGGCAGCAGCAACAGCAGCATTGGCAGCAGCAACATTGGCAGCAGCATATATATATATATATATTTATTTATTTATATACCCGTCGGGATGCCTTAGAGACACGCGTAAAAAGAGAAACGAAGGCTGTCACGGCTGCCGAGTCTGACTGCTCGAATGGCGCAAGCCTCAACGCGGCAAGTGGAGCTGTGCCCTCTTCTTGGAGCTGCAGGAGGTTGGGACTGCCGCTGCCGCATGTCGCATGCGCATGCGCCTCTCCTGCGTATGTGCTAGCTGCAACTCCGCGGTGTAAACACATCAGCGCTGCGCTGTCAAGGCATTCTTGCAGCCGGCCTGCAGCGGAGGGGGCAGCAGCGCTGCCGCTGAGAGTTTCTTTCAGCAGCAGAGAAGCAGCACGCGCCACCGTTTTGCTGCTGGAAAACAGGAGAGCAGCTGTCTGCGGCAGCATTTCGCTGTGATACACGAGACCCAGCCTGCAGAGCCAATAGCAGTCAGACGCAGAGACGCATGCGTGTGGCGGCTGCTGCAGCTGCTGCTAACGGGTGCATGCATGCGTTCCGTGATGCCTACGACTTGCTGCTGCCGCGGCAGTGTGCAAAAGCAGCGCCAGGAAGCGGCCTTACTGCTGCAACGTCCTCGTGAGAAGGAGGATGAGGGTAGCCGTGGTGCAGCTAACAGACGCCCACGCTGCCTGACGCCTCTGCCCCTGCAGCTGCTGCCTGGGAATGAGCACTTCCAGCAACGGTCCAACTTGTAATGCCAGTCCATGCAAGGCATCACACACACTAGACTGCGCCCCTGTTGCACTTGCAGTTGTGGCTGCACTTGCGTTCGCATTCGCAGTTGTAGCTGCTCCCGTTCCTGCCGCTTCGGTTGGTGCAGCCCAGGGAGTTCTTTCTTCGGAGGCTTTGCGGCGGCTTGGAGGCGTCTTATCTCGCGACAGCTGCTGATCCTCGTGTGCCTTCCGGTGGGGAAAAGGCCGCTGTAGGGAAGCGCTGGCGCTCGCGAAGCTGCGACGTCGACCAACGGTAGCCGCTTCCGCAGGGGCAGTAACGGCCGCTGCATGTCTTGCATCTGCAGATGATGCGTCCTCTCTTTGCAGCGCCTTGACGAGTCCATACAGCGCTTGAAGGGCAGCAGGCAAGTCTGTCGTGTCTACTCGCCCCACAGTCTTGTACGCCCTTCGCGGCTCGACTCTGGGCAGCTGGCTCGGACCTGCGGCAGTCGCGGCTGCTATTGCGGCAGTCAGACGCGCCGCTAGTCGGGGACTGCCAAGGAAGGAAGGAGCTGCCTGCAAGAAACAGCAAATGGACTGCCATGCCACAGCCGTCATTGCCCCTTTCTCTTGCAGCAGCGCCAACACGTCGCACAGCAAATGGAAGACACAGTGCTCGATGTCGAAGGTCTCCTTTGCGGCTGCGGCGGCTGCGGCAGCCGCAGCCGCGGATCTGCTATCCGTTGCATGCGCAGCCACACGCTGCATCAGCGAGGCGACGCAGGCCGTTGGCAGCAGTGCATCTCCGTCTACAGCAGCCGACCCTACACGTGCAAGCAAACACCAGCAGAGGCGGAAACAACGCAGTGAAAAAAGGCCACCCCACACAGGACAGACGTAAACAGGAGCAACAAAGAGCACCCTTCATCGATCCGCACACACAGACACATGTAGCACAGCACAGACACACATGGCACGACTAAAATCACCGGTGCAGCTCCAGTGGAAGGACGCTCCGTGAGAGGCACAAAGCTTCGCCTCACCCCTGGACGAAGTCAGCGTCGTTGGCGAAAGCTTCGGCTGCAGCGCGACTGCAGGAAAGGCAGACGCATGCTGCGGCTCTGCAGCCGCTGCTGCACCCCCCTGAGGCACCCTGTGCATGCGCAGGCCCGCAGCAAGACACGCAACTGCCCACGAAGCGAACTGAAGCGCTTGCAGCATCGAGACAAGGGGGGTCTTCTCAGCCTCGTGTTGCAGTTCACCGCGCTGCGAGGGATGATGGCGGTGCTGCTCCTGGTGCTGCAACTCGTGAATGCGATCCTTCATGGAATAGATGAGGGCCAGACTGACGGCGAACAAATCGAGAAGGCTATCACGCACGTCTTCCTGCTGCAGCTGTACAGACACTTGGCACAGCAGGCGGGTGCCTGCCTGCAGCAGCAGTGGGTCTGTCTCGAGGAGGACAAGCACAGCAGGCACGCACTGCAGCATCTCCTGCTGCATGGATTCGGAAGCGTTTCGGATGTGGTTGGCAGCAGCAGCGAGCAGTTCGATCTCCCCCAGGAGGCACGGACTGCTACTGCTGCTGCTGCTACTGCTGCTGCTGCTGGCGCTACTGCTGCTGCTGCTGCCGCTGTAGCAGCCGCCTTGCTGCAGCAGACTGGCGTGATTCCGGAGCATAACAGCGACATGGGGGACGAACTGCATGAGCCCACGTGGGCAGAAAGCCCCTAACTCCTCGGCTAGCTGCAACAAGGCGCTTCCTGGAGCGGCAGGCTTTAGCAGTGCATCGCCTTCCTGCTGCTGCCCCTTCCGTTGATCCTCTGTTTCCCCGAAGCAGCACTTCAGATACTCGTTGAGACACGCTTCCAGCAGCGTGGCTGCGAGGTCTTGTAGCGTCCGCTGCTGCAGCGCCTGCTGCTGCGACTGCAGCAAGTAGTGCACTCGCGGCAGCAGCAGCGGCACGAGTGAAGTCTCGAGGTGCTCCCTTGCCACTGCACATAATCCTGCAAGCAGTCGGACTGCCCTTCGCAAATTCAATGCGCTGAACGCACTGCATGCGCCTCGCGCTCGGGCAGCAGCAGAAGCAGCAAGAGGGGAGTTGCTGCAGTTCTCTGAGGACCTCCTGCCGGGGTGAGGAGGAGGTGTCTGCACGCGTGCAGCTACGCCTTCGTCGACGTCAGTATTAGGGGGCGCTTCTGCGTCGTGAGACTTGTTCACGAGGCAGGAGACAACGTCTGCAGCCAGAGCACCCGTTACAAAGGTCTTAGTTGCAGCGTGATCTGGTGTCGCACCAAGCGCCTCTATGAGAAGACTGCGGCAGCAGCGAGCTGTTTCCCCCAGAGGAGCAGCCGCTGCACAGCTGCGCGCAACCCGCAGCGCCTGTTGTCGCACCAAGGGAGCTGCATCCGACAGCACTGCATGTCGCAAGAAACGCAGCAAGCCGCCGACGCCTTCCAGCCAAGAAGCAAGCGCTGCTGCTGCTTCCGGCTGCTGCTGCACAGGCGCCTCGTGCTGATTGCCCTCTCTCCCCTGCAAGCCGCTGCAGGAGTCTCCAGCTGCTCCTTCCACTGCCGCTACTGTTGCTCTTGTTGCTGCTTTCTGCTGCTGCTGCAGCGCCGTGTCTAGCAATGCCAAAGCACGTTCGCGAACGCAGGGGGCAGAGTCTACAAGAGCCTGCGGCAGGAGGATCGAGATGCCATTGCCGCTGCTCAGTTGCAGCAATGAAGCTCTGCGCGTTGCGCATGCATGCAACACCCCAAGGGCTGCCCGCCTGCACCGCAGAAACAAATCACGAGCTGTTCGTCGAGCTGCAGCAAATGCGCTATCAGCGCGAGAAGCAAGGAGTTCAGACCAGCGCTGTGAGATGTCACCGTGCAGACTTTCGCCGCGCATGCAGCTGCACAGAAAGCCCCAAGAAATTACCTCACGGAAGCCCGCAAATCTCCCGACGCCACCTGCACGGCATGCAACAGCAACTCGCCAATCTGCTGCAACGCCGAGAGAGCAAAGGACCGCCATACAGTCATCACCAGCTTGTGCTGCTGCTGCTGCTGCTGCAGGAGGGAAGGGAGAAGCTCCTCTTGCCATGGTACGCTCAGATCGCTACCCATAACACCTGCAGCCGCACTGGCAATGCTCAGAGGGGTAATCAAACCAGCTGAGCCCGTCGCTGCAGCTTCCCACTCCAGATCTGTCACAACCTCCAACATGTCGCTGCTGGTGCTCCTGCTCGCATTGCTGCTGCTCCTGCTTGCATGGCTGCTGCTGCTCCTGCTTGCACTGCTGGTACCAGCGCCTCCAAGCAACCGCAAGAGACACGCCATCGCTGCTCGGCTGTGGAGAAGGAGCAAGCGTCCATGAGAGAGGCGCATCATGTCTGCTGCTGCAGCAGCAGCAGCTGAGCAAGTCACCTTGCAAGCCTCACCTCTATCGCGCCGTGCGTTGTTGCTGCGCTGCTCGACAGCCAGCTGTGCTGCAAGAGGCCCTCTGCTCGCGTCGGCTTGCATAAGGAGGAGACAGTGGGAGATGAGCGGCTCGTCTAAGACGTAGAGAAGCAGGGAACTATCGCCTGCGCAGCTCGCCGCTGCGACTGCCCCTGCTGCCATGGTAGGGGGGGGCAGAGCTGTTGCAGCCGAAAGCCATGCGGATGGCTTCATTCTGTCAAAAGCCTCTCCAAGGCACAGCGCAACTGTCCGTCGCAGTTCACAGCCTGCACAAATCCACGTTGTTGCTGCTGATGCTGATTTTGCTGCTGATGCTGATATTGCTGCTGATGCTGATATTGCTGCTGATGCTGATATTGCTGCTGATGCTGATGTTGCTGCTGATGTTGTTTTTGCTGCTGTTTTTGCCGCTTCGTGCAAATGCCTCAGCGTTTGAGGGCCGCACTTGGTGCTAAGCCCCTTGGACGTCGCGCAGTCGCAGCAGCAAATCTCCGGCTGTTGTTGTGTGCATGCAGCAGTTGGAGTCGCTTGAGGCATTTTCTGGAGAGCAGACGCATCAGCCGCCGAGCGCTGCTTAGCTCGCACCCCCCCTCGCTGCTGCTCTGCTTGCCGACAGCGATTACGACATCGTGGGGGGGGCACACTGCCCGCTGCTGCCGAATCGGACTGCAGGCTACTTAGCGGTTCTGTCTCCAGCTGTTGCATCTGCCGCAGTCGCAGCGGAAATAGCGGCGGCAGCTCTGGCATAGCCTCTGCAAAGACTGCAGGCACAACTTCCGAGAGCAGAGACAGCAGGACTGTCTGCTGATGCTGATGCATGCCGTCCGAAGCAGCAGACGCATCCTTTCCCAACAAGCGAGCCAACATCGCCAAACCACAAGCGCGAAGCAGCAGGAGAGAAGCAGGCAACGCCGGTGACAGAGTGAGCTGCGGATGACACACAACAGAAGCAGACTCATGTAGCTTCCCATATTCCTCCCACGAATTTGCAGGTACACTCTCTTTCTCCCTTTTTCTTCTCTTTCTTTCTTTTTCTCTCTCTCACTCTCTTTCTTTCTCCCTCAATCTATACCTTCCCTCTCTGTCTCTCTGTCCTCTCTCTCTCTCTCTCTTTCTTTCTCCCTCAATCTATACCTTTCCCTCTCTTTCTTTCTTTTTCTCTCTTTCGCTCTCTTTCTTTCTCCCTCAATCTATACCTTTCCCTCTCTGTCTTTCTTTCTTTCTTTTTCTCTCTCTCACTCTCTTTCTCTCTCCCTCAATCTATACCTTTCCCTCTCTGTCTTTCTGTCCTTCTTTTTCTCTCTCTCACTCTCTTTTTTTCTCCCTCAATCTATACCTTTCCCTCTCTCTCTCTATATATATAATTTCCTCCTTCTGCAGCCGTGAAGCATGGAGTGCAAGGGCAGCAACACCAAGGATTACACGCAGGCAACAGCCAGCGAGACTTACTCGCGCGAGATCGGCGATAATCCGCCGCACCGCACGTACGCAGCCTGCAGAAGGCCGCGTGGCGGAAAGCAGCACGAGCTGTTGCTGCTGCTGCTGTTGCTGCTGCTGCTGTTGCTGCTTACAGTGCAGCTCTTCGCCAAGTGCAATGGAGAGTAGCTGGCGAGCGATTTTCTTGGCTGCCGTGGACGCGGCAGCCGCTGCTGCAGCTACGCCGTGTGGCTGCTGTTTCTGCTGTTTCTCAGGAGGCTCTAAGTGTGGGGCTGTGTCGGGTGCCTCATACAGGTGTCTGTACACCGCGCCTGGCAGGCACATGGCTTGCAGCAGCCGCGGCAGCAGCAGAGCCAGAGGATGCATGCCAGCTGACGCGACAGCTTCCGCAGTGCAGAGAGGCTGCCGTCCCACAGCCTCTCCACCGTCGTGCTCAGTCGCTGCAGCCGCAGCGGCAGCAACCGCCCCTGCATGTCGGCTGCCTCCCCGCTGCACGCATGCGTCGCCACTGGCTGGTGACGCCAAGGAGTGCTGCAGCAGTCCCTCAATCACGCAGTCGTGAAGCTGCGGGACGAACTGAAACAGCTGCACCACACACCCCGCCCACAGCAGCAGCACACCGCCACACAGCAGTCCGATCGCAAACGCAAGAATTGACATAGGCAGACCAGCTGCACCCTACCTGCGATGAAAAGCCTCGCAGCTCGAGCAACACGCCAGATGCAGGAGGAGGGGGCAAGATGCCTCCGGCAGAAAACAGCCACAAGCCACCGTCCGGGAGCAGTTTGATCGTTTCAGATCGAAAAAAAAAAACGAGGCCTCACCAGCAGCAACAGATCTTCTGCCGAACGCCAGAGCAGCACGCATGCAGTCGCCTGTGCAGGCAAGGCTCGTACAGCCGAAATATAACACAGTCCAGCAGCAATGAGATGGAGATCTTCTAAACTAAAGAGCGCGGGTTTCTGAAATGCCACGGCAGCACTCCACAGACAGCGCAGTCCCTCAAGGAAGCGCTGCATCGCAGAAGCAGCAACTGCTGCTGCTGCTGCTCTTGCGGCAACGCTGCCACGCGCCTGCTTCTCCTCGACCCCACAATCTGCAGGCAGCAGCAACGCAGCAACACACGAGGCAGCTGCAAATCCCCACACCGCCAACGCATGCCACAGCCAAGGCAGCAGCACAACTCGCTGCTGCTTCTGACGCTGCCGACAGTCGTTAGTGGGAGGAGAGGGGAAGGGAAGAAGGGGGGTTCTTTTTGGCTACTATGGGTTTTCCGAGTAGGAACACTCAGCAAAGACAGCACCACCAGCATGCGCGCTGCAACAAGCGCGGGAAAAAGTCAACTCCCTTTGGAATTTCACACCTCGCAGCACAACAACGAGCCACTGGCAAAAGAAGAATCAATATACTGACCAAGCTGCTGAGATAGCAGGGGGACGAGCGTGTCTCTGCAGTGGCGCTTAACGCAGGCAGCTACTGTCGACGTCCAAGAGGCGTCACCGCCCTGCTGCCGCTGCTGAAACTGCTGCTGCTGAAACTGCTGAGGCTGCTGAAGCTGCTGCTGAAACTGCTGAGACTGCTGAAGCTCTATATCAGAAGCCGTATCCACTCCTAGCGTTATAAGGGCAGCCTCCACGTAAAGGGCTACGGCAGCGCAGCCGCACAGCGCAGCGAAAACGTCAACGCTGTGTCTGCTGCTGTCGGTGTGGCTGCTGCTCCTCCTATTGCTGGTGCTGCTTCTCCTCCTATTGCTGGTGCTGCATGCATGGACAAACAAAACGCCGCAGAAGCCATGCTGCACGGCAATTTCAAGTCACACAGCAGCATGCACAGGCAAGCCTCGCTCGCTGCAGCAATCACACAGGCGGCCTTATTGCATGCGCGCTGGAAAGCGGTTGCTCACCTTAGGGGCTTTAGAGGCGGCAGGGAGCGTCTACCGCGTTTGTCTTGGAGCTCGGGAGTTTTCATGGCCAAGACGAGCAACTGCTGCGGTGTCTGCGGCTGTTGTGTCTGCTGTTGCTGCTCCTTCTGCTGATGCAGTGTCTGCTGCTGCTGCTCGAAGCTCCAGGCAAGCAGCTGGTGTAGACGCGCCGTGGTCGCACTGCGCGTGCTAAGAAGAGCACTCACTGTTTCGCTGTAACCGTCACTTATCTGCAACAGGCAGCAGTTCTGCTGCTGCTGCTGCAGACGCAGCTGCTCCAACAGCGGCTGCGTCGCTGACAGCCTTCCAACGACTGCCGCAGAATCGTCGGCGGAAGGAGGTGTGAGGTCTGCAGCACGATGAGACCACTGCCTTAGAAGCGCAACCAGCTGCTGCATCTGCTGCTCGTCTGAATCAAACACTGCGGATGCAAGCTCACCGCTGCTGCCCTCTCCTTTGGCCTTGTTGCCAGCCGCTGCTGCTTCTGCTGCTCTGTTTGATGCTGCTGCGTTCCTCGCCTCCTGGGCAAGACGTGGCGCTACATCCTCTAAGGGCTCCTCTATGCCGTCATCTGCGTTTGCCACCACTGCAGCAGCAGCAGTAGCAACAAGTGGTGCGTCTCCATGGCCTCTTTCGTGTGGATGCAATTTCTTGCGTTGCTGGCTCTGGAGCCGTTGACAACCCTGCCGTCGCTGTTGCTGTTGCGGATATCTGTTCTCCTCATCATCGTCACTGCTATTACTGCTGCTGCTGCTATTATTACCGTTGCCTTTTTTCTTTTCGGTGGCTTTGCTTTCGCTGCGGCCAAGACACTCGACTGTCTGAGATCGCCCCTGCAATCGGCTGCTGCGCCTGCACCACTCCTGCGGAGGAGCTTCTGCCTCCGTCACTGCTGCTGGCGTTGCTGCCGCTAGCTCCGGCATAGTTCTGTGGCTATAAGGGGCCACTCTTCGTCTGCATTTCTTGGCAGGGAGGTGCTGCTTCTGATGCAGTTTGCGCGTCGTTCTGCAGCCTTGCTGCCGAGCTGTCTTGTCGGAGCAGACGTGGTTCTTCTTCTCAAGAACTGTCTCCTGCGGAGGGTGCTGGGGAGACGACTCCTGCTCTAAGCCCTTAACAGGGGTGTGGCGAGGAGCAGGCTGCACAGTCGCATGCATTTCCGCAGCAGCAACTACGCGCTGCGCCTGGCAGGAGGCCTCCTCGCTGTCTGCTGCTTCTGCTGCTGTCGCTAGCTGCGTTGCTCCGAGCTGCTCTCCCTCCTGCCCACCACAAGAGAAGTCTCCCTCATAGCACTGCTGCTGCGTGCGGGGAGGGCTGAGTGCCTGCTCCTGCAGAAACTGCGCCTGTGGGCATTTCTGCCGCTGCACCTGGCGCTTCACAAGGGACGTCAGCCTGCAGCGCTCTCTCTCGACCGCTGCGATCTGGTAATGCAGCAACGACTGCTCCTCGCGGATCTCCCTGCTGGCAGCTGCAAGCAACTTGGCGTAGACCTCTGAAGGTAGCAGAAGATGCTGCGTCGACTGGTGCGTCAGTTGTTGGCGCTGCTGCTTCTCGAGGAGCGCACTGAGCAGACGCTGCGGAAGCGGCCGCTGGTGAAGGTGCTGCTGCTGCAGCAGCTTCAACACGACTCCAGGATGAGTCTCGAGCAGCTGCATCAACTGCGAACTTTCCAGCAGTATCTGCCTTGTCGGCGGCTGCTGGTATAACAGCATGACCAACTGCTGCACATGCTGCAACTGCAACTTTTGCTCCTGCAACTGCCGTGCACCCCATGACATAATGGCAAGCGCGCTTAATTGCTGAACAGCAGGTTCTACCTGATTCTCTGCCTGCAGCTCTGTGAAGGAAGCAGCATCACCCCACAGCCCCTCCGCTGGAGGTGTACCTGCTGCAGCTGAGGCTTCGGCAGCAGCTCCCGAAACGGCAGGAAGTAGAGCAGAAGCTACCGCTGCAAGGTACGACGCTGCGTGCTGCTTCGCGATGCGCGAGGCTTCCGAGGGAGCAACAACACACCCTGCTGAATCTTGTGTAGAGCTTTCTCTGCCCTTGTTTGCTGCCTGTTTGAAAGAATCAGGGGCACCCGGCAACGCTGTCGCTGTTGCCAAGGATGTTAGTGTTTCAGAGGCAGCGAACCCCTGAAGCAGCAGCTGCCGCTGTACCAAGTGCAAGGCGAGATCCACTTGCTGCTGGCAACCGATGTTGCGGAGCTGCAATTGTAGAAACTGCTGCTCTCGGAGGCGCTGCTGCTCTACATGCTGCTGTTGCCTCTTCGTGGCTAGGTTCCCGTCATGCTGACTCCCTGGTGACTGTACACTTGCAGCTACAGTGGACCAACACTGGGGAGGCAGCTGCAGCTGCTGCCCCGGCTGGTGCTGTACGGACTGCTCATGATGCTTCTGCTTCAAGGTGTCCGCCCTTGTTTCCTGCTGCATCTCTTGGAGCTGGGAAAGAGCCAGTTGAGGTAAAGAATCGGATTTCTTATGCTCGTTGGGTGGCTGCTGCTCCTGCTGTTGCTGCAAGTGAAGCGCATGCTGCAGCTGTTGATAGTGTGGTTCAACTTCCTGCGAAGGGATGACGGGCTGAAAGAGCAGGTCATGCTTCAGCCGCTGCAGCAGCCGCAGGCGCTGCTGCAGCTGCTGCAGCGGAGCGCGCTGCCTTTCGTGATTCTTCATGACATCCGGAAAGAAAAAAAAGGGTGAACGAGCCCTTACGGACACTAGAGGTGCTCTGGAATTCCTTGGGGTTTGTGCAGAACCTGAAGGACCCGAGGGTGTGGTGCGTCATCGGAGAGGCCACAAAGCCTCTGGAATCAAGCAAAGTAGCTGAGTAAAAGACACAAAGCGTTGCTAACAGAAGGTAGAGCTGCCCTCATCCCCGAGGAGGTCACTTCGGGGTAGAACTATGGCTGCTGGACGCTGCACACAAATGAAGACGCCAAATAGGACAAGACAGGAGTGTGGACTAGAACTTTATCTATACAATACTGAAATAATGAAATAAGCAACACTCGAGGAACACACAGCCACAACCCACTTTAGGCCCCAGTACACAACCCCTCTGTAACACCCACCCACCACTCCTTGGCGCCAGTGGGCTAAGAGGGCCGGTGCGCATGTCCCAGTCCCCCGGATTCTATTCACTACCTGATGCCGTTTGCCATAATTTCATTTCTCCCGCAGTTTGAGCGTTCCATAGCGACCCTCCACGAGGGCTACAACAGGCGCCTTTGGGCGAACACTAGAGAGCCAGGACTATGGAGCTGCATCCAGGAAAACGAAGCGCTGATGAAGGGTGGAGCTCTCAAAGAGAGTGAGGAGGTCGTAAACAAACAATGCATGGAAGGTCCCTTAAAACAACAGAACCTGCATGCAGACACACTTGAGACAAGGACGGTCCTTACCCCATGAAGGCTGTAGATCCCAATCCTACTAGATCAAGCCTATGGAAAGCTGTCGCATAAACCGCTTCTGCTGCTTCCCCCATAGGTCTCTCTATTTGGGCCTGCGGCCGTGAAGCATGCACCAAAATTCATGATGGCCGTGCATGAACGTGGACTGGCTGCAAGGTAGATATGTGCATTATGAAAGTATGCGAAGGACGGATGCACAATACAGATATGCTGTACTAATGCTAACAAGGGCACTAGTACGCCGCGCTCGTTATTAAAAAAATTTGGGGAGTAATTTGAAGCTTCACTGCAGGCTTGGCATCCGATGAAGCGGTGCAGCTAAGGCAGTACCCATGGGGCTTCCTAAAGCACGCTGGTTCTCACAAGCTCCTACATGCCAGCTGGCAAATGGGTAACGGATAACTCTGAAGGAAATCCTAAATCCCCACAGGTTTTCGTATGGCGATCGCTGCTGTTTCAACAGGCACTGGAGCCTGATGCTGGTGCCGCTGTTCAAAAGCACACAATGAGGGCAAGGCATGTGCACATCACCCGTGATGCTTTTTGTTAGCTTGCGCTGGTCTATTTATCCAGTATAGGCTGATATAGGTTGCATTGAGACTATATGAGAGAGCAATTTTACATTAAAAGCAGAATAGTAAGGCCGGCGTTGCGAGCTCAGCTACATGTAGACACTTTCCACTATAATAATTAGGTTTAATTGAGAACTGGTGAAGGTTTAACCGTATGGCCTGTGTCTTCTTGTATCATTTGTATTGCGGACTAGCGTGGACCCAAAACAATGAGAAACAACTTTGTATGCATGTGCACTATACTGTGCAGCTAGCTCTAAAATCACTGACTCCATAGAGGGTGCTACTACGCTTACTTTCGCTGTCTCGCTTCCTTCATGTTGGGATCCTAAGGGTCGCGGGCAGGGGAAGGGAGTAGCTCTTCTGGGACTGCTGAATAACAGTTTATTCTTTATATTGAGAATGGAGCGTAATTTCCCCTTGTGAAGACTTTGGATGGGGCATTACATATGAAACAACTTGTATGCTGGTTGTTCCTGCTAGAATAGTGTTCATTCATTTTCCCACCTAGATCTTTCACCTTGCTGGCGCAACGAGAGCAAGTGCGCCCACCCAGCAAAAGACGTAAACTGCTGCCTTGAGATTTACTTCCACAGCTTGTGAATATATTCGTGATTCAGTGAGGCGAAGAATTCTTATTTAGATACATCTCTGGCTCCTAACTTCGCACAGAGGCAGCACCAAGTGCACGTTACAACTCTCTCAGCCGGGAACACTACTTTCTAAGTGAAGGGGTTGAGCCACTGCAGTCAGGCTCTGAGAATCCTTTGGGTTTCGCCACCCCCTCCATGCAGTAGAAGGAATTTGCAGCCCCTACAGCATCAAGAACCATATTGTCTGTTGATCCATAACACCGATTACCCCTTTCCCCTGCTATAGAGACACTGGATGCCTCAAGGATTCAGGCTAAGATTTTTTGTCCGCAGTTTACCAGACGCAAGAAAAATTTCAGTATCTATTCAATTGGAGGCGAGACCCAACTGACCTCTCTGGGAACTGGGCATCGTAACGTGCCCCTCCCTGTTTCGTTTGCCCTTCTTTTTCCCCCCTTCTTCTTCCTTTCTGTATCTCTGACTCGGCACCTGAAGCTTCTCTTTGGTGCTTTCTCTGTACCACTCTGTAAGGTCGCGAGCGGCAGCAGGCCGCCTTTGTAATCTTTCACTTAGGTAGGGCTCGTCCTGAAGATTAGCCTATAGCTTGGTGGATGCCCGTGTTGTTAGTGACGCCTGCCTTTCCACATCACAGGGTGCGCAGGCAAAGGCGGAAGTAAGGAGGAAGATGCAGAAACGCGCTAGTGGTAAAGCAGTCATGAAGAAGCAGAAACGTCTTTTAATCACGTTCTCGTTGGTCCCGCTTTGCCCGGCACTTTATCCGATTCTATTCCGATTCCACGCCACAACCAGTGCCTGCCGCGCGTGTCAGGAAAAACTATCCGCAGAGAGAAAGAGCAATGGTTTGTGGTAAGCAGGGTAATGATCGAAATTGCTTATGCTTCTGCTGCTGCCACAGCTGCAGCGATACGCTCACGTATCATTTGGACTTACAAGTTTGATGCAGTGACGCCTCGTAAAATCTCCTCGTGAAGACTTCTGGTTCAGCTGGGGAGCCGTTGTACCCTATTCTACGAAAGATGTGACTCCATAAAACTCAGCTCTTTCCCTCGCTCTTTGAAATTTAAATGCTCTGTATATGCATCACTCCTCCAGCCACAAAAGGCAGGAGCGTGCTGTAGCTTCGTTTCCGGTGCTGCCGTTTCCCTGGGGCGGACCGCCGGACACTCTCCAGTCCGCTAACACATGCTGATTTCCAACAAGTTTGTTTGTGCGCTCACAGTGACACACTGTGCTCTTGTGAAGGTTGGATTTAATTCCTACTTCTTTCCATCCATCCACTCTTACTCAGCATTAGATCATGGAAGGTATAATCTCCTGCAGTTCAGTGCCAAGCTGATAATGTTTGTTTTGATTCCTAGAATGATTGTATGTGGCTCTACGAAACAGTACGATTCTGGGGTTCTAGAACTGGCTACATCGATTTCGATATTGGCTATTTTAGGACGTTCTATTTTCGTTGTGAACATCTTTGCTTGCCATCTGTCGCCACACACCACCTGCATGGCTTGGTTTAGCCTGGTGAAGCGTTGTTCTTTCTGTACGCCGCAGATGGAAGACTGACCTTCTGGCTTACGTGTTCTTTCTGATAAACATTATAGTTGCAAAATACTTTAGATACGCGGACTCAGCAAACCCTTCTAAACTCCCGCAAAGTTGGTCCCTTGTCACCCCTTTGCTAGCTTAAACCCTTCAGTTCTGCTTTCAATACAGACGGCTTTGTAGGTATATTAAAGCCTCTTTTTTGGTTGGGTAGGGACACCTAAATGAGTATACGAGCTTCTCTTTTATAAGGCAAAGGAAGGAAGCAACCCTTACACATAAGGTCCATAAAGGCCCCATGCTGAACGTTTCTATGCAATACACCGTCCCCCTGAGAGAGGCTTTACACGATTCGGTGCACGCCAAGCGCTAAAACCATCCGCCGTGGAGGTAGTGCAAAGCACAGAGTATCCGCACATACTGTTTCCTTGCCATCACATTCCAGGCTGTCCTTGCGGCTACCCCAGGACGCCATCTGAATGCTTTCTATCAAAAAAATCTGAATGCGCGAGCTTTTCTCCACCGAAAAGATGCCACCGGAGAATCTAGAACAGCTTCGTGGCTGAAATATCCTCCTTGCCTACAGTACGTATTCTTCACTGGCCTAGGAGTGATTGTTTAGAATTGCAGCGGCTCAGGCACCAGTCATTACTGCGAATTGTGCCTGAAGGGTGCGAGCTCACAGGTAAAGCAGCTCTTGCTCCACAAACCAGTTTCGCGGCTCGCAAAACTTGCAGGTAGCGCTAGCAACCCATCGTTTTGACTGTAGCAGTCTCCGGAGGCACACAGCTAGAAGATAGTGAGCCCCAATGCATTCAACCACTGGGTAAAGGGGAGAAATAGCAAAGCTCCGAAGAAGTAATAAGAATGTTCTGTAGGGTCGTGACCTAAAGGGAACAAAGACAGCTGGGGTGCATTGAGGTGTAGGGTCGTGGACTCAGCTACAAGTAAACACTATCTAATATGCTACAAACTTTAGAAGTAAGAGTTGGCGAAGAACGGGCCAGCATGCTTTGTCTGTTCGTTTATCTGGCTTATTGCAGAGCACTGCTCGCTCGATACAATAAGACGCACAGTTGTGTGCGTGCACAATGTTCGTTGCGTGCAACTAGCTCTGAGTGCGCGACATCTTTTCAGGGTAAGGCTATGCATACCGTGGCTCTTACTCTCTCCTCATGTAGGAATCCTGAGGATCGAGGGCAGGGCACGGTTTGCCTCTACGTAGACCGTAGATGTGGAGTTCTACGTGCAGCCTTTGAGCACTCTAGACAATTGCGCGCGTTCGTGAATACGCAACTAAGTGGGTTTGCACTGACCCCTGAAGGTATGTTTTCCTCAGTGAAGTCTGGACGAAAGGGAAAGGATAAGGCGAACAGCCAGAGCGTAGCAAGGAGCTGCTTAAGTAGTGTACCGATGGATCTCCTATAAAGCAAAGATCCGAATGATTGATCACGCTAAAATCCAATTTACACAGGTCATTGACCAAGTGCCTTCACCGTGCAGACTCGAATTCCCACAGGCAACCGCCGGAGAGAGCCACATAGAAATGGAAAAGACCTGGGTGGCTCTTGACCCGTTACATTAGGAGGAGAAAAAGTCCGTGGGAGCCGATTTACTGAGTATGATACATCGAGCTCACGAATGTTTGTGTTTACGAGAAAGCGTGAAGAAGACCAGCCCCGAGTAACGGAGGAACGCATGCAACGCGTGGTGTACGTGCTATGAAACTTCCACTGTCTCCTACGTACCCCTTAATGGGTATTTGAATCCAAAAGCACTGGGTTCAGACATACGGATTTCGCAGCACAGAGTAAACAGCAGGCTATTCTTGGAAGCGGCCCATCCATTGACGACCCCAGAGGTTCAAAAACACTATCCACCTGCATGCCCAGGCCGTTCTACTCGGCAGTCCCATCTCCGTTCTAAGCGCTTCTGCCCTTGTCACGTGAGCTGCGCCTCCGTGCATTTTATATTCGACAACCGAGCGGTGATGCTCCAGTAAGGACTATTTCAACTAAGGGCCATCCTGGTACGGCGCCTGGCTCTGGAGAGAGCCCTTTGCCCCTCCCCTGCGCTATGCGAGCTTAAAGAGCTAAATTACCATTTATTTCATAGGCCTCAGCTACGGAGAGGGAAGAGAATCGAGCATTTCCGCAAAAACGCCATGGCGGGGTTGGAGGCCACTTTGAGTGCCTGTGGTCGTTGGAGACAGAGGGGCTCCCGAGGACCCCCCGTGCTCCGCTTTTTCTCAGGTTTGCCGAAGCAGCCTCTATCAACAAGAGGAAGAAAAGCCATGCAGGCGCCGCGGCAGCACACGTTTCCGCTGCAGCAGCAGCAGCAGCAACTAAGAAGCACGGGGTTGCCTGCCCATTCGACGCCTCTGCACAGGCTTTGGTTCGAAACTGCATCGCGCGCTCGATACAGCTCAAGTGTAGCTCCGGCAGCAGGCGCAGTGGAAGAGACTTCAGCAGCAGCAACGGCCGCAGAGGTCCCCCCGACAGAAGCTTCAGGAGCACCAACGGAAGCAGATCCCCCGTATACGTTCAAATCCGCCGCGCACAGAGACATGGTCGTCCTAATGACGCGGTTACACCTTCAGGATTTGCTGCTACAGCGTTTTGGGCGCCTGCGAACGGCAGAGTGCGAGCTGTTGCGCAAAGTCACAGGCACTCCCCGGCTGCTACTGCTGTGGGCAGAGTTGCTGGTGCAGGAGAACCCCGCGAATCCACCAGCCAACGCCTACTTTGTTCCTCCTCAGCTGTACGCCCTCCCAGAAGTCAAGGTAAGCCTTGGAAGGGGGCGTAACAAAATAGTCGCGTTCCCAGCACAAGCGGCAGGGACTAGCCCGTCTGCAGGTGGAGAACTGTCCGTTGCTCCTCACAGTATTTCGAGTTGCCTTGTGCCGATGTTGTTCGCACAGGCTTTGCTGCGAAAAGACAAGGCTTTGCGGTGGTTGATGCAACGTATTGATCCAAAGGGGCGAGGAGGGCCGTGTGACGCTACTAAGGACTGTGTCCCCTCCCCGCATTTCCCCTCTGTACTCTTACAGCAGGTTCCACAGTTCCCCTACGAACCACAGCAATTGGAGATGATGAGAGACTCGTATGGCTTGCTCAAGTGGCCCTTCAAGCCGGTGAAGGGAGCAGCAGAGGCAGCAGCTGCTGCTGCTGCCAGCACTGCTGCACCCCCGCCAATATCAGAGGCTGAGCCAACGCCCGAAGGCGTTGCTGCTGCTGTAGCGGCTGTAGCTGCTGCAGTCGATAGGGGAGACGTCCAGCGCGCGAAGAGCAAGGTGCTCACACACTGCAGCTCCGACGTTCTCTACGCTCCAGATGAAACCGAAACAGGCGCTTACGTGTGGCACTGAGGGCACCGCGGTGCATCTTCGCATCCCCCAGCAACTTCATTCTCGTGATAAGTGACCACGGGATTTGTTGCTGCACGCTCGTCCTTGCAAAGGGACCTCGGAGCCTCGCAATCTCCCGCTAGAAGGGTTCCTTGCTCATTGCGGCTGCACTCGCTCTCCCCGTGACCGCTAGTTTCGAGTTTTTTCATTTCATTCTGTACCGCGCGCAGTGCGGCGCCTCGGCTGTGATGCCGCTTTGCAATAAATCCCCGGCACCCCCTGCCAGTGGGCGAGCAGGTAGCAGGAACAGGAGTAGCTGCACCAAAATCCGCTGTACACGCAACCAACCCCGCAGCTGTCGATACACCCAACTGCAGTATGTAGCTTTAGTAGCACAAGAGCAAGGGGCGGCGCCTCTGATATAAGGCCGCGCGGCTCTGACGTCTCCACGTGGACTCGAGAGCGTAACAAAGGCGGCCCACCGAGCTATTCCCCCCCCAAGCCACATGCAACTCCCGACTCGAACGCAATCTATCTAGCATTCCATTAGCAATCGCCGAAAAGGGGGCACCTCCGCCTCGACGCCCTCCACATTGAGGCTTCGCGGACCCCAGTATAGCCTATTTGAATTAGCTCTGTAGACTGCGGTGAAGTGTAGGTCGTGCCACGCGACTAGGGTTGCCTGACTGCCTTGGTCCTTCCGAGCAGGGTTGTATTCTAACGTACACCTTGGGGAAGCACAGCTATGATTCTCTGCTTGCTCTTTGTTGCTCTCTCCACAAGGAACTGCCTGTACGCTCAACCTTGTTCCTTCAACGAAAACTATGGGAAACGCCTCTTCACCTCCGAGAGGCCCCTGAGTCTCTGTCAGCTGCCTGAGACTCCCACGGCATACCATTGCCCTAACTCAGGCATAGACAAGCGCCACGAGCTGCTGCTCTCCTTTCGCAGCCAGTTGCTCCCCCCGCAACACCCCCCCTCCTCCGCCCTTTTCATTTGTGAAATTTTTCAAAGACGCGACACTGCACGCAGCTCCCACCAGACGCGCCGCAGCGGACTCCCGGAGCCTGAGCTCTCTGCTGTTTGGCCTAAGGAATCTGCCGAGAAATCCAAGTGCAAATAACCTGCGACCCAAGAGAGCGCGTACGCTCAGTCCTGAGAGCAACAGGAACATGCACACACGGAAACAGACGACAAAGGAGAGTGTGTGCCTGCCTGCCTGTCTGTCTGTCTGTCTGTCTCGCTCGCTTGCACCACGTGGCTGCGCAGCCTCCTCGAGCTGCGTTAATGTTCTTTTGCCGGGGGCCCCCCTCCCCGCGCGCTGCGCTGCAACGACCGGCCTCATTCCTGCCCTCCAGCTTCCCTTTAAAGAGGGCGCATGCGTTGAGTGGCTACAGCGAGACCGACCATGAAAGCTGAAGCTGTAAGCGGGGAAATCTTCTGCGTCTCAAGGCCACGTTGGGGTCCTCCCTTGGAGCTTCCTCGACCTCCCCTGAAGTTGAAACCTCCAGTGACGACGTTCTGTCCAGCAGGCCCTCTGTAAAAGCCCTCACGACCTCCTTCCCCGACTCCACGAATCCACCCTCGTCCACGACCACGCCCCCTACCGCCTGCGTGAGCAGCGAAGCGCACAAGACACAAGCAAGGCTTGCGAGAGCTCCGCGCGTCTACAAACGGGCGCCGATACAGCCGGGGCCTCTCCTCACGCGCATGCGCTAAGCGCTACCCTTGCCGAATGCGAAGGGACAGACACAGGCGGGTGACTCTGCAGAGCGACACGGATCGCAGAGGTTTTCTGGGGGCAGCACCCGGGGAGCGCGACGCACTGCGAGAAGCGTTCGGCTCGTCGTCTCGACTGTATCCAGGTCGTCCCAAGTTTTGAATGAGAAGACTCGTGCGCATGCAAAGGTTCCGAGTCTTGTCCGTCACTAGTTGGTACAGACTAGGGGGGCTTCCCGCCATCTGCACACGATTTTTCTCGCTGTCAATGCGTGCCTCTGCAGACACCACGCACGCAGCGTGCGCCACAACACCGCGAAAACATCACGCAGGGGGCGCAGCAGCTCATCTCTGTAGCAACGGCAGCAACAGCGAGGACACAAGTCACCCCACTAAGGCCCCACCCAGTCGAGCATGCAAGATGAGGTTGACAATCCACCGCTCCGCGGCTTCGGGGACCATGTTGACTTTCTTGGCGATCATCCTGCAGCGCGACAACAGGTCAAAAAAGCGCAACAGAGATGGGGGGTCTTCATGCCTCCAAAATCATCACCTTACAAACTTGGCAGCGAGACACCCTGGCGCCGTCACAATGTGGACAGAGCTTGTTTCTTTGCAAAGGCGTTTATGCCTCCGCAAAAAAACAGATCCTGAGAACCCCCAGGAACGCCAAGAGACTCCGGCGCACAGGCATGGCAGGCAACTCAACGGACGCACTCTACGTTGATCCGCTTGTGGATGCGGCAGTATGTCTCGAAGATGAGAAGCCTTGCGTGCTCGTTGACTGCCCCCCTCAGTGGTTCCAGGAAGAAGTCCGTCTCGCACAGCTGTGCGCAGCAAGGGACACGAATATTCTTGCATGCGCGTGAAATTCCGCACATCTAAAGCCTAGAAATGCAAGCCAGACACCCTCCATGCACGAGAAATTCTGCCCATCTAAAGCCTGGAAAGGCAAGGCCGACACCCTCCATGCACGAGAAATTCTGCCCATCTAAAGCCTAGAAATGCCAGGCAGACATCCTCCATGCACGAGAAATTCTGCCCATCTAAATCCTAGAAAGGCCATGCAGACATCCTCCATGCACGAGAAATTCTGCCCATTTAAAGCCTAGAAATGCAAGCCAGACACCCTCCATGCACGAGAAATTCTGCCCATCTAAAGCCTAGAAATGCCAGGCAGACACCCTCCATGCACGAGAAATTCCGCACATCTAAAGCCTAGAAATGCAAGCCAGACACCCTCCATGCACGAGAAATTCTAAGCCTAGAAATGCCAGGCAGACATCCTCCATGCACGAGAAATTCCGCACATCTAAAGCCTAGAAATGCCAGGCAGACACCCTCCATGCACGAGAAATTCTGCACATCTAAATCCTAGAAATGCAAGCCAGACACCCTCCATGCACGAGAAATTCCGCACATCTAAATCCTGGAAATGCAAGCCAGACACCCTCCATGCACGCGCAGAGACGTGCCCTAGCAACTCAATCGAGCAAGACCACCCCTTGGCACCCCAATAAATCCTCGGAAGAAGGCATCGCGCGGCACGAACCTCCGAAATGCTGGTGATGTGCTTCTGAGCCTCGTCAAAGTTGAACTCCAAGAAGAGCGCCTCCAGAAGAGATGTAAATGCGTCGGTGTACTTGTTTTTCGTATGTCCAATGGCCTAAGATCACGCATACGCACTCCTGTTGCCGCAGAAGCTTGTAAGCCTGCGACTGCGCAAAAAAGTCGAATTCAAGTGCCTAATACCCCCCCTTCTCCACACACACACAGGCCTTAGGACGATTTCGTCCGCGTGCACAGGCGCGAGAATAGTCAGCAGCAAAAACGGCAACACAACCCGCGCAAGCGCCCTCTGTTCTCGCAATTTCCTGCTCTAAAACGCTGCCTCCTGTGATCTGCCTGCGTCTTCTTCTGTGCCTCGCCCGGAAAGTCGCGAGTTGTACCGAGGACGCTTAACACGCGACTCTTCGGCTTTTGGAGGCAGACCTCGTGTGTCGCCGCAGTTCGCATCGCACAGACGCGCTTACCCCGACGATGGCTTGGAAGTGATCCTTTCTCTTGCGATTCATAGTCGCGTAGACAGCGTAGTAGCGCAGCAAGTGAGGACACAGCAGGTGCACGCACGTTAGATTGCTGCAATCGCAAGTCTCAAGAAGAAGAAAAAGGCGAGAGTCAAACCCTCACACCTGCGCAGCCTGCCCTGGAGAGAAAAGCCGCCGCTGTTCCCCAAGCACTTCGCCTCTTCGACAGCCAGCTGGCAGTCTATGCGGCGTTGACAAAAGTGCTGCCCCTTCCACGCACAGAAGAGAGAGAGAGAAATAGAGAGACAAAGACAGAGAGAGAGATAGAGAGACAAAGACAGAGAGAGAGATAGAGAGACAAAGAGACGGAGAGAGAAATAGAGAGACAAAGACCGAGAGAGAGATAGAGAGACAAAGAGAGGAAGAGAGAAATAGAGAGACAAAGAGAGGGAGAGAGAGATAGAGAGACAAAGAGAGGGAGAGAGAAATAGAGAGACAAAGAGAGGGAGAGAGAAATAGAGAGACAAAGACAGAGAGAGAGATAGAGAGACAAAGAGAGGGAGAGAGAAATAGAGAGACAAAGACAGAGAGAGAGATAGAGAGACAAAGAGAGGGAGAGAGAAATAGAGAGACAAAGACAGAGAGAGATAGAGAGACAAAGAGAGGGAGAGAGAAATAGAGAGACAAAGACAGAGAGAGAGAAATAGAGAGACAAAGAGAGGGAGAGAGAAATAGAGAGACAAACACAGAGAGAGACAGACAGACAGAGAGAGAGCTTGCAGCGTGCCTAGCATGCGTCTCCTCGCGCAGAGTGGCGTGTATCCAGAGCACCCTGCTGACGCTATATGTGAAGCCGAGAGGCAACAACAGCAACGGCAATAGCAATAGCAACAGCAACAGCAGCACCTCACCGTTCCTGCACAACCCAATCCAGCAATGCCGACCAGGCTTGATTTCTGCAAGACTGTCCCTTGGCGTATGTGAGGAGCAGATAGTACCGCAAAAGGAGCCACATAGCCCAGTGAAGCAGCCACGCCCTCTGCTGAAGTTGTTGCTCGCGCGAGAAGATCTTGCTCATAGGCGTCGCAGGTCCAATGCCTGCGGCTGCCTTCGAGGCTGCAGCCTGTGAGTGATCCAGAATATCCGCCAGACGCAGAATACACCGAGCTGCCTGCGGAGCGCAGCAAGGGAAGCGCAACCATTCACAGTAAATCAGCAGTCTCTGTGCTGTGGCTCCCCCTACGCGACTGGATTGAATCGCAGCAGGGGGTGGGCACCCGCTGCAATTCAATAAAGCGCTTCACAAAATACAACGGAGCTGTCGAACGCACTCCATGAGCCTCGATGGCTCCAAGGGCCTTCTCCTTGCCGTCCTCCCCCTCCTGCAGCTGCTGCAAAAGCGCTTCCTCGCTTTCCGCCGTCGTTGGCTGCCCCTTCGAGATGTCGCCTGCAGGGTCCGACACTGTCAGCAACAAAATGCAGCAGCAAATACCCCACACGCATGACACGGGGGTTTGCATGTCTCCACCTGCGAAAGACGCAAGCACGCAGAACCGCAGAAGCAAGCGCCTTTTTTCACGAGAGTTCTCCTAGGAGCGGGGGAAGGGGGGAAGAAGCCCGTGCCTCATTTTGTTGACGGCGGCTAGGCATTAGCCCGCAGTCACGCTACACGCCACGCATGCAGCTAGGCTTTCATTCAGTGCGTCGAAAAGCACAGCGGAATTTCCGGCTGCAGAGGCGCTTTTTGGCGCAAGCCGCCTTTTTTCGCAACACGCCGTTTCGACACAGGGAAGGTGCGAGCTGCCTAGCAGGAAGGAAGCAGCCGCTCGCAGAAGCAGAAAGCGGGGAGTGACGGCCTCACTGTCGCTCGTGAGCTCTGAAAGCGTATTCAGGTAGAAATCCAAATGATGCAGCGCCTTCTTGTAGTCTCCCAAAGAAAAAGCCACGCGGGCCAGACGCACCGGCACCATCTCTACCCGAGGAATCTCCGCCAAGTTCGGAGCCATACTGCCCTCTTCGCGATTCTGCGGAAGGCAGGTGACAGCGCAAAAATCGAGGGCAAGAAACACACACGCACTGTAGCTACAGCATCTGCAGTAAGAAACCGAAGATTAGGCTGCCTCTGCATGCCCTAGAAAGCAGTAATAGGCGGAAAGGGGGGGGCGCAGGCATGGTATCGGACCTGGTAGTGCCACTGCAGAATATCCCTCAGTCGTTTCCTTTCGAGCTGGTTTCCAATCCTCCTTTGTTGCTCGCCCTTGAAAGCCTGGAGCGCTTCCTCTAGAGCTGCAGCCTGCTGCTCCCACTGCTGAATCTGTGCCTCCGGCTCTTCAGACTTTCCGCCTTGCTCCTCCACCAGCTCCCGCAACCGCTGGGCAATGCCCTCGGGTGTCTTGGGAAGAATAGACTCCAGCAGATCATCGCAGCTCTTCTCCTCTAGCAGCTGCAGTCGCACAAGTGCAGCAGCAGCAGCACACAGCAATGAACAGGCTGCCTACCAAAGGATTCTGACGGACGGGCAATCGCGCCACCTGAAGACTCGGGTACGCCAGAGCCGTGCAGGTACACCCCCCCATTCCCGTCATCATCGTGTTGCAGCGCTGAGTACATGCTGCTGCCAGCTAAGAATACAGCAGAGGCCCCTGTGCCTTGAAGACCTTCTGGCACGCTGTCGGCTGCTGTATAGGCAGTGCCCGTCATGGACGAAGTGGTGAAGCATTTAGGGGGTTTTCCGATCCGCAGGTGTCGCGACAGGGTGCCTCCTGCACAGCACAGGGAGGTCCTATCAGGAAGGCTCACTTGTTGCGAGCGCAGCCACTGAATGACAGGAACTGCCATATGCGGCTCCCAGAAGGGTGCCATGCGGCGCACAAGCGCCAAATTCTCCTGAGTAGGTCCCATCTTCGCTCGTCAGTATTTGACAGCCAGGTGTATGTACACCTGGCCACGGCTGCTGCTTCCTCCTGTCGTAGATGCGCTGGCTGTTTTCTCGACGAAAGCAACCACAGGCTCGGCGGACAGGGGATCCTCGCGGGCGCAGACCGTGAAGAGCGCCGAGAGAAAAAGCAGCAAATACCCTGTATATCGAAAATGAGAGGGAGAGATCTCAATGGTGGCCGCTCCTTGGTGCTGCTGCTCACGCGCCAGAACAGTTGATGCGCGTGTGTGGGGTAGAGGGCTGAGTCGGGAGGAAGCAGCAGACGGCTATAAAACACATTCAGCAAGCTCGTCTTCAAGCCAAGAACTCTCCTACTGGAAGTACAACATCCACGAGGCCCCGATAGACAACGGCCGCTTCCCCGCGGAGTCGCAGTTTACTCTCACAGGACCCCGGTGCATGCGGCAGCAGCCACCACTGTATAGGGCTGTCTTTTAGCGTTGCTGCTTCGATATTTTGCTTGGGTACAAGTTGTCATCCCCTTTTCACATTTTTTCGGGAACAGGCATACAAGTCTCTTGGACAGGAGCGATGGAGTGGACACATGCTTGGCCGCTGCCTAGTGACTCTTCCACCCAAAATAAGGTCGCTGCCACCTTACAGCACCACGACTGCAGAATGGTGTGTCTAAAGCGTATTGGCAAGAAAGGCACCTCAGGTTTTTAATCGTTGATGCCCCTTCAAATAATTAGGGGAAGCATGAGAAGCTGTTCCCTAATTTGCAAAAGATTCGCGGAGCGTTCCTCCTGCACCATACTTCGCTGCCCGCACTACAACACTGATATACGCTTATGCAACGAACATCTAGTACTGCTGCTGAATGCATTAAAATACCTGCTGGTCCGGCTACAAAACGTCTGGATGCGACTAATTCCCTGCATTGAACGACAGCCGGACGCTCTACACCGAGAGCTTACAAAAACCTTGATTTAGTTGGATGCCATCTCTTCCCAAACATGTGCTTGGCTTCAACCAATTCATTGATAGTTTGATTGTATTTGAGAACACCTAGGTCATCAGCCAATGTGAACCCATTACTCCCACGCTTGGTGAAAGGGTGGAACGATGTATCGAAGCACTCGGCAAGGAGACATCAATACCAGACTCAGTGCGAGCCGAATAGAATGTTATTGAGTGGTTTCCAAGATATCTCCCTCCCTCCCCTGCCTGAACCCATCAGATTCACGACTTCCGGGAAGAAGGACGGCTACGTTGCGCAACGCTGCACCCCGTCAGCACTTCGATAAATCGCACCTAGTGGCACATAGCCCTCTAGACCACATGCACGTAAACATTGCGCCTTTTTGTATCCAACTATCAGCACTGCGATTAATAATGAATGCGAAGAGAGAGGCTAGTTAATTCCTCACGAATTATTAGTGGAAAATAAATGGTGTAGTACAACGTGCTTTATTTAGTGTAGCTTGTCCTTGTTCGCTTTGTGGCCCTCTCCGTTGTAAACACATGCCCTCAAGTTCCGTCGCTGTATATTGAGGTGGTTCGCATCCGAAAAGCGCCAGAGCTCTTGCCGTGTAGCTACTTCTCAGAATTTCAGAGACGCAAAAACAGTGCAAATGAGGCTACCTGTGTGCATCAACCACCAAAGTGGAATAGTCAGGAAGAAAGACACTCGCAAAGCCAACGAAGAATGCATGACCAGACCAACAGGTCCGGGAATACCCGATGGCTCTTGCTCGTAGGAGCGCCGAAAGTTGTGAGCTTCCCGCTACGAAAAAACAGAGGACATGTGAAATAAAATCGAACGAAGCAAAGTACAAACTACTCAAACAGTGCCTTCGAGCCTCGGAGAGCAGCCACCGCATGCAAAGAGGTCCGGATTCATGCAGTGTATTCTATTCCAAAACCCCAGAAAGGCTTAAGAGGAAACGCAGAGAGAACATACCTGAGAGTACCTGCGCATTTATCTGAGTATGTAGAGAACACACAGTGATAACCGGCAACTTTGCAAGCAGTACCCACACAGGAAGGTGGCTATTAGGCAGAGCATGCGCTGACAAAGACAACTACCGGGTAGAATGAGAAAACTGGGAATACAGCCTTTGTCGAATAGCACTTATCAGAGCCACAAATTGTCCCGCAAGCAATGAAGCCCCTACCCCTCCCCCGTCAACCACTAAGGTTGACTTTTCCCAGCCCTGTTCACTAGAAACTGCCATTGCGTGCGTCTTCCGAGTTTATTCGTCCTGGAATACAGCAGTTTGATGGCTCCCTGTGACACCTCCACCGCCAAACAGGTCACTTGCCTGCGCTGCAGAGACCATCGGTAGTCAGAGGGTTGTGCAGCTTCTCGAGGAAGTCAAGATTGAGGGCTGCCCAACTATTATGGAAACCATGGAGTACGAAAAAAGCAATAGCTTATAAGGAAATGGCACACAGTTCTAGCCGCATAGCCGCAATCTCTTTCGCGTGATGTCCTGATACACCTTGTAAAGCCTGCACACTCACCATGACCACACTTCCAGCCTCGAAACACACAACCGACCACCGCTTATCCTAATTCCGTTCTTGATTCTTCTTCGGTCTTCCGCGTACAGTTGGGTGGACCGACCCACTGTTTTCTCAATTTCCTTGGTGCGAAGGGTGGTTGCGGGCCCCATACTAGTTCAAGCCCGGATCGAAGGTTGTTTCTCAGTATAGGTCGGGGATATGGGATAGCAACAGGTAGACAAATATACTAGCGTATCATGGGCACACGAAGGATAAGGACTAAACTCGAGCAGGCTAACTGGTGGCTTTTAGCACAGAGTAGCGAATCATGCAGAAGGGTATGGCCGATGAGCTCTCTCTGCCCAAGTTCTTCAAGGTGCTTCTTGGTGGTAATCGTATGTTAATGTGCTGGCGGATCACACAGGCAGGCCCGAACGCGCTGACAGTCGTTCTATCCTGAATCACAATAATAATTCTGAGGGAGGGGCCGTTAAGGTTGTCGACACGAGTTGAAATTAAGTGTGCGACTTCCTGAGCCATGACAGAGCTCGAGCAAAGAGTGACGTAGGCATATTTGCTAAGCCTGTCGACAGTAACGTAGATGCTATCCTGACGCTTAACCCCCAGCATTCGGGCGAAACGGTCCATAGGCGCAAAGTTTCAATTCCTTTCAAAAGGAAAATGCCTTTCAAGATGCCGGGGTTGGGAGAATTGCATGGCGTCAGCTGCTGAGGATCTGTGCCACCGGACGCATTCCACGGCACCAGAAACGGTAAGAGCGCTTTCACACGGGTTTCAGACCTACCATGACTCAAATTAACAGGATCACGTGCTTTGTATAGACCGGAAAAAGAAGAGGAAGTCGAAATGTACAATTGACGGGAACTCGGCCTTGTTTTACTCCGCAATAGGCCATCCTTCACTTGACATTGCTCCACCTATTGGACATTCAGAAATTTGGCCGTTGTACCTGATACATGGGTGTCTGTGGACCATCACAGTCAAGAACGGTGACGCTACGCAATAATGAATTACTGGCGTATCGCAAGAGCTGATCGGTCCCCATGTTGGTGATCCCTGAAAAGGGTTCACTGCAAAGTTGTACTACAAGGGGCGACCAAGCTAGTGAACAACCCTAGAGTTCAAAGATATCCTCAAAGCTCTCTCTAAGGTTTAAAAATGACTGATTGTTGGTTTTAGGACAGTAGGATGATACGGCTTTGAGCACTTACTTCACACCCTATAACGCCACATGGACCTCCTTTTCTCAAACTGAACAGCTCTGCTCGATTACGGTGAGAAGATGGAAACAAAAGCAGTAGTTTAGTGCTTTGGAAGACCCGTACCGTGCTAGGAGAGAAGCTTACCCCCCGCTACATCAAAGTAGTGACTGTTAGGGAGGTAACGCTCAAAATCCAGCAACGTAAGTACTGGTGGGGCTGTAAGGTGGCCGAATAGCGTCCTTGCTGCATTATCAGCCTCCGATATTTAGGCTCTTACCTGCGGCTTCTTAAGTAGACCGGTCAATTAGCCTCGGTTCAAGCAAAGTCGGGAATCAAAATTCAGTAGTACTGTGCACGTCCTGAGGACCTCCCGCCGTCTTTGCAGAGCCGAATCTGGCCTAGTCCATACAGCCAAAGCTTGAGAACCCACAACAACAATTGTGTATATGAACGCGAAGCACATGAATGCCTTCACATGACACTGCTTCTCCCTCAACAGCTGAGGCTCACCCCGTAGGTGCTGTAAACTTGCTCTCGAACGCTTTGGTTGGAGGAGACGACGCCGTCTTTGTAGACAGCCATCCATCCCCTCTTTAGAAATTCATAGAATTACCGTCAAGCGTGACAATGAAAATCAGCTGTAGTATTAGCAAGTCCAAAATGGCATGGATGCGTGCTCGAGCTTGCGAGTACAACTGTGGCCTGCCGTTTTGTGCCTGCCCTCACGGCGAATAAGGATTTATAAAGCAGTTGCTTGGACGTCATTTGTCGAATAGACTATGCACGTGTGTGATTTGTCGAAATTCGCCAGTGTGAGGAATTGGAAGCGTTTGCTTCACAGTGCTCTTGTTCAGTGGGAGCTAATGCATATGTACTATTTCCCATCCCTTCTAGGCAACAACACCCGGTAATGCCCCCAAATCACTGGTCTACTCCTGTGCTTCTTCATTTCCGAGGAAAATCATCCACGTGCCGCTTAATGTCCTCTTCATACTGTGGGGGCATTTGATGCCGCGGAACATACCATGCGACACGCCAACGGTTGGCGCAGTATGGTGGGCTGGACGACTAGCAAACGGCCAGCCAAATGTGTAAGGTGTAGTGCCCTCGTCCACCGGTTGCCAAAATTCGCAATCACTCAAAGATTCCATCAGCCGCTGGAATATGTACCCGATCCTTCATTACTCATAGGAAGAAAAACGAGAGCTTAGTGAGCCATGTCTACAAAAAGGAGAATTATTTAAGTGGTCACTATTTTATGCAGATAAAAACGCTTACTCGCAAAGATTGATACGGCGCAAGCCTTCCTACAAGCCCCGACTGAACGAATTCTGACGAGATCTGTCTAACAGCATGCTTCGGAGGAATTGGGAAAGCTAGTTGAGGGGGCTGTACCAACAAATTGTCATGTCGAGATATCTTGAGTTGTGGTCCTGAATAGCCACAGCCTAGACAAAATGCTGCGCCATCATTGGATTATCACAAGTCCACTCAAAGTGTCACTGCAGGCGATTTCAGGACGTACAGCGGATCAGCTATTAAACAAGCGGCCGGTGGGCCTTCCGCAAAATGATGGACTGCATAAGATATTAAAAAAGAAACAGCGCAATCTTTGTGTGTGCCCCCAAGAAGGAGCGCAATGGGGAAGTATAACCTATGCACGTGAAGGCTGTGTCAACCGGCCCTAGCCTGCACTAAAGTCAGCTAGAAAAGCTAGCAAGAGGGAGCCCCTGATCCTAAGCAGTTCCAGACAGCCCCCCGACAACGTATCTGCCGGTATTGTGCGCGGTATATCCATATATTATGGAACTCCGAGTACATGAAAATCCATAGCGCTCAAATTAGCGGACTTGGTCTGGCGAAGGCAGGCTGTTTGGCGAGCAGATAGAACGCATCAGGGAAACGGGAAGCCTTCACATAGGCTATGGCTCAGCGAAGGGGGCGAGAGAGGAGCTACAACTGGGGACCCACCACAGGTCAATTATGCGCTGATACAGGCTCACATTAATGGTGAAGGATTATTAGCGTCATTTGACCCTGGATGTCAAGTGGATCGCTGGAATTATCATTAAAATTCTGCCACGCTTGTTTTGAGGCAGAGGTAAGCTTCTACATGCGGAGACCATAGATTCAGGTTTTCACATTGAAGGATGCTCGTTTGGGAAAGTGCTTAATGATTTTCTATCAGGAATCGCCTCAAGTTCAATGCGAAGTGCCTTATTCGTGTAGACACACTGTGGCGTGTTCCCGATACATGCGCTCTGCGATCTGGCCGTTTGTACAGAGCCTCATGAGGCAAATGAACGAAATAGGACGCATCCTGCAGCCTCGTGTAAGAGCTAACCTACTTCCACAGTAGTATGAGGTCGTCTCGACCCCATTCTGCATGCTCATTTTGATCCCACTAGGCGCCAACTAGTCAAGTGATATATGCTTGCGTGTAACATAGCCACCCATAATTACAGATTCAAGCAGCTACGCCCTTGCATATTTAGAGCTCTGTAGCTCAATAATTGCGGACGCAGCACAAAAAGCAAAGTGTACAGTGTAAAAGTCACAGTGTGCCTGGTCAGTTAGGTTCAGTGTGCAAGAGGGACGACAGTGCCTAAGGTGTAGCTGTGTTGTGCAGCGGAGTTGGCTCGAACTAAGAGATCGCAAAGTTGAGAAAGAACTCTCACGGCAGTCTTCCGTTAAGTACAGAAATTGTAAAACGGGTGTTCATAAGAGTCTGCGGGACTAGGCGAACCCTTCTATTTTTGTGTTTGAGCGACGAATGTCTACGAAGGCCCACTCAAGTGTTTAGAGTGAATGCCAAAGCTTCGGAGGCGTGTGTAGGACGCCCATCGTCTCAAGTTCACAAAAACACGAACAACTGTTGTTTGTTACCGGCGCTCAAGGCGATGTTTGGCTAATACAGAAGGACGTTCATCATAGCGTTCCCATGTGGGGCTGGAGGGAGTCGGCAGCACTGGTCGAGGGCTGTGTGTTGGTCTGGCTGGCCAGGCGACGTCGGCGTAGCACGCTGGACGATAGCGGAATTTAGTCATTCAGAAATTATTGATGCTGCGAGTTTTCCAGGTATTGGGCTACCCAGAGTTACGGCAGTAACTGAGGCTCAGGCAACGCAGCCCAGCCACATCCCCTGTTTTACAGCTTCCCAAGTTCCCGCCTGCGAGTGCTCTGCTCCCTCCTTTCACTGCCTGGGGGAGCAACGGCCACGACAGCTGCAGCACTCACGCTACATCTGCGGATCACCGACAAGCTCTGCCCTTCTCGCTGGCTGCCGCATGCACTTCAGACGGCACTCCAGCCGAGACCTCGAGAACAGCCCGTGTAGTGGAGAAGGAAAGGCGTAAAAGTGGCTCCCTGTAAGGCTTGGGCTATCAGTAGGAGGGGGGAAGGACGGACTTGCTGTCTGTGGTCCCCTATCAACGCATGCAACACAGCGCAGGTGCTGCGCTTCGAGCGTCCATCGGCAGCACGCGTCAGCACCCTCCCACCCATGCAAATATCTCTCCAAATCTTGAAACCGGCTGCGTAGGCGACAGTCGCCGCAAGTCTTTGCAGTTATCGTGTGGTGTGTCCGCCTCCCCCCGGTGCTCCTCAGATCTTCGAGGCCCCTCCTGTGTTGCGTCATTGAACGTGCGGCAAGGAGCCGATTTGATTCTTACGGCGTGAGCGGCCTGACGTTCTGAAAATGGCTGGTGAAAGCTATGACAGAGAGGTGAGTTTCTCCTTGTGACGCTTCGTCGAGCGCGCTTCTTCTCTGGGATTTGGTTCGATATGTGTTCCTGAGTTTCTCCTTTCTCTGAAGATTCTAGCCACTGCAACTTCGCTATCTCACGCCTCAGGCCGTCAAGGTGGCGGTCCCGTCGAAGGATCCAAAGAAAAACATAAAGAAAAGCAAGAGTGGCGATGAGATGGTGCGTCGGATGCCCTTTCTTCTCCCGTTCTGTCTCACCCGCAGTGTGTAGTTCCAGTGTCTCTGCGTTGACGCTTTGGCCATTACTTTGCTTTCCTGGTGACGACCAGCTTTTGATAAGCACTTGTTTGCTCATTGATGTCGGCTGAATGAATAAGACCATGCTTCGGGGTCGTCACTTATGGTGCTCTTGGTATTTGCGCTGTTCACACGTCCTGGTGCTGTTGCGAATTGTGAGCAGACGGAAGATGACAAGAAGATTCGAGACAACATCGATCTTTTGGTTGAGAGAACTTGCGACAGCGATCTTGGTGCGTTGGCGCGCTTCTGTATTCCTTGGTATACGAGGGGGAAGGCTTGAGGCCTCTTGCTCCAGTCAGGTGTATCGGAGACTGCCTTCTGCACCACCTGTGTGGAACGTTCAGGGATCGTCGCTCTCGCGTTGGAGACGCTTTCCAGGGAGCTGAAAGCTGCCACTTCCTCTATGACCAGCGTTCCCAAGCCGCTCAAGTTCTTAAGGCCCCATGTAGATGGACTCGTCGATCGCTACAAGGAGCTTCCAGCAGGAACAGATCTTAAGGTGCTGCCTGAAGTCAGGCAGAGCGTAGCTTGGCGTTGCCTACGCTCCGCTACCTTCGCATCGGGGCCGAGAGGCAGACTAAGAAAGCTGCGCTTTCCTGGGAAAAATCTGCAGTCCTACTTAGCTTGCAGCACAAAGCTGCATTTCGAGCCGCCGTATGCATACGGCGGCTCGAAATCGCTGCCTGCTCGCGATTTGTGGTTTGTAGAACGATCTGAACCATTGTGTATGTCCCCGCGAGGGACTGAATGATTATGCTCTGAGAGACTTCGTTGTGCTTCCTGCAGCGAGACTTTGCAATGGTGCTCTCGGTGATTTGCACAACGTGCGGGGATGCCCGGCGCTTGTCTCTGCACTTTTGTCTGGAGGTTCGTGATGAGATGGAAAACTGATAAGGCTACAGCGCTGGCAGCATCTGACGTAGAGATGCATGCGCATGCGCATGCATCTCTACGTCAGATGCTGCTTTCCTTCTGCTGGCCACCCACGCTAGCGAGCGAGGGAGGCCTTAAGTGCAGCATGCATCATCAAACGTTCCGCATGTCGTTTTTCTGCGGCTTCGCCTTCGAAGGCTGCGCGGCGGGAAAGCGATCCGAGGCGTGTTGCTAGGGATGGCTGCCTGGGTGTTTGTACTGTGCAGGCAGAGTGCAAGGACGTGACATCTTGGGGGTATGAGTTTCTCCGGAACCTCTCGGGGCAGATCGCCAGCGCCTTCGCGGAGCTGCAGCAGCAGGATGCCTCGCCAGCTGCCCAGCAGCAAGAGGAAGTGGCTGCTGATGGCGCTAGGGGCAAAGAAGCGCCTGCCGTTGAGGAGGATCGCGACGCAGTTGCACCCCAGACGTCCAACAGAGATGCAAAGGCACTGGAAACTCCGAAGCCTACCGCAGGCCTTGCCTCTATAGAGGTGACGCTTCCGACGACAGAGCAGCTGCTGCAGCTGGTGGAGGAGATCGTGCCTTACTACATGCAGCACAATGCTGAGGTTGACGCGATTGATTTGTTGACGGAAGTGGAAAGGCCGCAGTCTCTCTTGTCCCTCCTAGACGCAAACAATTATCAGCGCGTTGTTGCCTATCTCCTGAGTCTGTCGAACTACGCGGCTAGTGCCGAGGAGTCTCTGAAGGTGCAGATGGTCGCCTTCGACGCCCTGATGCAGCAGCAGCAGCATTTCGACGCCATGCGTGTGGCGCTGCGGCTGGGAGATCGTGGGCTTGTTGACAAGGTCCTTGCGGATTGCAAGGATCCGCTGATGCGACAGCAGCTGGCGTTGCTGTTGTGCCGGCAGCGCGTCGATGTAGAGTTCGAGGACGAAAAGCTGCAACGTCTGGCGAGTGGCAGCAAAACTTCTCCCTTCTTCCGAATCCTAGCCAAAGAACTCGACGTGCTCGAACCAAAAGAGCCCGAAGATGTTTTCAAGAGGCATCTAGAGGATCCCCATGGTCGTCGTGCACGCCTTGCTGGCCTTGAAAGCGCTCAGCAGAATCTCGCTTCTTCCTTTGTGAACGCCTTCGTCAACTGCGGCTTTGGGACGGACAAATTGATGACGGCGGATGGTAAGCCGGCCTTCCACACACATGTGCATGTATCTACGTATATACCTATATATGTATATGTATGTGTACAAGTACGACACGCACAGATGCAGACCGTTTGCTCTGATTTTCGCCCCTTCCATGCATGCGACGGGGCCGCACAATCAAAGCGCTCGACTGGAGGATCCGAGACACCCGAGGGGCCTCTTGTTGCTGCGGATCGCACGTGTGGCGATTCCAGAGAGAGCAAGCCTGTTCAGCGCCGAGGCGTCTACGTTTGAACGGATGCTGAGGGGTCGTCTGCCTGCTCCTTTTGCCCCCGGAATCGTGCTATGACAAACGCAGGAGCACTCTCGAGCAGACGCCCACGTAGATGGAATTTGTGTGTGTCACCATGCGTGGACTGCTATCTTCCGTGCTTCTTGCATTCAGAAACTGCGAGCGTCTAAGGTGGGGCATGGCCGTTCAGTGGTGCTTTTTATGCAGGAAACAGCTGGCTGTATAAGAACAAGGATCGAGGACTGCTCTCGACCACCGCTTCCTTGGGTGCCCTTAGCCTATGGAACGTCGACGAAGCGCTACAGCATCTCGACAAGCATCAATACAGCAACGACGCCAACGTCAAAGCAGGCGCACTTCTTGGTGCGAAGCATATAGAAATACACACAGTCATACATGCCCACCCCGCCCTTCTTCAGAACCCTGAGAAATAACACGCAGCACGCCTCCCGAGGTCGCAGCTCCCTTCTTTGCTTGATATCTGTCCATCGAAAGAGCCAACTATCTAGCTAGGGAACTAAACGTGGCTGTACACGTTGGCGAGCGAATTGGACCCCTTAATGGCCTGTATGCGGGGTTACGTTCTCGAAGAGTGAATGTCTGTCTCCTCTGTCTGCAATCGGCGAGGCTTGCGGTTTGCATTTGAGTGGACCGTAGATGCCGACGTTTTGCGCGAGCTTCACTTGCGGCTGCACTCGGCGAGTAGCGCGTGGTATCCCGGGGTGATGCGTTTTTCAGGATTTGGAGTCTCCAGCTGCAATGTTCGGCACGAGTGCGACGCCGCACTGGCGCTGCTAAAGGACCAGCTTGAGGCAACTGAAATGACAGCGGATACGCCTCTATTCAAAGCCGCGGCTGCCATCGGCCTAGGGTGCGCGTATGCGGGGAGCTGCCGAGAGGACGTTCTGGAGCTCTTGACGCTTGTAATCGTGAGTGCTCCCTGTTTCTCCCCTAAAACTTTCAGTACTGGGGGCTTTGGCAGACGCACCCATCGGCCGCGCTAGTTGACGGCGGGATGTATTTTTGTAGCTGCTGCAGCAGAGGCAGGACTGGTCTGGAAGCTTTACTGCTTTCGAGTCAGTCAGTGCTGCAAAGAGGCGGGGATTTGCCAAGGCTGGGCTGGTTGTAATTTTTCCGTGTTTTCCATGTTGGCTGGCGCCTTTTTGTGCGCTGCGCATGCGCGCTACAGCTGGATGGCTCCCTGCCTCTGGAGTGTTCGTCCTTTGCGTCGCTCTCCTTGGGTCTGTGTTTCGTGGGGAGTGCTTCGGCGGATGCAGCCGAGGCGATCCTCACGGCTCTCATGGATCGTTGCTCTGCAGCAAGTGAGGCTTGGGGGCACTTGGCGGCCTTTTCGAGGGCAGTTTGCGTCCTTTCGTATAATGCTGGAGAGGCTGTGAAAATCCCCTTCGGGAGTAGGGGACCACGCTTGTCTGGGGGTTGCATCACGTGCATGCTGCTGCCAGGCAGGCATGCACCGAATGGCATTTTCTGCTTGCTGGCATGGAGACGAGGCGCTCTTTGCAGCTAGCTGGGTGCAGGAGGTCGCTTTTTGCAGCTAGCTGGATGCAAGGGGTCGCTCTCTGCAGCTAGCTAAGTGCAAGGGGTCGCTCTTTGCAGCTAGCTAAGTGCAAGAGGTCGCTCTCTGCAGCTAGCTAAGTGCCAGGGGTCGCTTTTTGCAGCTAGCTGGGTGCAGGAGGTCGCCTTTTGCAGCTAGCTGGGTGCAAGAGGTCGCTCTCTGCAGCTAGCTAAGTGCAAGAGGTCGCTTTTTGCAGCTAGCTGGGTGCAGGAGGTCGCTCTCTGCAGCTAGCTAAGTGCCAGGGGTCGCTTTTTGCAGCTAGCTGGGTGCAGGAGGTCGCTCTTTGCAGAAAGGTGAGAAAGCCTTTTTGTCCTGCGGGTGCGCATCGCAGAAGCAATGGATTCTCCCTTAGGCCATTTTCTATCGGTGGGGTTGGGGCTCGTGTTTCTTGGCACGCGCGATGCAGCGGAGGGGGTGCTGTGTGCGGTCGCTGCGCTGCCGCATGCGGCGTTCTCTGCGGCTGCGACTCGCATCATTGAGGGGCTTGCATGCGCGGGCAGCGGAGACGTCTTGAAGGTGCAGCGGATGCTTGGCGTGTGCGCCGAGTCTCGACCTGAGGGTTACTGGAAGCAGAAGCAAAAGGAACTTAACAGCGAGCAGCAGGAGGAGGAAGCGGCTGTAGAGGACGGCCCTTCTTCAGGCAGTGCCACTGCGTCCACAAGAAATCGAGGCGTTGCCGGCAGCTCATCGAGCGGCTCCTCCTCGGGAGCAACCAACACGGCGAGCACCATGACGCTCGATGACGACGATGACCACGTGGAAGACATTGATCAAGCTGCTGCGGTCTTGAATATTGCGCTTATTGCATTTGCGGAGGAGACAGGGGCCGAGATGGCACTGAGACTCTATGTACGTCGCACCCACGCGCTCTGCAGTTCTGAAAGTCGGCGTTCTCGTGCAACTTGCTCGCCGCTGGCTCTCCCGAAACGCCGTGTCGTCGGCTTGCCCCAATAAAAGTCCTGCATAACAAGAGGCGTGCTGTGTATGTGTGTATGTGTATATATGTGTATATATGTGTGTATGTGTGTATGTATGTATGTATGTATGGATGTACGTGTGTATGTGTGTATGTACGGGTGTATGTGTGTATGTACGTGTATATGTGTATGTGGGTATGTATGTACATGTATATGTGTGTATGTGTGTATGTATGTATGTATGTATGGATGTACGTGTGTATAAGTATGTACGGGTGTATGTGTGTATGTACGTGTATATGTGTATGTGTGTATGTGTATGTGTGTATGTACGTATGTATGGATGTACGTGTGTATAAGTATGTACGGGTGTATGTGTGTATGTACGTGTATATGTGTATGTGTGTATAAGTATGTACATGTATATGTGTGTATGTGTGTATAAGTATGTATGTACGTGTGTATAAGTATGTACAGGTGTATGTGTGTATGTACATGCATATGTGTGTATGTGTGTATGTGTATATGTGTATATGTGTGTATGTACGTGTATGTATGTATGGATGTACGTGTGTATAAGTATGTACAGGTGTATGTGTGTATGTACATGTATATGTGTATGTGTATATGTGTATATGTGTGTATGTACGTATGTACGTATGTACGTGTGTATAAGTATGTACGGGTGTATGTGTGTATGTACGTGTATATGTGTATGTGGGTATGTATGTACATGTATATGTGTATATGTGTGTATGTACGTATGTATGGATGTACGGGTGTATAAGTATGTACAGGTGTATGTGTGTATGTACGTGTATATGTGTATGTGGGTATGTATGTACATGTATATGTGTGTATGTGTGTATAAGTATGTACATGTATATGTGTGTATGTGTGTGTGTATATGTGTATGTACGTACATGTATATGTGTGTCTGTATGCATGTATGTACATGTGTATGTGTATGTGTGTATGTGCACGAATATGTGTATGCACATGTACATGTGTATGTACATGTATGTGTGTGTGCACATGTATAGGTGGGTATGTGTGTGTACATGTACGTACATGTATATGTGTGTCTGTATGCACGTACGTACATGTGTATGTGCAATGTACATACGTATATCTTTGTATATGTGCGTATTCGAGTTGACTCTGCAGGACCACATTCTTCAGTATGCCGATGTACATATGAAACGCGCCGTACCCCTGGCTGTAGCGCTGCAGCACCCAAGCAACCCTAAGCCCCAACTCATTGACCTCATGAGCAAACTCTCCCACGACGCTGATCCGGATACCGCTCTCAATGCGATTTTTGCGATGGGAATCCTTGGTGCTGGTAGGTATCTGCTGCAGGCTGGGTTATACCGCCCTTTGCGAGGCGCAGCAGGAGATAGCCAACTGCTGGGCTGCTTGAAAAAACACAGCTTGCCCCCCTGTGTGGCTTTTTGACGCATGCTGAATGGCGCTTGTTCATGTAAATACTCTGTGGCTTGGCTTTCTAGGAACTAACCATTCGCGCATCGCTTCGCTCCTCCGTCAGCTTGCCTCTTACTATGGAAAGGACCCCAGTGCGCTGTTCGTGGTACGCCTACACACACTCCATGAAAGGCAGAGGCAAAGCCTGCTGCTCCTAGGGTTGCCGGTTTGACCACTTGGCTGGGTGCCTGAGACTCTGCACTGCTGCACTGCTGTACTGTTGCACTGCTGCACCGCAGGTTCGCCTTTCACAAGGCTTGCTCTACTTGGGGAAGGGCCTGCTGCACATCGGCACGTTGCACTCAGACCGCCAGGTCGTCTGCCGTGTTGCTCTGGGGGCGTTGGCGATTATTTCGTACTCAGCTCTCCTGATGCGCCATACTATCCTCGGGTGAGCGCAGCCTGTGTTGTGCATACATTCTCATCGAGCGACGCATGAGGCTGCACCGTGCACCGCAGTCTACAGTCACACACTACAGTCAAAGAGCATCCTGAAGGAAGCGGAGGAGCACCTCTTGACGTAGTGCTCACGGGCATAAGTGCTGGGCGTGTTTGCTTATCACAAAGGGTGCTGTTGGGCTGCGGTCTATCCAGGAGGCTTCCACGCAGAGCCTGGGGTTCTTGTTAGCTTGGTTGGTTTGCGATGCACTGCTGATGCTTGTTGTCTCAGAAAATTCCACTTTATACTCTATTACTTGTTCCCCGCGGTACAACCTCGGTGGCTGGTAACTGTTGCTGAGCGAGTTGAGGGGGTGACAGTGGAGGAAGAAAGCGACGTTAGGGACAAGACTAAAGAAGAAGCTACAGTGCAGAACGATGCGGAAGTAGCAGGTGCTGATGCTGCCATGGAGACAGACGAGGCCCCACGTGAGAAGGCTCCCGTTCTCGAGAGTGATGAAGACCTCAAGATGCTTTCCATCCCTGTCCGCGTGGGAGAGGCCGTTGATGTCGTAGCGCAGGTTGGCAGACAACCGAAGACGATCACTGGTTTCCAGACGCACACGTCGCCGGTTCTGCTCAACTTCAGTGAACGCGCCGAGTTGGCGACTGATGAGTGTAAGTCCACTAGAAAGGCCCTTCAAAGTCTCGTGCAGTCCCTTGCCTGCCGAACAATCCCTGCTGCTACATGGCAGAGCCCTAGTCACGTGACTAGCTAGCCTTTGCTTTTTCGACTGCGTCTGCGGCTCCAGTTTTACATCGGAGGTTGGAGTCTGGGACGGGGGCGCCTAAGGCTGTAAAATGTCTGTGTGTGTGTGTGTGTGTGTGTGTGTGTGTGTGTGTGTGTGTGTGTGTGTGTGTGTGTGTGTGTGTGTGTGTGTGTGTGTCTATGTGTCTATGTGTCTTATGTGACAGATTTGCCAGTTGGCCGTGTCCTAGAAGGCATCGTCTTGCTCCGTAAGAACCCAGAATACCAGCCGCCAAAGGCCCCGTAACTTGCAGCAAGTAATTCCCTCAGCTTTTGGCCGTCCTTTGCTGGCACCTAGGCGAGCAGATACTTTCTGCTTCTGCCTCCTACCACTTTCATATGTCCTTCCACTAGCAGATGCGCCACCCTGAGAGCTGTGTCGTTGCATCATATGCTGCGAAACATCCACGCATTAGTTATTGATACTCGTGCAAGGAAGCGGCAAACATGGCACCCGTAGGCCTAGTTCCCAGCCACTTTCCAGCAGCACCTCTGCACTTGCGTCGCTGAGGGGCACTTGCCGCCTCATACAATCTATCGCTATCTAGATGCTGTTGAACTCCCAACAATTAGTTTCAGGTGGTAGATTCACAATGGTGTTATATTGTGACTTGTACTGCGAATGTTTTGGGGACCTGTGGACGAGTCAAGCGCCTACAATACTTGGTCCGTTATTCGCCCATAAATATTAGCAGTGCCGTCGTATCGTTCTAATCAATGGCAAATGCGAATAGAACCATATAAGCAATCCAGCCCCGTAGGGATGATCTTTACTAATCCATATAGCTGGGCTTTCCATCATTATCAGAGACCCTTTTCAGTAGACCTGATGCTCTGCCACAAAATTTCGACTCAGAGCAACACCACTCTGGGCAGCAAAGGCGCTAAGCTATGTAATAGGCAAGAAAGCATAGCGCGCTGGCTATCGAGGGCACGGACTATAAAAGCAGAGCTATAATCCCCTGATGACAGAGTATGTTTTGGGGTGCGGAGCAGCATAACCAAGCAGTGCTCACACTAAAAGATCGAACGTGAGGAACAGAGAATCTTGCTTATTCGCATCAATCATCTTCGCCAAGCGCTTTCAGTGCAAGCCACTTGCCCTCTTTCCTATGCTAAGCATGAGTGCGCGAGTGGATAATTGGCATGGACTCCCAAAGGCTATCATTGTAAAGCCTCTACAAATTCAGGGAAAACGGGCACATGCAAAGCGACGTTGACGGGCGAGGAAGCTGCAAATACCAGGTGCCTGAGGCCTCATGCCTGATAACATGGCTATATACTGTTAGGATTGAGCGAAAACAATAATGACATTGTCAGCATGCGGATTCCTACTGAAGTTAGCCACTTACAGCTTAGGCTTAAGAGTGTTGCTTTTTGTATTAATGTGGACGGAATCGGACAGGTGCAACTGCCAAAATCTGAAAGGTTTTCATACTTCACTTATGGCACATACGGCGGATATTCCCAGCGATATACTATGATCCACAGCAAAATTGACTAGCTGGTTCGACTTTTTAGAAAGATCAACTGTAGATTGCCTTTGTATAGCCACAATATGATGCAATGCTGTATGCGTGTGCGCTAGCTGCTTAGTTTAGCTAGCTCTGTATGCTCGGGGTGCACGGGGAGTACAGCTCTGCTCACTCTGGCTGTCCCTTTTTCCTAAGATCGGGAACTCGAAGGCAAATGGGCCAGGGGAGGACGGGGATGTTTATAACGACACTCAACAACAATACCAGCCAAATAGAAGTGTAAAGCTAAGTGCTGCCTCGTGCGGCTTCTAGCGTGCATCAGATCGCCCCATTAGACTGAACAGTGCGTCATTGCTCAGCGATTTTCCTGATACCGCACAAAACTATGGGTCTCGCTCAGTGCGAGCTAGGCGCGGCTGGTTGTTACAGATGTGCAAGCTTTGTGGCTGGTTTCGGTGAAAAGAGATTGGAGGCGCTCAAGCCAGATTTCTTGGATTAGGAGTACTTCGCTGCAGTTCTTTGAAGTGTCCAACGGGAAAGAACAGGATATGCGGTTCGCTGCACAAGCGCTGGAGGGCTGACCTTGTACACAGCCAATCTAACAAGGAATCATCGTGGGTTTTAACAAAATTTACATTGTTGTGTGCTGCTTTAGCGATAGTAAGTCCGCTGCGGTGGGACAAAGGATGCAGCAGCACGTACTGCATCATATTTATGTTGTTGACCTGAGCCTCCCACAGCCGGTCTTTCTCCATCACACAGATTAGTCGGTTCCCTAATTCTAGGTCTAATTAACATGCACAAAGTGACTTAAAGTGTTCAGAGTGGTGTGATCGCCAAAGTTTCCCACATGTGAGTCTTCTTTGCTTCCTGTGTTAATGCATGTCATGGGTGATTTGGTGTGGCTGTGAATGGCTCTTCGCCTGCTGCTAAAAAATAAGGCGCATCAGAAATTATTCATAGTCACGCTCTACTTGAGAGCCTTTAAAATAACATGATAGTATTGCCTGCAAATCATTTTCTTTTCGCGTCCGCATGCTTTATTCCTTCCGATCGACAGAAAGCCCAGTACCAATGAGTGTCTAGCGTAGCCTACAAAGCTGCGGGCTAAACGGGGCCCCAATACAGAGCTAATTCCACGTGACAATTGAAATGTTTTTGATATAGTACAGCGAGAAAATACTTTGGGGAAAAACTGTCGTGGGGGCCGTTGCTGTATGCTGGTTCCTGGGTCACCTGGTTAGGCCTTGTTTTCGACAAGCAGTCGGCAGCGCAGAGCTTTGCAAGCGACGCGTGATTGTGCTGCATGAATCCCGCGGAGAATGTATCTTTTATTGTCATGCATGACATTTCGCTCTTTCTATTGAAAGGGGTCGGTGTTTTCAGGTGTTCGGACCAACGCTCTGATGGTCACGGAGCGCCAAAAGTCCTTCACCAGCATCGAAGCTGCGGCTCTGAAACAAACACAGCTTCTATTGACATGATTAAATGATTTTTGCTACATTGCAGTTCCAAAATACTGCTGACACGAGTTTGATCTCTGCCGCCTAAGCTGTTCCCGTGTGTGCGCCCACCGGACTCCAATATTGCATTATCATATTTTGGAAAGTGGAGTGGCAGCCTCGCAGCAAGACAATGCGAAATAAGGCTCCGATTAGAAGCCTCCTACGTGGAGTGCCACTGTGCATCGCCATCATGGGGCTTTTATTAGTCCGCAGTGAAGTCTATGCATCAACAGGGGCATTGAAGAGCATGCCCATGATTAGGCCTCATCTTTTGAGAGCGGACGAGCAAACCATTGGTCCAGGTGAGATGAAGCATACACACTAGCAGCGCTCCTCTGAGCCATGTATGATTCCTTTTGTAGCCCGCTGCAATCCAGGAAAATTTCTTGCTCCAGTTGTACATCCACGTCTAAACTCAATGCTTGCACAAATGTGCTTCTCTGTACTACTCAACTATATACATGGTCAACTCCCATTGCGATCCAGTGTCGTAGATACATACCATTGGGTGATACGCAGATATCCCGATTTCCAACTTCACTGCGAATGGTAGTGGGTCGTACGAGCATGAAAATAATAGTGGTAATAAAGAACATGCTTTCATGGAGACAAAACACCAGCGAGAAAGGCTAGTGGGGATTTTGGAACACGATCAAATCATGGCCTATACTCAAAACCTTCAACACGCATTCAAGAGATGTGAGGAAACACCAAGAAGTTTTCGGCTCCAATGAACTTTATTTCTGGTCGCTTGCTGCAATCGTATACATGCCCGCTAACTTAGTCTAGCCAAGACGAGCTTTTAGAGAGGATATGCTAATGCCTAGCCCTCGCGGTTTCGCCGCGTAGAATTTGAAACACCAAATGAGCAGTGCTGTGTTTCTCCTGTTGTCTATCTTGCGTGCAGCGAGCAAATTTACGCATTCCGTGCTTTTCTTAAAGCAGCTCTTCTCAAAAAATCCCTTCCTTAAATACTTTGCTCTCCGCTACAGCCAAAGAATAAAGATTGTTGACCACCTTGAAAAGTCTGCTACGAGGTGGAACCTGCTACGAAAAGGTTCGTGGCGTAAATATGCGCTTTTTCTGAAATAACTGCCGGCATGAAAGGCGTTGTTAGAGCTCGCACGTGTGTGGACGTGCTCCTCGATATTTTCAGACAAGGCGATGGCTGCAGAGGAAGCTATGGCGACAATTGCATTAGGGCACGTTTACAGCATGGGGCGGTCCCTGAAGAATCGTGGGGAATACAACCAACAAAAACAGGATCTACTGCAGGAACTTCGTGCGGTAAACGCTGGTGGTCACGCCTTGGACCTAATTCTGGGAAACAGAAGCAAGTCGTTATATACCAAGCATCATAGTAGATCGCTACCATCCCCGCTGTAGCTTCTACATCGACCATACCTTCCTTTTGTGAATCCACATTCGGGAACACACTAACTATAATATTTCTTTGCAGGCAAGCCAATTTTTACATGGACAAGCTCTCTGTGGAAGAATCCTTTGGCAACGCTTTCTAATGTTGTAAAAGGCGCGCTCAACGAATCCTTTGAAGGTGTTTTTGGCATTCCACAAAGAGAGGTCAAAAATGCCTGCTTCTCATTTGGATACCGCTTCAATAGCATTGCTCCGTACACGAGCATTCTTCCAGGTGGTATTTTCGGATCCGTGCTAAAAAGCCTCGCCCGTTCTTTCATGCTCGTCTACTACCCAGTTTATTCAAGCTTCAAAGGCATCTTTGCGCTTATGATTAGTGTCATCTGTAAAACTGGTGTACTCGCGGCCACAAAAAAGCTGTTCGGGACCATAGCGAACGTTACACGTTTGGGTCTACGTGGACTGCACATATTATTTCGGCGGTTTGGTAAGCCATCTACCATTCGAAGCTTTAGGAATAGACGGAATGGAGAATTAAAATACTCATTACCAAAACGCCACAGTTACTGCTACATCAAGGCTGTCAGGAACAGTATTAACTTGCGCCATCGAGGTGGCTTTTTGCATTCATTCAGCTCTACGTGGCGACCCAGTCGCATGGCCAATCATGCAAGATCTGCTTCGAAATACCGCTCCCGCAATGATTACTCTCCTATTCCAGCTTTATGCAATCAACATCGAAGATATCACAAAAAGAGGCAAGCGAGTTTCGCACGCCCTGAGTGCTGGAAATGCGTCATGGAACTACGCAGATGGTCTCTGGATAGGAGCTTTCGACTTTGGCCGTGCTTTCATCAACGTCATCCAGACTTATCTGCGTCGTGCAGAATCGTTCGTGGATTACTGTAGCAATAAGGTAAGTGCAGTCTTCTACGTCTAGCTTCACGGAAGACTAAATTTCGATGAGCTGTAGTTAGACGCTGGAAACATCAATCGCACATCCTATTTAATGATAGTCATATTTTTTTGTGCACTATATGTTGTGGCAGAATGCAGAATCTCAAAAATTTGCGGAGACGGCGTCGATGACAGACACACAGACAATAAGCGCCGAAAGCTTGGAAGAGCCCGAGGCGTCTGGCCAGTTCGCGGAGCCACTGGTCGACGAAGATCTACTGAAGGCCTTCGAAGCCATAGTTAGTCCAAGCTCCATGACAAGCTCGAGGGACGAAGTAGAAAGAAGCAGTACGCGCACATTTATTCCTAGTTCAGATCCTTTTCATTGCCTGGTTGCACAGTGTTTCGTCGTATTTTACTGCAGGCCCCAGAATCAGACGTGCGCGATATAGACGTGTCAAAGCGAGTGAATGTAGCCGTAAGCTCACACAATCTAAAGAACTGCGGTGAAAGTCATAGACTAAATACCGTACAGCTCGACACGTGGGTATGCCTGAGTGCTTCGTGCTATAACTCTTTCCACTTTTTTGTACAGTGTCAAAAATACAAGAAGTTTGTTTCTTCATTCTCGCGAAACCGCCTAAGCCACGTGGAACGGTTTGTGATCCAAACAATCAAAGTTCTCAAGTATGATTACAAGTTCTTCCAGCGCTATATTGGGGAAATGATGTCCATTTTCTACGAGATGGCGTATGGCCTGCTAAATGCGGATGTAGCCAACGTGTTGAGCGATAAAATGTCCTTAGACACTATGCGAGAACGCATTCATACGGCCTTGGCTAAATTTCAAGTATACAGGGAAGTCAGTTCCGAAATACAAAGCAGCTCGCTCCCACGGACACTATTTAGAGAGCCGTGGTTCACCCGCTCGGCTAGAGATTTGGCACATGGCTTCTTTGAGAGTGGTAAGAAGTTCCCTGCCTGACGCAGAAATTAGTGGCGCTATTAAACCAGAGACGCCTAGGAATAGCCTACTGCTCGCTCGAGTTTTTACATGCTTATAAGCATTTGCCTGCTATGCATACGCTCAAGTGAACTGTTCGCTTTTCTTCAGCTGGCGGACTATCAATTTTTTTAATCTTCGAAGAGGATAGCAAAACATCCACTGCCGCTCGTGATAGGGCTGCCTTTAAGCTCCTTACCGCAGGAGCCAACAACCTGCACAAGTCTGTTAATTCTCTCTTCCGAGAGTTCCTGACAGCTCGTCTCATGATCGCTCGCTTGGAAGGCCACAGCTCAGTGAAGACAATACAAGACTTTATCGCATTGTGCAACCCACAACTAGGAATTCCAGATATAAACCTGTGTGGAAAGGTAGTAACATCTGAGGTTGATCCAGCTGCCTTCGTGAAAGAAGCACTGTTTGCTTTGCACGCACCTATGACGACCTCTGCTGATGATATAGCATTCCACAACGACTCTAAGCTTGGCAATGTATTCACGAGTTGGAGCGGTACAGGACTTTCCGAGCAAAACCGCGCTGTGGCTGAGGGGGCCAGTGACAGAGGTAACATTGCGTACAGACCAAGTGCACGCAAAGACCTTTGTTTAAGAAACTTTTATATCAGTATTCTTGCTGAGGCGAGATGACTTTGTTCCTGAAGGTTTTACATGCACAGCATTGTCCTGTATTGCTTTGCAGCTGCAATGGAAAACTTTATTCTGCATCTTCGTGAAGCCGTCCAAAGTCGAGTAGGCCACGTACTATGAAGCGAACGATTTTGACCAGCTGAATGAGGCTCACCCTTTGGGGCCTTTAGAAGACTACATATACGCGAGCGCACTTATACAGAAGCCAAGAGACTTCATTGTGGTAATTGTGCTACTCAGCTGACATTCTCACGCTTCGAGTTTGCCGACAATTTCACGCGCCTGGTGCTGCATGACACCAACGGACGGAGCGTTAATTTTATTCGTAAGGCCTTTACCCCTGTGCACTAGAGAGCAACCCACCATGCCATTATATCTAAAAACTGACTTCCAGCTTTTTTGAAGCGAGAATATTTGAGAACAACCTGCGTCATGTGTTGTACTTTTGCGTGACAGCTGATAATGAAGACGATGTAAAGGGTAAGCAAGATACTTCCATGGGATCCTCTGGCAGAGTTACGAGAGCAGCGAAGTTTATCCATTCTCGCAGCATTCATTCCAAGTCGTACATATAAGTATAATAAGTCGTACTCGTGCTTTTGTGCTCCTCTATCAGCTCTCGCAGGTCAGAAGACAACTCCACAGAGAAGCTCCCGACCGTCGCCACTAGATACGAATTGTTGGTTCAGCGTTACAGAAGCCAATAAGGGAACCTTGAAGTTTGTAACAATGGATGCTAAAGAATTAGAAACCTCTATAGAGGGGCTTGCAGTGCCAGCCGAAGGGATTCCAACATATGAGATCCCCGGGCAGGTTATGTACCGTGATCGGCGAGAAGAGCTTAGATCGATTATCAATGAACCGTCGGCAGTGCGCGATGTAATAGTTGCGAAATTCGTCGATCAAAGCGGAAGAGCAGCAGCTGAAATGGTGAGCCTCTCTCGAGCGCAGAGGCGCAATTCATGTAGTTGTTATGATGAGCTAAGTTCACCGTAACTGGCACGGTAAAAGGCAAAAGGTTCCTCCAGGAGATATGGCGTTATTGCTAGGTATGTCAGTGCTTTGGGGTTGTGGTGAGCAGATGGCAAATCTTCTCTACATTCTCCATTCCAGGACACCCTCCTTCTCAAGCCATAGCCCTTCGGTTTTCTTGCAAAACATTATGCCAAAGATGTTCTTCGATTCCTTCCAAGCTCTGAGTGTTGCGTCGAAAAGCCGGAAATCTGCAAGCGTGGTGCTGGAGGGCCGCCTCTACAGCTTTGCCTTGTCGTTTGACAATTTAAAGAGTATCTTTTTGGGAGCTGTGAACAGACTTATTCTCCGCATGCACAGTCTTGACTCGAGAGACATGGTGTCAGTCTTCATGATGACGGTCGCAGTGATGGCCTACCAGAGAGTACAAAAGCATCGCACTGGAAAGACACTAGTCATGAATATGTTTTTAAGAGATGTTCTGCATCTACAGCGGGCTAATCAACTTGGTCGGCTGCTTGAGGAAGCACCCCACTGCGCGTGGTTGGAGAAGCAGGAGGGGCTGCCTCAGGAAGAGTTTGTCATCAAATGTGCAGCGCTTCGGTTCCTCAAAATTGGCAGCCTGAAGATAGAGGACGCTGAAGTTGTAAGCGGTCTTGGCTTCTACAGCACGTGCTGCACTTAGCAGGTATAAGGGGTAGCGACAAATACACGAAGCTCGGGGGGCTATTCTGTTTTCCATGGTGCATAATTGGTGTACATCTACAGGTGAATGTCCGCAACTACCTTGCGGAATTCTTCAATATTCTCAATGGACTGCGTGGGAAAACACGCTGGATGGATTTCCTAAATATTCGCACTTTTTCTGCAGAAGCTGACTTGTATGCTGAGACAGCTGCTCAATATTCTTATGAAAAGCTAGAGGGGCAGCTAAGAGATGAAGAAACGCATGAGCAGATAGGAGGTGTGTTAGGCTCCACAAATTCGAATCTTCATATGGCACTCGGTGGGGCTAGGAAGTATCTCCATGACAAGCGGGACACTTTGACAGCTCTGCGGAGCTATGCTGAGAACATCAAGAAACTGCCTCCCAGCTTGCGCAAATCACTGGAGGATTTCTTCAGCAGTTGTTATGGCAAGCTCAGAAGATTCCTCGGCGCGAAGCAATTTACATGGTTTAAATCAATGTGGGCACAGCGAGCAAGTTCTTATTTGCTTCCGAACGACTCCTGAGCAGTTTATACCTCGTCTTATGCTCCAAGCATTATCTGATAGAGCAGCAATTCTAGTCTCCATGCGGACAATCGTTTTTGTCATAGCGGCGACAGCCCACTGTTCTGTTAGTATGTTATGTTGTTTTTGATGCAGCCGTCCACATGTGCTGCATGCCAGCTCTTTTTTTGCGGCAGTAGCAGGAGCAGAGGGACTTGTCTTTCCGAATCCAGCTGTTTTGCGTGGGAATTTTATTAGCGCAAGTGATTTAACAGAATACGGGCAACTACAGCTTGCATTTGAAGAACTGGCGCTGATACTTTCCGACGCTCGTTCAATGCAGAATGTTATAAGCGAGCTCAGGTCAATTCCTGTCCAAACCGTCGAAGCAAAAGGTATGTGGAAGCACTGCATACTAAAGTCTTCCCAAAATGTGACCTACACGTGTTGCTTTATGTCTTGGCTACATGCTGCGTTTTCACGCTTTTGCAGAGGAGTATGATAAACTCAAGGCCAGGGTTGATGAACTGCCACCAGAGACTGTAGAGACAGCTACAGGGTGGTCCTTACGTTACATGAATGACGGGAAAGGAGGCTTGGAGATTGCCATTGGACTACTGGCTCTAAAGAGTGGTAATGAGGGACAACTCAACAAAGCGCTACATTTGTCGCTGGCGAATGTCGAGGTACTCCGATTCTTGAACAGTGCACTCGATGTTGCGCAAGTACTTGAGTATCTACCCAGTGCCACGCCTGAGGAGCTGCAAAAGCTGAGACTATGTAAGGACTCCCTGTTTCACTCTCTCAAACAGTTTTACTTTAGTGGATCTTCACAAAAACAGATGTATGATCACGTACGAGCAAGTGTGTTTATCGCTAGGCAGAGTTGTGAACCTACTTGTATTCCTGCTTGTCGCGTGCTTGCAGCGCTAGGTGAATTTAAAGCAACTGTTCACGCGGAACCGCAGACCACAGCTTTGAATACGAAAGCACAGTATTCCGTCAGGCAGGGCGTGGACAATTTGGTTAGCTTCTTCTCTTCGTCAGGGTCGGTACGTTGTATACTAAAGAAAGCCAGATGATGCTCACGCAATTGAAAGAGTTACGCTTCGCTCTGAGTCGTTAATTGAGCTTATTGTATTCATTAGAAGCACGACGTTCCTGTCGAATTCAGCGACGGTATCAAAGATTCATGCTGTGTGTGCAGAGCAACGAAGAAACATTATCCACACATTGTAGAAACCTACTGAAGCCACCACATATATTAGCAGATGAGTCACTATGTTCTAAGACTGTGGACGACTGGGTCATTTTGTGCTTCATCTTGATTAAACTTGAAAAAAGAGGGCCAATACCGGAAGAAATAGCCCCAATGGAGCTTGTGAAAGCGGCATTCGTAGACGGAAAATCAGTAGAATCGCACCTTCATGACCTTGTCAATTCTGGGCTGCCAAGCGATTTCCGCCTCCAAGTCGCCAATAGCATAAATCCCTTCCTACGCGGCCTATTGATTTTCTTCATGGGCCACCAACTCGGGGACGTCGGAGCTGCACAACTTCTATCCGTAGACTTGCCTACGGGCGTCATCAGCTTTAGCTTCACCCATGTGTACGAATTCACAAGTGCCGAGCCAGAACATGGTGGCACACCTGCCTATGTCTTTAGAAAGCTTGCCCGCATCGCGTTTGGAGCGGAGTCTCTAGAAGAGTCAAAGCCCATCAAGATCGCCAACACAAGCATTTCATGTGTGTCTCTTCATCAGCCCACCGTTTCTGAGTTCCTGCGCTGCTCGAGACTGGCTTGCAGTATTAAATAAGCATGCTTGCTGCATTTTAACTTTGCTTAGTGTGAGTCTGACCGGAGTTTCCGCTTACCTGCTCCAGATCCCCAATCTCTCGACGACTGGTATGCGTTCGTCGATCTCGAGAAGCTTGAAGCGCTCACATCTCAAAAGATTAAGGCAGATGCGTTGGCCGAAATCAGCGCATGGAGCCGCTTTATGGATCTAGTAGACTTCTTCTTCGCCATGCGTCAGTCGTCTTTGATCGCTCCGCAAACGATGGTGGCAAGTGCCAGTGACGCCTTGCTCAAGGATGATAGTATTACTTTTCTGGAAAGAGTTGGGATGATTGTATTTATCTCCGATTTCCACAAGCTTGCCGAGACGGCAAAGATTGATTGTCTCCAAGACGCTATGAAAAACATTGTAACATACGTCCCTCTTCAGATACGAGAGAAGCACTTGTACAAATATGATTGTTTTGAAACTAAGCTTTCCGAAGATATGGCAGCCTCAAATGCAGCAAAGACAGCAACGGACGAGTTTGTTGCCCGCGCAATTGAAGCAATTGAAGCCGGTGAGATAAATGGGTAGTAAAAAAAAATAGCAAGGCCCTGCGCAGCTCGTTTCCTTAGAGAAAGTGTGCTTACTCAGTTTCTGTACGTGCTGGCTTTTCAGCTTACATCGTGAAAGCCAAAGAACTATTCAATAAGGTTATGTCAAAGCCCGATCAGTCCGAACTCGCCATCAAGAGGGCAATGCAGTTTTCGCAGCATGTTCCTGTTTCGGAATTTGGGGGCAAGGTGGCCAAGGAGATCGTGGAAATTGTTTTCCGCCACGGCACTTGGGATAATTTACTCGCTGGGCTGCAGCGGCTAAGGGACATTGAGTGGCAGTTCCACACGCCTCTGCGCAAAAGAGTGATAAACGAGAAGACCCGGCCGAAGTTCTTCAATCCCATTATCCTTGCAACGGATTGTCTCTCCTTCATGTTAGCTGGTAGGCTTCAGTATTCTGCCTTTCGCCTTGTCTTTTAGTGGAACCACTGGGTCGCTGTAGTATCGGTCTACAATATAATTGGCGCATAGAGTGGTCCTTGAGGCGATGCATTATACTGCGTTCAGGACGTTACACCAGGCTGAGACTTCCCAAGCCATTGCTGCTCAAGCGTGGAGCAGCATGGGCCAAGTTGTTTGTAAAGGGGCCCAAAGCCCCTGTCTCCAAAGCATATTAGCTATCATGGCATGCATCCATGGATCGCATTTGTACTCGAATTATTCCTGGTCCCCCAGAATCGGTTGAACGTCAAGACCAATCTGGGGAAGATGCTTTACACCCCGATGCACAAATATTCGAAGACAGCGGTAGTGACGAGGCAGGCAGGCTTCAGGAGGTGCCTCAGTCACTCACCATGCAAGGTGTGCCTTCTGACAAGGGAGGTGGACTTTCCTCTAGCGATGAAAATCAGAACAAGTCCGCGCCTTCTATGGAGGACGCTCTCTCGAAGTACCCACCCAAGTCAACGGTGGACACTGATGGTAGAGACGAAGTTTTCCCCACTTTGCCAGATTCGTAATCTTGTGCCACACAGCCTGAAGAAAAGCAGATTTTTCTTGAGGCTTCGATCGGGACAGGTGGTTTAACTGGTCGCTAATGAACCATGTTTTTTTCACAAGCATCATACTCTGCATCTCTCGGTACTTCTCAGCGCAGTAACGGCTTTGTTAGAAGTTGCGTGGTGTAACAACAAAGTCGCGTTTTGTATGTGACTTTCCTTGAGCTCCTCTATCTAGGGGAGTGGGATGCAATTGAGGTGTGCACTCAAAAGGTGCAGTTTTTCCGTCTCCGCATAGCCCGGGACACCTTGGCGACCTGTGTGGGTTTGAGCATACTAGCTACGGGCATGTCGTCGAACGTTTTTATGATGCGTTTACATTCAGTGTCGGCAACACGGATCCTGGCATGCTTTCGCGCTTCAGTTCATGAGCACTGATCCTGCTGTTGGTTCTGTGGTCTCCTTGCTGTTCCACTCCTGCAAGGGATGGTTTCCTCTATAGATTGCACTTTGGTGGGATTTGCAGCTACTAGTGTGCACCAAGCCCGTGACCTGGCTGGTGATTTCACTGTGTGTTGACACAGGTCTTTTCGTTTGGCCATTGATTCGTTTTATGATTCTAAGGGGGGCTGCTTCATGCCAGGTCCTGAAATGTGGGGTCCCGCCATGTACAGTTGGTATGAAACGCTTCTTCGGGTCGTTGCGATATCGCTTACGTCCTGGCTCTGTGCGAATATTTAAAAAAAGGCTGCTGCTGCCTTACGATTTTCTCCATTTTTGTTGAATTCAAGTATGGTGATGGTCTGAAGCCGATCAACCAGCGTAGTGCAGGCAACTGCACTCTGGGGTGTTTTCGGTACTCCTCACACCGATGCATATCGTGTTTTGCCTCATGTGGATTCCGGCTTTAATTTCCTTTAAAGCTGGTTTACTGTGCAGCATACGAAATGCCGCACAGACCCAACCGAGAAATGGCCAAGTGCACTTTGTTGGGTATACGTGGGGCGCCTCCTGGCGGGTGTATTTACGCCTTTGGTCGCTGCGACAATTGTATTCGCAGTGGCCTATATTACATACTTTCCAGCTTCAATGCGTTCTCTATTGCATTAGTAAGGCCATTGGCAGTGCGCATATCTAGCAGCCACGAACAGCTAACTGCTCAGGCAAGCATGAACACGGAAATTGGTCACCGAACGTATCAGGATGTTCCTTTCCTTTAGACAAGTGGTGTTCCCGATCAGAATATTCACCTTCGTGTTTAAATCCATACCTTCATATGGAATCTAGTTACGGTAGTAAACACAGCTCAGGCTACTCCTAAGCCTCCAGGATCCTTGGGACTAGATATAGAACGGTCTATCCGTTGGAAAGATTTAGGCGCTGCGATGGTTCACGTTATTTTCCAGTGCTTGGGACTGTGCATTGGGCACAGTCGTAGTATATGGGATTTTTTCGGGGCGTTGACATTTAAGCCAACGGGAGTATGTATTGGGGTGTCCTACTATTGCTTACTGGGCAAAGGGGAACGGCGGTGCCCAAGAATAGCAAACCGTCGTCTCTTCGCATGCCATGGCGCCTGCACAGGGGAATAATTGGACCATCAAAGGCCTTTTGGCTGCATCGCATGGGACATCTGCAGGAGCTCAGAAGGCCGTTTCTTTGTGTTTGGTTGCAGATTACCTCCGGCACGTTCTCATACTCGGTACTGTACGAAAGCCTGCTAGGGGGTCGCGCTGCCGCCAGACGTGGCGCATGAGCACTGCCTCGATGGTTCGTTATTCGTGCTTCCTAAATTACGCAAAAGTCTTGGAGGGATAGTGCATACGTGTTTGTGCCTACACTGGAGCACTGCACGTACCCTGGAGGGGCAGGCCTCCAAAAACCAACGCGTTATGCATGGGATGGCTGTGATCCATGCGGTAGTGTTCACTTGTGTCACACAGGCTAGGTAATTGATAGTGCTGTGCCGCAAGTCTAGTCTCGTATACTGTCACATCATCCTCCCCGTGGTCGTGCTATTATCTGAGAGCTTTGTCTAGCCACTGATCGGCGTTCTCCGTTGGCATCCGGCACCAATATCTTCAGGGTCCAGAGCAGAGTGTCAGGACTTGATACATGCATTGTCATATCCTGTGTCTGCTGTGGGCGGGATGCCATGTGCTCCGCTCCAAAGAGCAAGTGGCTAAGGGCAACATCCAGAGTGCAATGTGGCAGTGACAAGTGCATCCAGTCTCTTCAGAAAACAATTTTATTACATCAAGAATCGGTGTTCGAGTCATTGAGGAGGGGCTTCAGCAGCAGCCAGGACTTTACCTCAAGGCAGCAGCCGTGGAGGCGGCTTGCTGCTTCAGCGGCAGCAGCCCGAACAGGTAAAAAGGGCAAGAACGGGGCCCCCTGCACACGAAGGAAGGCAAATTTCTGCATCCAAACAACTAGTTGTCTCTAATTTGCCGCTCGTGTGTCTGCTCGGCTCTTCGTGTAGCCCGCGCCACTCGTGGGGCGTTGCTTACCACGGACTCCGCCAAGGAGGTGTTATCGCTTGCTACGCAATAGCAGCACAAGCGACACCATCGACGAGCCAGGAACAGCAGTGCAGACACACCTCTGTATCCACACCAGCCCCCGCGCAGGCACTGCCGTTAAGAATTTCTCGGCGGGGGAGCCTCACGTGCTCGAAGAACGCCTGCATGCCGTCCCCCTGCAGGCTATTTGTGGTGGTCCTGAGTCCTCCGTTTTTGCAGCGATTTCATTGACTTAAAGCAGCTCTACGGAGAGGAAACTGGCGGCGCCACTGCCTGCCTCTCGAGTCAGACGGCCGCTGCTGCAACGCTTCCTCGTGGCGGCGAGGTCTTCCGCTTGCTCCCTGGCAGCCCCTTCTGGCTACACGCACGTGCATGCGAGGCTGTGCGTTTCTGGCTATGTCAGCAGAGGATCCTGGTGGGCAGATCAGCTCCGCAAGCCCTCTGTGACTAAGCGGCTCCAATGCGCAGTGAAGCCACAGGGCACGCGAAGGGGCATCCTGCGTGAGGAACTTTCTTGCAGCGTAGGCGCAGAGAGGTGATATACGAGGCAGCACACCAACTGCCTGCCCTGTTTAGACGACTGGCAAGCTGGGGATGAGCATTCCAGCAGGCATTCGTCCCTGATTTGTTCGGCTTGCTCAGTGCCACCACGACGGCGCAGCAGCAGGAGTTGGGAGCAGCACAGTAGCCGGGCCTTACTGCAGCATAAAACAGCTCTGCATGTCGTGTGACAGCCACGCTGCTTTCACCCTACTGACGATTCACATTGAAAAGCCTTTCGCTTTGTTCGAAGACGCCCAGGACCAACAAAGCCTTTCGAAAGGAAGGGCAAAAACAACAACGTCAGTCCACTAGCGGCGACCACGCCGTTGCTTCAGCATCAGCTCCAAAGGCATCGCTTTCACCGACCATTAGACGCACTGCAGCGTTCCTTGGTGGACCTCCTGATGCATGTGTGTGGACTGGACCGCGGCAATCCTGAAGAGAGCAGCGTGGCACCCCCCTTTCTCACGCCCTTTGATCGCGGCAACCACGCGCACATCGTCCCTTAATTCAGCGAATTCGAGCGCTGCAATGCCAACACATGAAGGGCCCCCCGCCGCTCCAGCGGTAGGAGGGGGGGGCACCGCTGGAGTTATCATGTTGCCATCGCATCCTCTCTACTACTTCTCCACACACAACGCCCTAAGGGGGGCTGACGGGGAAGACTTGCACTTCCGAGTTTGCTTCGAGGAACTCCATGGCTCGAGGTCTTGCGAATTAGACATTTACCCCTTCTACGATGTGCAGATGGTCAAGCGATTGCTCATTAAGAAGCTGAGACTCCCTGCATCCATGCAGGTTCGTCAGTCAGTCGGCCGTGCATGTGTAGCATATATATATATATATATATATATATATATATATATATATATATATATTGGCCTCTTGTATCTGTAGGAGAACCTGTGTGCATGCATGTCTCCGACTGCCTGTCTTCCCCGCTCCTCTAACTCTTCCAGACCGCAAGTTCGCTCGTTTTACTGGGAATCGCTTAAGGCTGGTGGCGTGCACTGTGTGGCTGCCCTGCAGCGCAGTGTTCTCCAGATGCGTGTCTGTGTGTGTGTGTGTGTCTGTCTGTCTGTGTGTGTGTGTGTGTCTGTCTGTCTGTGTGTGTGTGTGTGTGTGTCTGTGTGTGTGTGTGTGTGTCTGTGTGTGTGTCTGTGTGTGTGTCTGTCTGTCTGTGTGTGCCTGTCTTTGTCAATGCATATATATGGCGAGGAGGTTCGCGCTAGTGGATACAGGCCTGCAAGTCTGTATCTACACATAAGCCGTAGGAGCGCTTGTGCCACGGGATGCCTGCGCAGGTGAAAGATGTAAGACTGATCTTTAGAGGCAGCGAGTTGCCGAACTGGAGGCCTATGACCGTTTTCTTTGAGAATCCTGTCAAGCGGCTTCTATGGGCTGTACGAGGTGGCAGTGCCACGTCTTCCATAAGGCCTTTCGCGCGTAGCCAAACTTTTAGGAGCAAGGAGCTCTTGCGGATCTTGGAAGAGGTGCGTGTGCGTTTAAGGCCTAGAATCGTGCGTAGGCTGCTGCCCTCGTGTCTCTGGCTCTCAGACGTGCCTCTGGCGACGTCTCTTCGGAGTGACGTGTTGGGGTGGGGGGCTGTTGGGTAGTTGTTGGTTCGAGAGCAGGTGCGTGTGTATGTGGAATTGTGAGGCGAAGCGGACTGCTACTACGCAGCTTAGTATATGTCGGTGTGAAGGGTTACTACGTCGTGCTTGAAATCGCCCTTCCCCATTTTTCCTTGCAACACGAACCGGTCTAGCCTACCTACCTCTCAGAAAGGGGGTCCCTGCTTCGCCTGCTGTGGGAGTTGGGGTGTGTATTTGTAGTAGTACGTGTTTATGCACAGCGGTTCTGCCGCATCTGGGGTTCACGTCTTCTGCTTGCTCTCCACAGGTTCGCCTCGGCTTTCGCAGGAACGTTGCTCCTAAGCTGACAATGGACGGCACTGGCGGCACATACATTTTGTTTGATGGGCGTCGTCGTCCTGTGGCAGTCTTTAAGCCTGAGGTATTGCAGTGCGTGCAGCAGAACGGCGTGGCACTGAGACTGAGTAGATCGTGCTGAGGTTCCGCATTTATTGCGGATGCCAGATCATGGTCCCCTAGACTGCCTGCCTGCCTGCCTGCCTGCCTGCCACCAGCAGAATCTCCTTCCCTCTCCTTTTCTTCTCTGCCCCCGCCTCTTCTTTCCTCCATCGCCCCTCCCAGCCCGCCCGTGTGGTTCATTCAGTCTGTCGAGGAAGGGGGGAGCTGGCGACACGACTTCTGCGCTGCTATTTGGGGGGAAGGGGGTGTCTCGACGGCGTAGGCCTCGCATGTGGCGCTGGCTCCGTGTCGCTCCGCAATGGCTACGGCTTCTGAAAGCGGTTGTGTGCTGATCCTCTGCGGCTGTAGGACGAAGAGGCCTTTGCACCATGCAATCCTCGCGGATACGAGGGGCGACTTGGCCAGCAGGGGTTGCGTGGGGGCGTTCTTAGTGGAGAGGGAGCTGGTCGTGAGTTTGCTGCGTATCTGCTCGATGCGAGTTACGGAGGCTTCGCTGGCGTCCCCGCCACGATGATGGTGGAAGCGTGTCATCCGGCTTTCTGCAGCAAAGGACAAATCGAGGTTCGTGCATGCTGCCATCGCCGCTGCCTCCGAACGGCTCCCTGTTTTCCTCGTGGTTAGGGGTGTGCCTCGTCTCAGGAGCCTTTTAGGTTCGAGGTGCCGCCAACCTCTTGCCTGCCCTGCGCAGGACTGGACTGCCTTCTTTGTAGAGAGCTACGCGGGGATGTGGTGGCTCTTGGGGTTGGTGAAGTCGTTCTCGTTCGTGTTTCGGATGCACTTTCTAGGTTCGAATTTTCATACGAGGGGGGGTGCGTTTTGTGCAAATCTGTAGCCAAAGGATACGGAGTTTTCGAGTTGGATGTCTTGAATCCCTGCCTCCTTAGGTTGACGGCGACGTCATGATGAGCACTTTTGTCAGCAACGAGTCTTCTCCCAACGTCTCCTGGAAAGTTGGCAGCTTCCAGGCATTTGTTGAAGCCAAGGTGTGTTTGTTTGCATGTTTTGGGGGGCCCATGTGTGGGGCCCTCCAAAACGTACAAAGATCGCATTGGCGGATATATTTGTATGCGCAGCATGTGGAGTAGCAGCACTTTATGGCCTATTAGTGTGGGGCTGTGAGTGCCTGAGTAAAATGGTCGAGAATGCGCTTCCCTGTGTGTTGTGGGTGGGCACCTCTGGCGCACAGCAGCCGATCTGTCGAAGTGCAAGTCGGAGGCGTATCGTGTTACCCAGCACCTTAATGACGCATGCGAATGCTCTACTCTACTTGCGGTGCGATGCATCTTCTTTTGCTCCGTCGTGTGTGCGGGGGCCTGCAGGAATGCGTGGGCAACTTTGATGCGCGCCTCTTTTCTGTCGGTGACGTGCACCGAATCGCCATCTTTGATTTGCGGGTGATGAATCTTGATCGGAACGACAGCAATATTCTTGTGGCTCCTTTGATGGGCTACCAGAAGGATCCACAGGCTCATCCCAGCTCTCGAAGCCTCCGCGGATCCAGCGGGGTTGTCAAACAGATTCAAGGCAAACTGCTGCGCAGTGTTTCCTCTGTTGGATCCTGTGGGGCACAACTTTGCCTTGCTGATCAGGCAGCAGTTGTGGGAGCGGAGACGGCAGCGTCTGCTGCCTCGTCAGTGCTAACGCCTGATGGAAAGCCGACGAAGTAAGGAGGCAAAGGACAGAAGCTGCCTCCTGGAATTCCCGAGGCGGTCCTGTAGGGCCTCTTTTTTTCCCGGAAAATCGTATCTCACTTGCTGCATGATTTTCCACCCGCGATTGACGCACTGGACACCTCGCCACTTGTAGGCGTGCGTGCAAGTGTATGAATCTGCGGCGTCTCAGGTTCCGTCTGATTCCGATTGACCATGGCATGATCCTGACAGACGTCCTTGACGTTGCCACGCTTGACCTCGTGTGGTTTGACTGGCCTCAGAGCAAGGTGCGCCCGTGCATCCTACAGAAGACTTGCTTTTTAAAATTACTGCTCTTGTACATTTTGCGGTTGGTGCGCGAGTTCGCAGTGGCGGGTGTGCAGCAGACGTCTGCATGCAGCGGGCAGGGGAAGGGGGCCTATCTATATCGTTATTTGGCACTGAAAAACTCCGATGAACCGTGTGCCTGACGCGTAGGCGTCGATCGTCTGGGGCCATCATGGCTAGGAGTTTGAATGAGTTTTTTTAGGCATTGGATTGGCAGGCTTCATCGTCAGTGAAGGGGGAGACTTGCTTGCTGCGGGTGGGGTGTTGTCGGAGTGGGAGTGGCGGTGGTTTGTGTGTGTTGTTGATGTGCATCATTTCTCCAGGAACCATACACTGAAAGCGAGCTGCGTCTTATCTATTCGTTCGACGTCGATAAGGACTTGGAGCGCCTGTCCAGGCGGGTGGTTCTGAGGGATAACTGCTTGCGAACACTTCGCTTAGCCACTAAACTCCTGCAGATCTGCGCTCGGCATCACTTGACGGTTAGGGAGACTGCGACGATTGCTGTGCGTGACAACTTCGATATACCGTCCCCGCTCGAGCATCTTGTGAGTTTTTTAAAAAATGAGGCCGTTTTCTTCTAGCACAGCTTGGAAGACACAGTGTGGTGTGTTTTCTCCTGTGCTCGACGGGAGTCAGAAGAGGCGATGGTTCAGTGGAGGCGGGATAGTGGGGGGGGTGAGGGTAAGGGAAGGGGCATCCAGGGAGTGGCGGTCTGTATGGGCAAAGGGGCTGAGGGTTAACCTTGCATGCCTTTGAACGTGTGCACTTGCTTTCGTAAGCCTGTGTGTGTGTGTGTATGAACCTCTATGTGTGTGTGTGTGTATATGAACATCTATGTGCCACTATGTGCCCTTGTGCTGCAGATCCGGCGGAGTTTGGAGATATCGTATCTCGCCTTGGACTCGACATCGCTGATGAGCACCAACCGCTTAGGTTTTGGCATAATGGATCTTGCGGAGTTGCAGGGCGATCCCAGCAAGCAGTCGGGGCAGCGTCGGGGATCTTTTGAAGCGAAGCTGAAGAAGGCGCTGAAGAAGAAGCGAAGGAACGAAGAGAATGCAGGCCATGGGTGGGGAGAGATAACGGCAGATGGGCATAAGTTGTGTGGGCGCTGTGGGGGCGTCACTGGTCTGGATAAGGAAACGGTGCCGGAGAGCTTTCACGCCGTCAGTCGGTGGAGCCGCTCACCTTCTCCTCTTGACCAGGAGACGATCGCGGATGGCGACGACTTCGATGACAGCCCGCTATCCAGATCCTGCACGACGCTTGACGATTGGGAGCAGGCGCGGTCGAAGGCAGCGTTCCTCGCGGGGGAGAGTGCTGCTGCAAGGCGGCGGACTGTGGGTGTGACTCCTGGGTCGAGTCTTCCCTCCGCAGCGGACTCATCAGCGAACTCAGCAAGTGCATGCCGCTTCGAAGATACCGAGCAGCTGTCGTTGCGCGGTGCAGACGGGTGTGGGGCAGCAGGAGGGGGCGTCGTTGCTGCTGCTTTTGCCCTTCCCCCTTGCCGTTGCGCAGACATCCGAGAATCCAGCAGCAGCAGCAGCATGGCAGACTCGGCGGACGACAGCAGTGGCTCAGACAGCGACACCAGCAGCAGCAGCAGCAACAGCCTCAGCACGAGCAGCAATGAAATGATTTTTAGCAGCTGGCCTAGCAGTGAGGCGGACTGCGACAGCAGCAAATCCGCGTCTGAAGCAGAAATCCAGTCTCATCCATCTGGTGCCTTCGGGAGTTTCCAGGCTCCTGGAGCTGCTGGGGGTCCTATGCGCTCACTTCCCAGTGCAGCCTTGTTTCGATATCCATCTAGGGAGTCTCGCTGGGCAAGGCGGCAAAGGCGGAGAACGTCTCGCTCTGCCCGGAGGCGCAAGTCTGAGGCGGTGGCGGAGGCTAAGACAGACGAGGTGGCCACTGCTAGTCAGGCCCTGATGCGGGGCGAGTCGGGTGTATTTGCAAACACGCACACCAAGGGAACGGTGCGGCGGTAAGTTGTTGCCCCCACATGACATGCAGGTCCCTAGTGCATATAATGTGGCGAGTGGTGCAGAGGACCAACCGCCGATCAAGGATGGATCAGCAGTCTTCATGAACGTGTGCTTCTTGGCTCGACAAGCGAGGCTGCGGTTCGTTTTAGCTCCTGCCTTGCATCTCCTGGTCCGTTTGCTGCGTGTGCAGGCTCAATGGCACAGCTAGAGGCACTGGCTGCAGGCCGAAGCAGCAGCCCTCCGCAACGACCAGCACGTGGAGTCTGACAGATTCAAGCGGCCGCGTCATTCTTCTGGATTGGCGAGACGGCAGGATGGACAAGTAAGGAGAGCAGCAGCGCACGAAGTATTTGGAGGTCGCTTTATTCTCTGCCTGCCCACGGCGGGTATGGGGCTCTAGGGGAGAGGAACAGGGGGGTGCTGCGTACAGGGCTTTGTGTGTTTTCTGTTTAGGCTTTTTTTCGAAGTGTATGAGTCCTTGCTAAGACAGCACATCTTACATAACCATCCTCAGTGGCACACTTATCCGTATAACGGGGAGACCATTGAGCGCAGCGAGCGCCGCCAACAGATTCTTCGGCACGAAGGGTGCTCTTTGACGGCCACATCTCGTGTTTCGACGCCTTTACTTCACGTGCATCAGTCCCCACGGACCACGAATTCTCACCGCAGGCTGAGCTCTGAGGCCAGTGACGATGCAACTGCCGCAGAGCGCCATGTTGTGCGTAAAGACTCCAAGGCGCAGGCCCAACAGTTACAGCGGCAATACGATGACAAGCCCCAAGCTGCTTCCCGGCAGACCCGATTCAACATTGCGTCCGGCGCATGAGGGAGGTGAAGTTTTAGCCGCTGAAAACATGCATGCACACCCAGACAATTGCATGCACAGCACTGCAGTGAGCGCCCTTGGCTGAGCAGGCCAGCTTGCTGTATGGACTCCTCGCATGCGCAAGCAGGCGAAACGTCCTCTCCTAAACCCTTCCCGAGAAACTTTGCTAGAGGCGTAGCTCTTTTCGCGGGCTGCTTCGACGCTGCACTGCCGTTTGGGTCCCACGAGGATGTGCTTAGAGGTCCAAGGCAAGGCAGCTGCAACGAGAATGCAGATTTCCATCATGGTACGGGCCGATAGTCAAGTGCACATTGCATATGTGGCTGCGATTTTGATCATTGACTTCCCGTTATCACCCACTGTTCACACTCAAGAACGAGGGAGTGCGGCAGGTGACCCGCGATCTGCTTAGTGGGATGTATGCTCGTCCCATATTTCCACCGGAGTTCTACAGGGCACTAAGGCGGAGGTATTAAGATGCTTTCCTACCTACTAGGGCAGCGCCTCGTTCACATGTCATCTGGGAGCCACGCAGCTGTCAAACGCCTGCAGGATAACCGTCTTTTTTTCTAATCCTCGCATTGGCTGTCCGCTCTATGTGCTTGATACCCGGGTTGTTCCGCATAAATGACCCGCATATTGTGTGCGTGGACAGTGTGTCGTAAACATTCACTGTCCTATTATGCCACCATGAAGGCAGTAGGTATATCCTTGTAATAAACATCACTTTGCCTACTCTGGATTTAACTACTCCCATTATGATCGGAGACCGGGTACTGTACATCTTAGACTGACGGAACCGTGTAATTTTTGAAAACACCGCTAGGTCAGGCTACATCAGCTGCAGTATTTCTGCTACAGTCTCAGTCAAAGAGGATCACCTACTTCAACTTCTCTACAATAGTGCGTTCTCCTCACAGTTCGGGAGCTCCTCACCATGATTACCCTCAGCCCAAAAGACACCCAGGCTACAATTCTGAGCTTGAGTGCACGTAGCTGCGTACTCTGTTTGATTACACAGTCACCTATAGAGTAATTTTGCTTACAGGTAGGGGTATGGGGCTGTTGTGCTGAGTTAGGCATGTCCTACCACGATTGGGGTGTAAAACAGCCAAAACAGCTAGAAAATTTGTTTGAAAAGACCTTACAAGTAACTGAGCGGCAACTGCTTGCAAGTTCGTTTTTTGGTGAAGTAATAGAATTCCAGAAGCAGTAGAAAAAGTGGCTGTGACGATTCATCTAATGCACCCGTTGGTAGACACTTCACTGCATGAAGCAAATTTGATGGAAGTTTGAGTTTTGCTCCAAACAGTCCCTTTTTTCCCTGCCTGCACCCTTTAGGGCTCCCGATATACCGGGAGAGGGATATGTAGGGTGCGTGTAGCTGCAATCGTTAAGCCCTTTCCCATTCACAGCGTCTAGCGCACGTGCGCGCAAGCTTGCATCTTCGTGAATCGAGCGTACAGTACACTGCAGCAAAAATAACCCTACAAAACGGCAAGCCAATAGGCGATTATTCAATGATTATTAGTCAAATATAACTAGTGTAATAGAATCTGCCTACGTGTAGCTCTGCCTGCTACAGTAGGTTTCCTGCCCCCAACATCGACGTAGAACGAACCAACGAGAGCTACTTCTAGCCAGCACTTCTCCCAAAGCAAAGTTCAAGGGCTTGGACGAACAGGACCAGGCTAGAGCTCCGATTTGTGCAGTCCTCCTCCATATCGCTAAGAATACCAAGTGGAAAGTCTTCCCAACCTGTTGAGATCAATATATACACTTTTTGATGTTATCCGGCCAGCAATCCTCCTGAATCTAATCGTTCAGACCCTTTCTCTTACCATTATTGTGTCGACTTTTGAGTGACGAACAGGTACTAGAACTAGCGAATGAGCTATAGATGCAGATGCTTTGTGCTCTGCTCTGATACATTCCCTCACAAGCATAAGCGGAGGTTTCGCGAGTAGTTCCAGCCTATTCAGAAATAAGTTGAAACCGTATTCAAGCCAGAGGAATGCAGGGCGTTTAGGAGCTTTTACCGCCAAAATGTGCAGCATGTGTAGCACGACGCGCATGTTATTTTTGGAATCCCCGATCCCGCACCTAACATGTACATTTCGGCTGTGACTTCCGATCGGATGTGTGCTTTTAGTAGCCTTCTCGCTATTAAAAGAAAATTTACTCATGAAAAATTAGCATTGACTTCGACAGTAGTCGAAGGTCCTTCGTAAACGGCACGGTGGTGGGCTGACGTTTGCAACCCCACCCACCAGAGTGCTCGTCTTCCTCGAGTACCCCAGCCGTCCGTCTGAAGAAGGCTCTGCTTGAAGCTGTTAAGGGCTTACCATTTTTTCATCAAGCTAATTCGAAGAACGTGTTGTGGTGTTCGTGGAGGCCTCTGTACTGGAGTGAACCGCACCACCGTGTTGCAGAGCGGAGCAAGACCTGACAAGATGGAAACTCTCCAAGCTGACCCGGCAAGCAACCTCCCTCTGCCTTCTGTAGTTTATGCTCCCCAGATCTGCCCAGAGAACCTTTTTCTTTAGGACTCGTGGCTACTTCAGGTTGGGGTGATTGCTGACCATACACTGTCCGGTTCTTTGCTTCAAGCCCAGTGTGAGGGTTTTGGGATTGCATACTATCTTTCCACTTATCTGGCCTGGAATTATTGAACCTTCTTCTCTGAAGCCTCCTCAGACGGCGAATGGATTAATGTGCTAGCTGGATGCTCGTTTATCTGCCATTCGCGTGCGTGCAGCCTCTGAGAGACGCAGATCCGCAGTTGTACAAACTTATCGCAGAGGAGAAAAAGCGTCAAATAGAGTGTATTGAGCTCATTGCATCGGAAGTGGGTCCCACAAGCTGTCCAAATACATGAAGACCTAAGGAGATGTCGTGAACCTAAGGCTAACGGCTGGCCTGAAAAAGCTAACGTATCGGCACGTCTCTCTGTCCTCAGAACTTCGTGAGCTCTGCTGTCCAAGAATGTCTGGCCAGCTGCCTTACGAACAAGTACTCTGAAGGCCTGGTGGGAGCTCGATACTACGGCGGCATGGAATTCGTGGACCAAATTGAATCACTGTGCATCCAGCGGGCTAGAGAAGCCTTCCGTTTAGACCCCGAGGAGTGGCACGTCAACGTCCAGCCGCTCTCTGGCAGTCCGGCCAATCTCGCCGTTTTCTTAGCCCTTCTGCAGCCCCATGACCGCTTTATGGGCTTAGGCATCGTTGATGGTAACTTATCTCGAAATGCGCGCACCCTAGTTAGCCTCCTTGAGCCCGACACGTTGCAGTGCAAGTGGCAAGCACGATTCAGTCTGGGTAGAGCAGTGTATTCTGCCTCCACGTAACGCAAATACTCGGAAAACTCATTAGCCTCCGTATTAGCTCTAGCTACTGCCTCTGAACACATCAGCTTTCGAGCTGCTGCGTCTTCCGTAATTAATACAGGAGGTCACTTGACACATGGCGCTTACACCCCATCTCGGCGGATCAGTGCCACCTCCATCTTCTTCGAGTCGCTGCCCTACGGCCTGGACTCCAAGACAGGACTGATTGACTATGATGAGCTCGAGAGGCTAGCACTGAAATTCCGCCCTAAGCTTATTATCTGCGGCCACTCAGCCTACCCCCGGTAGGCTGTTACTGGCACCCCGTTGTTCGGTGCTATGTTTTTGTTGCTGTTATGGATCCTCGGCACCAGCGACTTTGTTGCTCCCCATTATTTGCTGCTGAGAGTCCCTTCGACTAGCAACCATGCCATTCCTGGGCATAGAACCAATCGGTTGTTTACAGTTGTCATGATTGCGATCTTCTTGCGCAGACTGCTCGACTACAAGAGATTCAGAGAGATTGCCGATGGGGTGGGAGCCTTTTTGTGGTGCGACATGGCGCACTTCAGTGGCTTTGTGGCTGCAGGAATCTTTGAGTCTCCCTTCGCCTACTGCGATGTTGTCACTACCACTACCCACAAGACCCTCAGGTGCATTCTCGGTTTCCCCATGCACGGAGCAGCAGACTCACTAGCCCTGATGCATCGCGAATCCGGAAACGTGCCCACAGACAGGTCTTTGGCAGTTTGCGCCTACTTAGCACGTCTATGAAATTATCTGCATAGAAGTATGAGGGCAGACAAACGGTGTGCAGTACGCAGCTAGTGGCTGTCTTGCCCACCGAAAAATCCCGGCATGCGTGCAAGCAGCATCTTACCTGGTGCCACACATGTTTACTCAATATACTTGGGGATTATTTCTTTCTCCTTGCTGTCAGGGGCCCCCGCAGCGGCATCATCTTCGTGAATACTAAGCGGGTCGCTGACGGCGCCTCTAAAATCGATTCCGCTGTTTTCCCCGGACTACAGGGGGGACCCCATGAAAATCGCGTTGCGGGTGTGGCATATCAGCTGAAGCAAGTAAGCAATCTCGTCGCACTAGAGAACAAGCTCGCCGTTCGGGCACACTCGTGCTTTTGCGGCGAAACGTTGCCGAGTTGCTGCCTACCGCCACAGGCCTCAAGACAGCCAGCTGTGCTTTGCCCTCTGTGGTACACGGGGATAGAGGCCGATGGCGCGTTCTAAATTTTTCGCGTGGGCTCAGACCTGCACGCCAGAGTGGCGTGCCTACTCTGAGTGCGTCTTGAAGAACTGCAAAGCGCTAGCAAAGGACTTGCAAAGTCACGGCTTGCAGCTCGTCACTGGCGGCACTGACAACCATCTGTTGCTTGTTGATTTGAAGCCCCAAGGGCTTACAGGTGCGGCCTAAAGGAAGCGGTCAGTAGTATTTCAGCAAGGGAAGGAGGCAAAACCTTGCTTGATTTTCTCTGACTGAATAGACGCTTTCTAATGAGCATTTTTGCACCTCTTCGGCTTTTTCTAGTGCCTGGCCCCTACTGTTCCAGAAACAGGACGAGTATCAGCAGCATACTTGTGACCCTTGCACGTATGCACAGCTGCTTGTTCGTCCTTCTGAGGTTATTTGCCCCGCAGTGTCGCTCCTGCTCTCCCTTCTAGTGACGCATGTACTTGTTGCATTTGAGGCTGATCTGTCAGGGGCGAAGCTGCAGTTGGTCTGCGACATGGTGAACATCACGCTGAACAAGAACGCCATTCCTGGGGACTCTCCTGCGATTCCAACCGGTAGGGTGCAAATGACCATAAATGCCCTCCCACATAGCTTTCAGTGAATTCTGTGCTTTCAATTTTACCGGGTCTGCTCTGAGGCAACAGCGGTGTGCTGTCATGTGAGTTGTTTTTCAGGGGTGCGCATTGGCACCCCGGCAATGACCACCCGCGGTTTCGGAGCCGATGAGTTTAAACGAGTCGCTGGATTTATTAAGGAGGCAGTAGATATTTGCTGCGAAATCCAGGGTGCGCCTAGCTGAAACTGAATACATTCACACATGCATGCATGTTTGTAGGTGTGCATGGGCAAGTGTAAAGCTCTACAATGGCAACCCATCGGGGGCGCTGGGAGGAATGCAGGCACTACAGGTCCTGCACCAAATGTCAATAAGAGCTTCCTCACGCGGATTCGGCACAGGGGTGAGCAGATGTCTGTTTGGTTTTGTGGCTTCAGAAAAATCGGGTAAGAAGCTTGCAGACTTTCGCAAACATGTTAGTGCCACGCATCCCCGGATCGCGGACCTCCGAGAGCGCGTTATAGCCTTCGCACGCAGCTATCCAATGCCAGGTCGAGCCGAGATATAAACTTGTGAAGGGTTCTAACCTAGATCTGTAAAGGCGCTGCTTAAGGACCAGAAACAGAAAGTCTATGGGCACCCGCATTCTAGAAGGAAGCGCCTATGGGAAGGGCGAAAGGCCGAGTCGCTGACGAGCAAACCTCTTAACACCGGCAAGGACGCGGAAAGGGTTTGGACTTGCGGTGGGGCTGCAAACTGCATCTCGCATGGTGTTGCGCAAAAAGCACGTAATGCACAGCGCATCTGAACATGTATGATCGGACCCTACTGCAATGGAGGTGGCATGAAACTTAGCGCATTCACAATGCGCATTGATGTATCTGTACCATGTTTCACCTTTTACACTCTCAATGTTAGTTTTCCCTGTGTCCACACGGAGGAGGTCTCTACTGGGCGAAGCACGCAGGTGTAATGCCATTGCTGCCAGGACTTCAAACCACAACAAACCGGACCACTGCACAGCAACCGGTGCATCCCTTTAACAACAGTCTTACGCTGTAGGAGGCTGACATAGCCTGAGTCCATTCCACAGGCAATATATTGCATTGTAGTTTTAGGGGGCTACGCTAAAACTCGAAGCTTTTTACCACTTATGTAAACCAATGACCGACTAGCTTGTCTTTTCGTATATATTATTTATTGCATTGTACTGTTAGGCAGAAGAAGATGCAGGGTGCTATGCGCCTCCGCTAGGTGCTCTGCGCAACTATGAATGCTGGGAGTCCATTGAGGGTACAGCAACGCTCAACGTAGGTGGGACTTTCTCCTCACTACATGAACTTTGAGGGGTCTGAGCAGAGGAGAGCATGCTCTTTTAAGACATATTCAGCGTCTTTTGTTTTTATTCCTTCTGGATCTAAGCGTCTTTCTACGGGGAGTAGGAGCTTTACAGTCGCACAATAGGCGTCCTTTCGTCGGACTTGATAAAGACTGAGGGAATTTGAGAAAACGGACACCCACAAAGCATCGTTGAAGAGGAATTTAGCTATTAGCTGCACAGGTATGCTTTTACATACCCGTAGGGTGGTCTGAGTACCCAAGGGATTCAGCAGGAGATCAATTATTTGCTGGCTAACAGATTCTCGCCATATGGCTGCTAGAAAAGGGAGCCGCAGTTTGGATAGCATGCAACCACTCACGTAATAGTGCACATAATGTAGGGAGGTTCTCCACATGTGAAGGTTTCATTGTTTGCTCATATGTTGTAAAGAGGCCCGCTGAGACTACAAGGATTGAGCATATTCTTTTGCTACTCAGCATTGGGATGGACTGTCGATGTGGATACTAGTGCAATGAATATGCTCCAATTTTGCATACACTTTATATAGAGACGAAGCACTGAAGTCACGAACCAGGCAACGCCATTTTCATGATCTACGAATTCTGCATGATACAAACGGAACCCTGGGCTGCCGATGCTACTGCCAGGGGAAACGCCAGCAAAACCTAGTCCATCAATAGCAGGGCGACACCGAACGGCAGAAAGTAAGCTATGTTGAATTTAAATATGCTTATTATTGCGTTATTACTGTGTTACTAGTAGCAACAGAGACCCCTTGGTTTTATTATTCCGTACAGGAGTGCGATGACATCGGACCGCTTGGGGACAAGTGTGCTGACTAGGTTATACACTGCAAGAGATTTTCGATAAAACTACTTTAAATGTGCTATCTTGTGATCATTTAGCAATACTGGTGTCGGTGGTATCTTCTTTGCAGTAATGCTGCTGTTTGAGTTTAAAAGTCACGGCTGACCGCGCTCAGCCTGACCACTGGTCAGACTGATCGGCGTGCTCTGTATGGCAATTTGTGTTATCTTTTGTTTTCGTGCTTATTACCGAAACTTTTTGCGAAGTTTGCAACAAGACTGCCGAGGACCGAAGACGACTATCGACGATTGCCTCACCTTTCCTCGACACAACTGAATCGACTGCAGGTTCCCTTTTAACAGAGAAAAGGCCATGAGTTCTTGTCGCTGAAAGCCCAAAGGGCAATCTTACCTTTTGTATGTGAGTTTTACATAGTAATTGCTATAGACAGCCACGAGAGGTTCGCATTGTTCGCTGAGCATCGCCGTGGCAAGCAGCATTCATCCAGTCAGCGTCACGGCAAACCAGCAGGAAGAAGCACCAAGAAGAGAAGCTTCTTATATGGGAGAGCCTGCACCTAATCTGAAGCGCGTCGTGAACAGGAAGGACATTACCTCTGCTCATCGCGTTGCTTCACAATGTGCGCTATACTGGGGGCCTGCTGCGGTAACGCCAGCAAGGCGTGCCATTGCCTCTCCCTCCGCAACTTTGCCTTCATATGGCTTGGCATCAGTAAGCAGTACAGCAGACGCCTTCACTAGCGTGTATTCACGGGACAGCTGGATCAGGCATACGCACAGTTAAGGGAACTTCGATTTCTAGCACTACCTTCCACCCACTTCTGCCTTTATTATAAGCAGCGAGTGCATATAGGGGCCTATGTGCTTGGGCGGACTTTTGCATTGTGAGGTTTAGCAATCATTATGGATCAGAGCAAATGCCAAGAATAACGGGAAGCTGGTTATTGTTGCATCTTTCTTGCAGATATACTCCTGGCTGCCGTACAGTTCATTGCTGGCTCGTCCCTCGCAGCCTATCGGGCCCCCGTGGATAGCCTTCTACAAAGCATAAGAGAAAAAATAATGGAAATGGACAACCCCACAACTGCTCTGAAATACTATAACGTAATTGCCAATAGTCTTGCTGTGTTATGGAAAGGGACGAATTTATTGACCACAGTCCGCGGTACGCTGTAAGCAGATTCTTTTGTCTCTACCAAAACCAGGAAAAGCAACGAGAACCACCAGAAAATGCCACTCAGACTACCTTTTAACAGCCCTTATCTAAATCGTGGAAATTGCCGAGGACATAAGTTTGCTGTGTATCTCTAGTCACTGCTTTTGCGTCTCCCATACAATCGAAACACTAGTAATGGACTGCTATCAGCTTAAAGCTATGGTGACCATTGCAGGAGCTAGTAGGAGTTGTCGCCTCCTCTGTTGGTTTGGACACTTGTCAGCTGAAATCGCAGACCAATGTGGATGGGTTTCTTGCTTGTTTCTTAGGTGTCTACGATTCTATCGCCATTGGCCTTTGGGTATACGGTTGGTACTACGCGAAAATCGGGCTTGTCTATATCTTTGTCGGAATGACGGCCTTGGCCTTCTTCGTCGACTTTTGCCTGTTAATCATTTTCTTGGTCGTCATCAATGTCCTTTACGTCGCATACTTTTTCCCGGTATCCACCCTGTTCCCGATTGTTGCTTACCACGCAGCTTTCTGAGTGACACTTGATCTATTGAGTGACAGCTATTCTACGTGCAATGAAAAATGTGAAATCGTTTTTTCTGTTCTAGGTTCGGGAACGGGAAGGCACTTTAGCTTTAGGGGCTCTGAAACTGACGCTCTACCACCTGTGTACGATTTGTGCATTTCTCAGTCTGCTTTGGCTTTGCCTTTCATTTTTTTCGGATGGCAAGCTTTCCTGGGGTAGGTGCCACTGCGGTTCTTTGCTCCAGTCTCCTAGTGCAATGGAATTTGCAAGTGCCCAGGATTGTTGCAGGATACTCACTCTAAGTAGTGAATGCTGCGTTCCAGTGCGACTGGTTTGCGATAACCTTCATTCCACTTCTCGGTCTTTGATTTTTTCTTTAGGCCATACATCCTGCACCTTTTGCTAAGTCATGCATTTGGTAAGTGGGAATGCAAGCTCTACGGTTTTGTGCACGGCTAACTTCGTATGATTTCCTTCTATTTTACGCTTGGAGGCTCTGCTAGAAAGGTCCAAGATACCGCTTAGGCGCCGCTGGTCGGCCTGAATGTTATTGCTGTGGGTTCACCCGTTTGGCTGACGGTAGTGCATCTGCTAATCGTCTTTGACATTACCCGAGATTCTGCACTGCTTTTGCTGGGCAGGAACTCGACCCCGCTCTCTCACCTGTTCATTCTTGATTAAATTTTAGAGACTGTACTATGTGTTCATTGGGAAACGTTGGGTGCTGCGCTCTGCGCAGTACTAAGCGTTGGAGGCGACGGCACTGAGATGAAGACCTGGAAAGAAGTACAGAAACTCAAGGAAAAGGCGGCGCGCCAAGGTACGAAAACATCTTTTACCTTTTCTGTTAATCATTCCTGCAGCTCAAAGAAGCAGGCTTATGCAACCGCATTTTTCTAACGGATTAGGCTTTGCGGCTTGCTATGTTACTTGGGTTGGCACGCTGCGACGGTGTAGTCTCAAGACTACACTTTTTATATTTGTCCCACCCAACCCTCAGATGCATTAGAGGAGACGCTGGAAGAAAAAGTAACGCTACTGGAGGAGCCCAACGAAATTGACCGGAGCGAGTCAGCAAAAGCGGTACATGTGGAAGAAGCAGCCACCCCAAGAATTACGCAAGAGGCGGAGGTGCCAGACGTCGAAAAAGAAGCTACTATGGTTTGAGATGTAATATTTAGAGCAAAATCTGGCTGTCTAGTGGTCGTATAGAGGTTGAAGGGTGTCGTTCTGCCAGTGATTCTGTTTTATCAGCTTACTGTCTGAGACAAACGGCTCTATTCTACTCTTTGAGTGGCGTTGGCCCACAGCCGGATCCATCACGTATATAGTATACTCGCACCTAAATTAGTCATGTTTCCGTACACCTAGGGACCGTTCCCCGGTCTCTAGAGTGTCAAATCCCCGTACAGGAGGAGATCCTGACATTTTACTGACCTGAGTCTCTCGTGTTTGTCACTTCGGGAACCAGCTCACGGCTAATACGAAGTGAATTGCAAGGGGACGCTAGGTCGGCAGAACCAGATGTAGTGTGGACAAACTGTAAACCCCTCGTGTTTGAATCATACTGCATTCTCCCTTGTTATCATTCTTATGCCAGTGTTTGGGTGTCTACTGGTACTATCGGCTTTGGTGGTTGCTGCGTCCACTAGGTAGAAAACGGACAATGTCACAGGAGGCCTTCCCTCATTGTGCTCACTACTTCTGCTGCTCAGCAATATCCTGGCCCGTGAGGCGGAGCAGGCGCCCTGGGACTTTTTCAATGCTCGCAGTCCAATATACCACTAAATTTACAGTGTGGGGTGTCTGCTTCTGGATAGGGCACGGCAGACAGATGCAAGCTTCCGCACTTGGTCCTACACATATGCCCATATATCGCTACTGCGCCTTAGTATGATACTGTCAAATTCTGTACACTGCGTTTAGTAGAGGATCAGTTTGGCCTTCTATCAAGGATGAAAGCAGCCGAGCTGCTAGAGCCGATACAGCGGATTGTTTGGGGTTGGAACATTACCTTGTGTATTCATGAACAGAAACCAGGACTGCTTACGTGCCTTTGTCGATGCAGATGTGATCGACTACCCTTTGCATACATCGCGTAATGGGAAAACAGAAGCCACAGTGGCTTCAACAAAGATACCTTGCTTTAGTCGCAACATTAGCGATACCTCCTCGCTGAGATCGGTTGTCCCATGCAGTTCGTCCGGTTGTATGTCTTAATATATCTGTCCGGAAGATAGACCATCAATACGGGAGGTAAAAGTCCTTCTCTGCTCTGTACAATCAGTATGCAATGCAAAGATATACAAGTGTGGCATAAAAGCGCAGCCACACACACGCAATATCAGTCACACATACACACACATGAACCAATGCCCAGCGAAAACAACTAAAAGAGTATATGCCTACTGGCAGCCCGCATGGATATTTGTGCCACAATTTGTGTGCTAATGTTAAGATACAGACTCTCAACAGACGGGAGAAATATCTGTCCCATGAGGTGTTTTGGCCGAACTTACCGAGATTGAAGAGAGTTCCTTCTTTTGCATGTTAAGGAAAACCTTGGAGACTATGGTCATCTTTCTTAGTGTGGACCTTCTGCGCATTACGTCGACAACTGTCTCCTTAACTGATGCCTTTGACAGTGCCTTCGTCAACTCGTTCAAAGACTTTGCATCCATGCGTTCTGATGGGTTGTGCGCATTCACGTAGTCCCCCGACTTCGCGTCCAACGTGAATTTGCGACTCTCTAGGAATCTAGCTACACATTTACACACACACACAAATACTCATAATACAATGGGAATGAGCCACATGTGAATAATATTGCGATCTATTGATGCGTTCTCAGTGTGCCAGATGGTACCCCATGGGGTAGCCTTTCCTACCCTGCCCTAACTACCCGTCTACTCCCGTACATCAGCTCTATATATTCCAGGAAGGAAAACTGCACATAAACGAGCCACGCATGCTTACTTTCTTTCCTCAGGGGGCGTACAGGCGAGTTGGTTGCGGCGTTCCATTGGCTAATGCCTTCAACGAAAATACCGGAATTCTGCAGCTGAACTCCAGATGCCTGCTTGTGTATATCCTCCTCCTGGGGTGCTGTATCCGGCCTCTTTGCAGTAAAGCCTGTGTATGATGATAAAGCCCTCGTATAATTCCAAGAAGGGGTCTTGGCGGGGAGCCTCTGCCATTCATTCTCTCCTATCATCTGGCTTAGGTCCTCCGTCGGCGATGGACTCTGCTGCAACTGCTGCATCACAGCTTGTGTCAAGGCTGCGGTGTCTCCAGGGAATGCAGCTGAGGAGAAGGCCTGCTCCTCCACCTCCTGTCTATGCTCCTCTCCAGGGGCTTCCTTCTGCACCTTTGCCCCGGATTGAAATCGTTTCAGAACACCAATGTTTGTTTCACTGTCCTCCAGAGAAAGGCCCCTGGGGGTCATAAACTGGGCACTGCTGCCTCTGCTGTCCAATGTTCTCGACATCTTCGCCTGAAAAAGGTATATGGCGACACGGGAGCACATATATTTTTGATTATAGTGGCACTCAATGGGGAATAAGCGTGGTAAGTGAGGACTGGGATACAGTCTCCTTTCGGCAGCACTCGCCATGCCTTGTGCCTCTTCACTTAGGGTAACAAAGGGCTTCAATGCCTGTGTGCATAGGAACTCGGGTAGTAACTACTCTTTATATGTGCTTTCGCCCCCGACTACGAGCGGAGATGCCGCAAACGTGTCACAGACTCCTAGGTTCTCATCGCCTCTGGTTAGCCAATCGGGGAGCGTTGAAGACCGAGGATTTCGGGCCATCCAATGAAGTTCTGAAGGGAATCACACTGAGAAGCATTTCAGTGAGCTTACCGCGTAGAAAGAGTGGAAATGTTTCTCTTTAACAGAGAAAAACACCAAGACTGGCAGGCCCAGTGAGCACTTGCAGGCGACTCCAAGAGAGACCTGACGAAGGAGAAGTGTTGCAAGGATGCCCTTTCCAGAAACAAGCTTCAAACACGATGAAGTAAGGAGAGAAAAGCGATGAAAAAAGGAATACTTCAAATGAAATCATTGGAGTCATAATAGGACTAGCGGTACACTGGGTAGAAGGGCTCAGCCACGATCAGCCTCAATCTCTCACCACCAGCGGTAAGCATTGCCTTACTGTGCTGATGAGCGTCCCATCATGGACCCCCTCTACAGCTTCATCTGTCATTTTTTGCGTAAAAGGGAAGACTTTATGGTTTCGCAGCAATTCTAGGCAGCTTCATTCGGTGGCCCTTCCTGAGCAGGGTCTAGCTGGCCTTCCTCATGCACTGGTCTCCGAGGTCTTGTAGGCGAATTCTCTGAGACTTCTGATAGCTTCTTTCAGTCAAGCAGGGTGCGGTTATCCTCCGGTGCTGTCATAGCAATGGAAGATTGCGGGAGGGGACCAAAGCTGCTGCTTATTTTCATCCTGATCCTCGCTTGTCTGTTGCCATTCGCGCCATACCTCGTGCACATTCACACATTGTCTCTACACCCCATCTTCTTCCCTCTTGCCTGCATACTTGCTCTCCCGCTATTGGTTGTCACTGTGTACTCTATTCTCCGCTGCAGCGCAGTGGAAGAAGAATCGAGGAGAGAAAGGGTCGAGCTGCTTTCCAAGAGACGCTCCCGACCCAAGCGTTGGGTTGAGTAGGGAGACGCTGTTTCTTGCCTGTGCCCACCGTCCAAAGGGCAACGTAATTGTCCTCAAGAACGCGCAACGAGCTCTCAACTATATGGCAGACATCCACCACCCCTAGCAAGCGTTGCGGGGCCCTTGTGCCACCCTTGTGTGTACCTTGCGGGCGGTACATACAGCTCCCTATATTCCTATATGCTACCTCTTTCATCTCGTATTCTAGAGCTTCCACGTTGGCGTTACCCCCTCTGGGATGGCAACAGACAGCAGCATCTCGTCGGCCTTCGCGGCTGCAGCGAAGGGCGGGACCTCCTTCCCTGTTGAACAACTGGCCACTGCCGCTCGTACAGCTGGCGCATCTCCCTCTTTGGCGGAACTAAAAGCCTTCGCTGCCAAGTGTTCTGGAGGTGTGAACTCCGCAGTGTTTGCCGACTTCTGCAAGCAGACATCTCACAAGGATACTGCGGAGAGTCTCTTGACCTTCTTTCAGTCCATGGACCTCATGGGCACCGGAAAGGTCAAGAAGACGGAGGTCAAGAAATGCGTTATGAACTTTGGAGAATGCCTTTCAGAAGAGGAGGCCAATGCGGTCCTCGATGATATTTTCCCAGGGCAGGAAGACATCAGTTACCAAATTTTCATTCAGAAACTACTGCAGTGAACAGGCGCTCCCTTAATGCCATTCACAGAGAAGGCGACTAGAGAGCCAAGCATAGGGGCGACACCGATCCGAGACACTGCTCTTTGCTGTTCTTTTGCTTGAGTTCTACGTCGCCTACGTGTTGACACGTTGCAGCACAGTGCTGAAGGCTGTACTTCTCACCACTAGAGGCAGAGAGGTTCACGCAATAACGGACAGGCTGAAGCCGGGGACGGGAAGAGCGGGGACCCGTAGCTAAAGTAGAGAGATCTGTACCGTCTCTGTTCCCGAAGCATAATCGACAGAATCGTGTTTGTGTGCTTTGGGGGAAAGCCACCCAAAAGGCATTTTGGGCGATTGCTCCCGCAGACCAGCTGGCGTGTGCCTCCAAAAGAAGCCTGCTGATGCTAAGAGGCTTGGCACCAGGGTGAAGGGGCTCGCTGTTGAAGGACCGTATATCATCTGCTCCATTCGTGCCAATGCGCCTGTTTTGCCCCTACTTAAACCAAAAAGTCTGTGTTGTCCAATATCCTACTTATTTAGTGCCTTAGAGGGTGAAGTCAGGATCCCCAGTAGTACGCGTGCAGCGTGTTACGCATTGCCCTTTGTCTGGCTTGTTCACGGGACCGCTTTTGGCAAGAACCACAGTAGTGTGCGGCCCAATTGCCGCGATGTGGAGAAGCCGCGTGATTTTTAGCTACTGTCCCTGCTAAGGCCCCTACAGCACGGACGTTTCCCAGTCAATAGAATGGAGTGCGATACCGAGCTTAAATGGGGGAAGCCGAAGATAGGCAAGCGAATCATGCAGTAAGCACCCTGCACTCTACGGACTAACAGCGGGCTGACTCCAATCTCCTGGAAAGTAGAACCCGGGGTCTCTTCTTCCCCGTGGTAAAGGCCCCTCGTATAGAGAACCCCCTCAAGCCCGTGAGGCCCAAAGAGGCGCTCTACGCTGGGCACGTTCAAAGTTCTTCACATGTAAATTTTTGCTCCTGCACTCACGCTCCGGGCGTAGCGCAGTAGGAGCAACCTCTGAGCCACCAAAGCTCCGTAAGGCGGCATCGATGATGCAAGAGGAATATACTGGCGAAAGCATGAAGCAATCTGCGGGAAAACAGAGCAGCCGACCGGGTCGGCGTTCAGGGACGAGTGCATCTCTGGCCTTGGCAAAGTGTTAATTATTAGACAGGATAAAACAAATCAACCTTGTAGCGCGAAGGGGTTGCAGCTCTGGGCGGGGACTACATATGATGTACGGGGAGATCGGCCATAATTGAAACATACAGCAGCACAAGCTCCTTGCAGCAAATAAGCCACTTAAAACAAAACCGCGAGTGAGCACGCCGATCTACACAGATATCTTTGGCTTCACAGACGCCAGTACTCCCATGGGAGAGGTGGTAACTGGTAGCCTGGATAGTAGAAGGTGGCCGTCTGCGTGCTGCCACAACGGACGCGTAGCAACTCTGCACAATCTCTGAGAAAGACAGCAAATCCTGTGATGCCCTCAAAGAGACTAAAGGGCCTGTCGGGTACTTGGAGAAGCTGTTGATGCCTCTTGATGCCCTCCAGGGCAAACATCAGTGCCCGGCGTAGCCACTTGGGATGCTGCGAGCTCTTATACGCACAAAGTAGAGACATGCCATTACCGCCAATGCCATGACATATCCCCAGTCCTTTTGTTAGAAGACCCCGACGCCAAGTCACTGATCCTACGGAGTCTAGCCACATAAGGAAAAATCCAAGATCTTCCTTTGCAGCTTCGGCATCTGAGAGGCCCGTCGAACGGCGTCTGTACAAAGGGGGAGCCTCTGACTGCTGCTCTTTGGGGAGACAAGAGGTAGATTCCATGCTGCTGAGCCCCTTTTGTAGCTGCTGGTGCTGGACCGCGAGGGCCTCCCCTTCGTGTAGCTCAACTGCCCAGCACACGAGGGGAAGCATCCCGGGAGCGCCATGGCACCACTGGACAAGCACATCTTTCGTGCTCTCGGTGCTGCTCTTCAGATTTAGACCGTCTGTGAGATGAGAACGAAGGAGACTCAGCAGGGAACCAAGGGCCAGCCGGCGAACAGTGGCTCTTAGGGTAGCGGCAGCAGCCAGCCCATCACGGCAACACAGAAAAGCGCTTGCTGCCGGACAGAAAAACGGAGTATCTTTGCCCCTGTTGTGTAGCATGGCGCTGCATACGGTCGAAGAACAGGCCAAAAGTCGCGCTGCGGCGGCTGTAGCCTCCTCCTTGGAGGTTTGCGTGACCTTTTCCGCGGCAGCAAGCGCTCTGCTTGACTTCTCCGAGGCTCCTGGGAAGCAGCCCGATGCAGCCGCCTGGTAGAGCGTATCTACTGCTTGCAGCAGCGGCAAGAGGATTCCACAAATGCCGTGGGCAGCTCCCAAATATTGCGTGCCGTGCCACTCGTACATGAGGGGCAGAGGGCTGCCTCTAGAGAAGGCAGCGCAGGCTGAGGTGAACGGACGGTGCTCTTCTCGCGGCTCGAGGGAGTCAGTGCTTCCCCGATCGGCCATAACAGCTCCCACGCGTCCCTGAGCAACCAGCTGCCCGACAAGCTGCGCAATGAGGGAGAGCAGGAGCACCCGTGTCGCCTGCCTGTCGTCGGATAAGCGCTGAGACGACATGGATAGGAACTCCTGTTGGCTGTTGCTGAACGTCATAGTGCGGCCGAAGGAGACGGACTGACACCAGCTGGATAGCCCGCTGGCAAAGGAGCGAGTCGATGCAATGCGAAAATACCTATCGTCGAAGTTCAAGTTGCTTCTGTTGCTGTCAACGGCTTCTGGCTCTCCAGTGCAATCGGCAAAGAGAGAATCACATCCATCCTTGTCTCCCGTTCCTGCTGGCCCTATGGCCACTTCAGGCCGCGCAGCAGAGGGTTCAGAACAACTCGGGAAGCGGGAAGTCGGAGGCGGAGGAAGCCACAAAACGCGAGAAAACAAAAGCGCATAGAGGAGACCAGCTCGTCCATAGAGGAGCTCGCAGTCCTCAGGCATCATGTGAACAATGGCTGCGGCTGCCGCTGCTGCTAGTCGGCGCAACGTCAAGAAGGCCTGTTTCTGCAGCACAGCAGGCAAACCAGGAACATAATAGGGGGGCTGGAGCAGGTGTACATATAGAGCGACATCTGCGCGACTCTCTTGTTTCCGGAGCACTGCATGCGCGGAGAACGACTATTTGGGCGGATGAGAAAAACAGATCCATGGCCAGGATTTGGCTTTGCTCAAGCACACATCGGCACGAATAACGCAATTCGCTGCACCGGTGGAAACACCACAGCACGTTTGCTGCATACCTCCTTCCTGAGGAGGTACTGAGCCACTGCAGTCAATGCAAGGCGCCCAACGTGACCCTGCAAAAATGTGAAGCGGCGACGCAGGGAAGTTGCTGCAGCTCTCGCATTTGTATCGTCTTCTTCGTTGGCCCCTGAATCTGCATCTCTGTCTGTCGAAAGTATACTCAGAGCATCGTTTAAGGCCTTTTCCGCCTCTGCTACGGCTTCCTCCCGTGCCGCATCCTCAGTCGTTGGACTTCCTCCTCCTGGGCGAGTTGCTCGTTCAGCTGCTTCTGCTAGAGCACCTGAATCTTCCAGGTCCTTTGCGGCGGCGCTCAGGGTAAGGAAAGGTTCTCTCTCTGCCGCAGCCAGCAGGCGTTGGGCTTTCCTTAGTCACAAACATTCGCGCGTTGGAGATACAGCTGCTAAGTGTGCCAGCATAAACCACACCCTCTGCCCCCACGCCCCCCGCCCGCCTCTCAGCAGGCTGAGCCCTCGCCAAGGTCTGTAATGGCGTCAACACAAGAAGCAGTATCGGTGGCGCAGCATCTCGATAAGGAAAGCTTTCGCAGGCGCAGGTAGCGCAGGAGGAGTTGATGCAACGAAAGGTGTAAGGTGCTTGCAGCAGAAGTCGGGGTCTAGGCCGCAAACTCACCTAATAAGTGCATAAGCCAATCCAGCATCGCCCGAGTAGATACATCCAGGGCATTTATTCCTGTCGCCTACAAGGGTCTCCATGTAGTCTGCTGCGGAATCCAAGAGGTCAGCAACCGAAAGCAGGCTGCTGGAGCAGCCGCTTTTGCCTATCTCAGATACTGCAGCTGTCATCGACTCCACTCTTCGGGGAGACCACCAGCCACAGGACCCCAGAGAGGCGGCGGCTGCAACAGCAGCATCGTGCAACGCAGCTGCGTCGTCGCCGGAAAGGGGCGGAAAGCTGCGGCTTGCCATCAGACGTGCTGCGCTTATGAATTCCTACTGGTGCGTATGCTTGTTATTTTCTGAATTCGACTGATTTTCTGAATGCTGCTGTGACTTTTCCTGGTATGTCTGCGGTACCTGCACTCGCAGCCCCTGATGTGAATCGTGTTGGTGCTGCTCTCTGATGTTGTTGCTGGCCCGATTAGTATTACTGTTCCTCCTACTGTTCCTGCCCTTGCATTGAACTGAAGACTGGCACAACCTCTACGATGCAGTTGGCAGCCTTGCCGCGGTGAACCCTGCAGCGTGACCGCTTCTCCCTCTCCTAATGTTGTGGCTGATGCGTATTGGTGTGGCGTGTGCGCCGAAGATAAAAGGTAGGCGCATTCGAAGATTCCCTTCTGCAATGCCCGTGTGCTCCTTTGCTGCTATGACGGCTGGCTGATGGTTGGTTTGCTCGTCCTGATGACCATGGGTCGCCTACATTATTGAATACACAGGCGTAGTTAGATACTGACATACTTAAAGGCCGTTCTACAGAAAAATCAACGCGCATTTATGTTGTCGGAACGGAAGAAGCACAGCCCGTTCCAGAATCTCCCCAGGTCGAGCTTAAGGGCCTTCTCCGGCTGGCATAAAGCGGAGAAGAGGTGGCTCAAACACATGCAGCCTCCTCTTTTTCGGTACCCTGCCTCTTAAAATCCATTACTTTCCTCTATTTAATGGGCCGACGCACTTTTAGTCCCATACCGGACGGTGGGGGTCGGGTGTTGGTGTTGTGCAGTAGTAGTGCCACCATTTTTGGTAGTGCAGGGGTATATCAACTGATGTGTTAGCCTTGTGTCTTTCGGCTGCAGGGGCTTCCAGTGCTCTTCCTGCTTCCCTCTTATTAAATTCGTAGACTAAGGCTGCCCTGGAGGCCCCTACAGTCCCTTCGGCAGCGTGCACGCTCCTGCACATACAGGAGGCAAACCTAGCTACCAGCTAGAGCAGGAGTACCGACGGAAGCATTATCAACACCAATATGCCGTGTTTTGGTCGTGTGGTTAAGCAAGAGAAGTAGTAGCAGCAGCCATACACGCAACGGTCCCGGATGCAACAGCACCACCGCAACAATAAGAATCAGCAGCCCCCTTGCAGTGGAGGAATCAGCAAAACCCCGTAGCTCGAGACAAACACCACGCATAGCCGAGGGAGCAGGGGTTTGCAGTTTGCTCAAAGCGCGTCAGAGAACCAGTGCACCATGGCCTTTTCTGCAGCTGGTGCTACTGGTGAATCACCAAGAGAAGCAGCAACAGAAGCGTTGCCACCGGCTGCATCTGAAGGACGCGAGGCGAGGCAGCAACATGCTTATGATGTCTCCATCGTTGCAGCGGAGGCTGCCTCTGCTGCCAGCAAGCTCTTTGAAGGCCATTTAAAGGAACGGGTGTCGCAAATGCTGTTGCTGTTGCAAGAAGATCCGCATCAGCAACCCAAGGAGAAAGAGCTGAATCGGCAGCCACATAAGTGGAACGCTCATACGAGGCCGCGGCAGAGCAAATCGACGAGGGGTAATGGGGCCTGTCGAACCCTGGAGGGGACCAGCTATAGCAGTAATAGCAGTTGTAGCAGCAGCAGTAGCAGTGACGAAAGAGACAAGACACAATGCAGCAAGTGCAAGGCACTGCAGCAGCGATTGAAACTAGAGCGGCTGAAGAGGCGCGCCGAAGACAGCGAAGCGAAGCAGTTGATTGCCCGCGTGGCCTCGCACGTAATGCGACTGAGGTATATTCTAGAGAGTAGCTCCGTCATTCCTCTGACTTTTCTGCACCTTTTGCACCTGTTGTCTTTTATGAAGGAGGCCTAGAAAGTTCTTTGTGCATGCGGTTGCTTCAGTGGGGAGGCACGGGAAGCTGCAACAGCCGCAGCCGCAGCTGCTGCTACGGCGGCATACGATAAGCAGCAGAAGCAGCTTCAGCAGGAGCACCAACTGCTGCATGAAGAACAGAGGCGCTATGCGGCTGTGAAGGAGCAGTTGGAGACCGTTCAAGCTCAGTTAGAGTCAACTCACCGGCAGGAAAAGCAGCTGCTGCTACAACACGCCACCACGCTGATAGAGCAGCTCTTGGGGAAGGTGGATCCCCTTTTGCAGCTGGCACTACTTAGAATGGAGCGCCTGGCATTGCGGCTGCAGCAGCTACAGCAGCAGCAAGAACGATGGCAGCAGCAGTGTCGGCTGTTGCATCCTCAGGGGCAGGTGCAAAGACTACCGCTGACTCACTACTCCCAAGCAACCTTAGGCCTGCTAGGGCTCAATCGTCAACTGCAGCAGCAGCAGCAGCACTGGCAGCAGCATTTGTGTGTGGGGGGTAGGGAGAGTGCAATCAGCGGCTCAGATGTGCAATGTGGAAACCAACGACTCGTCGATGAGGTTATAGGTTCTATGATCGCGGGCAGCCCGCAGCAGCAACAGCAGCAGCTGCCTTACCAACCTGCATCTCCTCATCTTTCTGGCGCTCCAGTAACTCTACCTACATCGTCTGCCCCCCCCTATGCTGCGGGCTGTTTCAGCGGCAGTCCTATCTTGACTCCTGCCGTTGCATTTGCTCGCGCTGCTGCTGCAGCTGAGGGCCTGTTTGATGTGTCCAGTGGAGTAGGTGTGCGCGACTGTTACAGCAGCTGTTGCAAAAGCTTGCCTGGAGGCTTGTCCCCGGTAACTCCCGGTGGCTCTAGAAAAAGAGGCTCCCTGTTGTCAAATGCGAGTGTAGGAAAAAACTTGTCAGGGCGGCACTGGCCTTTCACTTCAGCTCCCGTAGCTGACGCTCCTGTTGCTTCCGCAGCCTCAGGGCTTGCGATCCATCACGCTGCTCCCTCCTTTATTCCCCAGAACAGGCACGCCAGGACGTTAGAGCGCCTGTCGGCTCCCGCGCAGATTGCCACTCGCACATCTACGGGGGTTTGCCATGTGTCATCAGAAGCAGACACTCCGGAGGACGAGATTGCTGCAAAGGGGGGGGAAAAGGGGGAGGTTTTAGCGTTCCAGGCAACGCCAGCGGTGAATGGATCGTCGCCGCATACGGCAGTCGCGCAGCTGCCAGTGGCTAGGCCCCAAAAGGCTCAGACGTCGGGACTAAGCATTGCATTTCTTGGTGAACGGCTGCAGCCACAGAGAGTTCCCTCGTTGCATAAGCCCCCAGCTGCTCACCTCTATCCGCTTCCTATGAGTGGCATCCCTGGTGACTTGCAGCAGGAAAAGAGGGATGACTGCTGCTCCCCTTTTACGCAGGCAAATGCACCGCTTCTTACTTCGCCGCGCGTGCAGCAGTCTGTGCTGGAAAAATGGGCTAGAGAGCAGCAGGCACAGCGGCCAGTTCAAGGACTCTCGTTGGAGGCACCGGATTGGCTCGGGGACGTACAGAAGACGAATGCCTGTCATTCGGACAAGAAGGAGGACAAGGAATTAGAAATAGTTGCTAAAAAGCACGCAACCGACGCCCCTATGGGTGGAGACCAACGAATAAACGTGTTCCATAGGGTGGAAGTGACTCAGGAAGATAAGAGCTCCACGCAGCAGCAACTCATGCAGAGTTATGCCGGATCCATTTCTTCCGTGGACCTGCAAGGATTCAGCTCGTTGCGAATGCCGCTGCGGGAACTGCTGAACGACCAGGAGTCCTTGCTGGAGGCCCTGGATGCTGAGTACAGAGAGCCTCCAGTGGCCCCGCATACTACTGACTCTAAATATGCCCTTCCTTTAGAGGAGGAGGTCGAAAAGTATGAATCTGCAGGGGCAAGTGTTCAACTAGGGGGTGAGGACAGAGGAAATCACAGGGATGTAGAGGGCAACGGGTCTGTACCCATGCCTTGAGTACGCGGAAGAGAGTGTGCAGCTACCGTGTTGAAGGACTCATTCGCAGCGCTGTGAACCCCAGTTGCAGCTTTCAGCGCGAGCACCGTCGCCTGCTGGTGTATTGAGTTGCCAAAAACGGAAATTTTAAGGCATTCTGCGAAGTTGCATGCGCTCCGGGCCTTCTGGATCTCCCCGGACACATGTTGTTGAGGTGTGCGTTTGGGTGAAGAAACTACTTGACATGACCAATTCGAAACTTTTTCTCAAAGGAGTAAAGTGCTATTTCCCTGTGGTATCTGGTTGACAAAATTCTACCCTATCGCTCTGCTTACCACTTAAAGCCGACGGCCATGGTGGTGGTTGTCCGAGCATCGCGGCTCCTTGATACGTGTCCACTCGCTCCTTCGGATGTGTCAATGACAATGCATTGCCAGGCAAACCAACGAAGGCCAAGCCCTTCAGGGTCAACAACGTCAAAGTATCTTCGAGCCACGCGGCTACCGAACTGTGATCGCAATCAACCGACTAGCTATGCTACATTTTATATTTGCACTAAGACTATAGGGATGCTGCTTGCTGCCTTTGCGTAATGAGGAACAAGAGTGAAGCTATCAAAGAGCTTATTGAGGGGTAAATTAGCTGACTTAAGACGACTCTTTTTCTTGGTATAACTTGCGCTCCCCCTGTGGTCCTGCTCACTGTGTCCTTGCTAAACCAAGGCTTTTATTTCAGTGGACAGGTGCACTCTGGCAGTGTTTCTTCGACTCAGTACTCTAAACAGTGCACTAGGCCCAATCTCTGCTGCTCTTGTGGCCCTAGTAATCATTCTTGCAGTAAGTGCGCAGCATTGCGCTCTTCAGTAGTGAGCCGCTGCTGTGGAACATTCAGTCACCGGAGTTGTTTCAGTCCTCACAGACCAAAGTGAACCAGATATAAGTAATAGGTACTTTTTATCGAAGCGCTAATCAGGTGAGGTAGCCAAACAGACAAGCACTCTAGTGCATAATTATATGGATGAAGCGACCTAAATCAGCTGTAAGCTCTCCCTCAAGCTAAGCGCAGAACCAACTAAAACATCGTTTAAAACTTTCTTTCTGGATCAAGACTCTGTGTCGTCGAGACATTATCTTTTCTTTGTGCATGGACATTGCGCACATATCGAGAAGGACGAAGAATGCTGCTGGAGTAAACAGTATATTCTACGCTATAAGCCGCTCCGTGGTTTTCCAGCCTCAAGCGGTTACGAAGCCCTCTTCAACTCACCAAGCATTTTGCTTAGCACGACATCGATGATATTAACACCCAAACGATTCGATGCTGTGCCAATGCCCTAACCTTTGGGAAAGCCTATCAAAATTTAGGGCGAAGCCCCGCCTACTTTTGCAGTGTACGCTGCGGGTTTAGAGAGGCTAGTACCTTTACTAGGAACACATGTTCGGCGAAAGGTTCTTGCCTCGACTACGTGAGCTTCAGCTTCCTTTGTATTTGCCACCATCAAGATCACTACACGAAAGACTAAGAATAAACTACTTTTCATGATGCGAACCCTCTTTCCTTTGCACCACCTCACCAAGCCTGCAGTTTGCAGCGGCTGCGGATGTACCCCAAGGTTCCATTCCTCAGTTTGAACTTAATTTTACAGTGTTATGAAGATTATTCTTAGTCTACGTCAGTGAACTGTACACTTCGTAAAGGAATCAGCCAGCAGTAGATCGAGCAGCCAGGCCCTCGGGCACACAAAGAAGCTCGCGCAATTCACTAGCAACGAGCGACAAAAACAAAGTATTTTTAAAGTAGCCACGGGGAGTTGAAGGTCTCAAAATTTAGATTTTACACCTTTCTTCAGTAAGATCAACACGCAGAAAACCGATAAACGTTGGGGCTGTCAGTTCGCGCCGAGGTGACCCTCAGTAGTACTGGGTGTTCCAGTACAGCGTGTGTGGGGTTATAGGGTGGCCTCCTTCGGGAGTGCCATCTGTTAAAATTGGAACGATACAGAGAAGATTAGCATGGCCCCTGCGCAAGGATGACACGCACAAATCGAGAAGTGTAACCAATTTTTTTTTAAACTCCTGCGGCAAACCGAGGAGAACAGGTGATTCGGAGTCCTGAGGCCTAACATGGTCGTTTCAACGAAAAAGATGGGAAGCTACCAAATTTCGTGATAAGCCAGAATTGCATTGTTCACAAGAGGACATTTAATATAAGGATGATGAGTAGCGAACGGTTCAGGTGGGCGTGATGGCACAGCACGCATGGCCCTTCAGGGGTTCACATTGCGAAGCTCGCCGAAAACCACTTTATGTCGTCGGAAAGAGGCCAGTATTTGTTGCCAAGCGCACAACAGAACATACTTCAGTTACGGGAATAAGTGACAAGGATTCTAGATAGGCATAATAGTATGGCCCGCACGGCCCTTATTCGTTCTTATTGCCGAAGATGGGCGCAGGGGCAGGAAGAATGCCAGTCATGATGTACTCTCCAAGCTGAGCAGCTAAGTCCGCTAATGGGCGTATAGAAAGAGGATCCCCTCCATACTCTCTGTGTTGTAATGGGTTTTGGAACAATGGCTTCTCACTGCACAGGCCAGTGTAATTCTACGCCGGAGCAAGACTAGAATGTCCCATCTCTTCGCGTGCACTTGATGGAATAATGCAATCATGCCACGCGCAGCTCCCTTTTCTTGACTCGCTGGCTGGCCCCCATAAAGGAGAAGGGGAATCTTTACTGGGCTACCCTGAAGTCGCGCGAACTTTTTTGCGAGCACTGCTCCAGCACAGACTGCCCCTGGCACCCAGAGTTTAGCTAGATATTCTGGCCCTCGTAACCTGGCATTTCTTATGCAATTCTCCCTCCAGTACCTTCTTTGTATCAGTTTGTCTAGTGGGTTTGATCAAGCGGATAGAGTGGGTCGATGCTATTCTGACTTCCGCGAATGGAACTTCCCCTACCACGGCAACACGGCAGGCTGATGGCAAGGGCACTTGAGAGCTCAACGTTAGGACATGTGAATGTCTCGCCACTATTGCTCAGCCTTTCCAAGTATCAAAAACACTAGTCATTCGTGTCGTGGGGAATTCAAAGATATACAAAGTACAATTTTTCTTCGGTACGGGCCCACAAAAACACCGTATGGGTAATTTGTCTTATTGGTGGCCGAGAAGAGCAAATAGAACGGACAGATATGCATTTTTCTTTTCAACTCCGTGCAATAACGCGGTTTTACATGTGGCGGAAGAGTAGCTGCTCTACCTACCGAAACTGAAGTATGAGCAACAGCTCAAGACCGATTCGTTGATGCTTCTCCTGCACGCGTTGCTGCCGCAGTACCGGATCAGCAAACTTCTGCATGGCCACCACTGTAGCGGGATAAGCTACACTTTCACATTTTCTTCTACACTCGTTGTATTCTGTAAAGAGACACGTAACTACGAGCTCGACAAAACGGATATGGGTACCGTTAGCACGGTAAGGAGTAGTAGTAGTCTGCACTCAGTAGGAGATAGACGAACAGAAGAACCAAGTAGTGCTAGCCATTTCCATACTAATTTTCTATTAGGTAGAAATAGAAGAAGTAATGCTGTGACTTAGGTGCGATGGGCAGCTAGGTGTGAATGATCGGAGTGCTAGAAATGTGGAGCTACGCTTATCCTAGTTGTACCTCTCCCCTCATATTGGCACTCAAAGGAGCGCAGACAGGCCACCCTTTCGCTAGAGCTCTTTTGCTTAAACCACGGGAAAAAGCCTTTAAAAACAGACAATTCGTTGCCCTGCACCACCAGAATCTTACGGTCTACTGCTGGCGACTGATAGCAACTACTCATCCGAAAAAGATATAAACATAGCAAAATCGATCGTGGCTTCGAGGTCGTCCGGAAACTTCGGATGTGCGCTTCTCAGATCGATCAACGCAATATTTTGCATGGCACAGCAAGCACCGCTCTAACGGATCAATTAAGGTAGGGAAGGTGCGATCAAAGGCTGTCGTGCTTCTAATGGGCTGCAGAATGTTTTAAAATTGTGTTGCTACTAGCGGTACGTGCGGCTAGCCGCTTGGTGCCAGGCTCTGTACCCCACACGTCCCTGTGCATGTGAACGGCTGCTCCCGCCCGAAGACACTTAAGCAAGTCTCATATTCGGCGAAAGTGCACACAAAGCGATGCGTCTGTTGACATGTAAAGCTCCGAGTGCAAATGCTATTAAATATTGCATGTGCACTCATGATCACTAGCAAGCCTAGCCACACTGAGAATTCCCCACTGAGGCACGGTGCTACCGTGCTCAGCCCTATGCTTCTGTCGAATGTGCCTTCCTCATGTCTCACATATCAGAAAAGGCAGCCATCATGATAAATCTGCCTTTGGATTAATATATTAGAGCTCCCAGGAAGATAGGAGAACCAGCACTAGCGACACATGAGCGCAGTGGCACGAAGAGTGCGATCAGCAGCAAGAGAGCACGTGCACGAGCAGGCTCAACAAACGAGCGATTGACACGATGTGGGAACGGCCTCTACTGTAGTTATTTGAATATCAGGATCATGAACTAAGCAATTTATTTTGTCTTTCACTGCAGCGCATTAATGCAGCGTGCGAGGAATAGCAAAACCGAACACGCTACCTATACGCAGCACTACGCATGGATGCGACAAATTGCCTTCGGCGCTTCATTTGCAATAACTGTAGCTATACCATGCTAGCTCATTTAAACTAATTAGTGCTGGAAGAGACGAGGAATAGATTGAAGACGGGTTGGTGATAATGGGAAAAGCAGCAGTAGCAACTGCTGCAGCAGCAGCGGGCGGTGCCCCCGGTTGCACGGAGTGTTGCTCAGACAAGATTATACTGCGGAAGACACGGTATTGGCCACCTTTGAGTGTCTTTCAGACCATTTTGACATCGAAGTGAAGTGCTAGATCTACCCTTGTAACTTTCATACGAGCCAGAGTGTGAGCAGCTGAGGCTCCTGCCGAAACAGCAACCACCGAGCCCTCAAAATCTCTAGCCTATGGGATATCAGGTGTATTCTCGCCCCAAAGCCTTATCCGTCTCTTGCAAGTAATCTTCACGTCATCTCCTCTTGCTCAATCTGCTGCCTCTACACCCCTTGGTGCTGCACTGCCTGAGCAGTGACACTGCAGCCCGTGCCTGTTGGAACAGCCGTTGCTGCAGTGCCATGGCCGTAGAGCTCCCACCGTTGCTTCGGCGCAGCTGCATCAGCAAATGCAGTTGTGACGCGCTCAACATTAACGCATTTGCTACTGCTGCGGCACTAGAAACACCAGCAACGGCAGGAGTGACGAACAATGCCTGGGGCTGAATCGCTTGGTGCCACTTCTGTGTGCCACCGCAGCGGCAGAATTCGTAAGAGTAACACCAGCAGTAGGAATTGCAGTCATAGGGAAAGAGGTGACTGCCTCAGCTGCTGCAGACGTGCAGAAAGTCTGCCGATGGTGTCATCTTACTGCAGCAGTACATGCTGCCTGCATAACGCAGCAGCCACTTCTGCCGTCAGTCACAGTACAGATTATCACTGTTGCAGCGCCTCACAGAAGGCAGATCCACTCATCCGTCTGAATACCGCAAGCACAGCAGCAGATAGCAGCCACAGCACTTCACACGCGCACTCCGTCGGGGAGCCCAACAGTCCCCTAAGCTGCCAGTCTTCCGCAGTGGCAGCGGTGGCTACCGCAGCCTGCATAGAAGACTCCTTTGCTCTAGGTGAATCCAGAGTCTCTTTCTCGCCGACGGGCTACTCGAAGCGGAGCGCTCGCTCGAAGCCCGTTTCTCCGCAAACAGCAGCGACAGCAAAGGGTGATGAGTGGATAAGCAGGTGTAGGACTCCAAGACGGGGGGAAGCGAGTGACATTTGTCCTGCTGTTTCGCTTGTATGGACTCCCTCTTCTATTTCTGCTTCAGATGGCAGCAACAGCAACAGGAGTAACTACAGCAGCAGGGGCGACAGCTGCAGCTCGGAGTGCATGAGCAGATACAGCAGCAGCGCCATGAGAACTGCTCTCAGAAAGCGCGGCAGTTGCTGCTTTGTGTCTCCACCTGCGGGTGACACAGAGGATATGGATGGAGGAGCAGTCACAGCAGCAGCATTACCGCCCTCACCCCCAGCGGCTTACAGCAACGGCGAGAAGCAAAGATGCAGTTCTAGCATCCTCACGCATGGCTGCATGCAGACTGCTGCGTTCTCCGGCCAGCAGCATCAACAGAGGAATCGGCAGCCTTCTCTCGCTGCAGCAGAGGAGCAGCAACTTTTGCTGCCTATCCCAGCAAGGCGCGGTGCTGCCGTGCTACAGTTTGCAGAGTGGGGATGGCCTAGAGAGGTTTTATCTCATCAGGAACAGCAGCATGCAGGAGCTGTCGATGCAAAGGCCACTACAGATAGCCCCATGTCACCCTGTAGAGGCATTTCGAAGCATGTTTCTTTTGGGAGCCCCCTCGTCGTTCAGGTAAAACCCCTCAACAGGCACGAGGCAGGTGGCACTAGCAAAAGATGTTCACTTAGCTGCAGAGACAGCATGCAGAAGTAGGAATAGGAAGAATGCGAGCACCGTGTCTCGTTTTGAGGAGCAGTTCAAAACTCTTCTTTCGACCGTCGCGTCTGATAATGCAATTGCAGGACTCGCAGGAGCCCGTGGCTTTGGGCCCATGTATTTTTAGCTTTCGTTTCGTGGCAATGGCAGCAAAACAAAGCAGGGAGCATTAGCAAATAGCATGGCCTTGTTTTTGCGTCTTTAGGTGTATGAGTACTCTTCCCCCGACGGATCGGGGGGAGCAGGAAGTGCCGGGAGTCCCCCCGCCCTCCCCGAGTTCTCCAGCACTGTACAGCAGCAGCAACACCACAACCAGTGGCAGCCGCAGCAGAGTCATCCGAAGAGTGTGCCAGTAGTCCTGCCTTCGCCTCTTTTTGTAACTCCCGAAGATCGAACCGATATTCCTTTCACAGCCCACAACAAAGTTGAGCAACAGAGACAACCAGAACAGGATTCTTCGGCGATGGTGCCTTCAGGGTCCGCGCAATACTTGTTGCATCACTGCAGGTGGTCTCCCCGGATGCTTTCTGCTGCCAAGGAGTGTGATTCATTGTCCTTTTCGGCACTGCCTGAGCAGCAACAGAGGCAGCCACGACGACAGGCCTGCCAGTGGTCTCCTGGAGCAGGGGCCAGTGACAGCGATGGCTGCAGCGAGAACAGCATGTACCGTTCCCTTGAGGGAGGAGAGAGTCCATCAGGTGGTCGAACCTGCAGACATGCTGACAGGCCCTCCACGTGTGCTGGCGGTGTTTCTGTTACTGCTTTTGTCACATCTCCTGCGTCAACACCCCTTTCCTTTACGGAGAGGTCACTGGCTGCAGGAAGAGCCACAACGGCTGATGGTGCTGCGTCGAGGAAGGCTGCTGTGACAGGTGGAAGGGACCTAGCTGGGGCAGATTCAGAGGCAGCGATAGCTGCTGTCATGGAGACAGGTGTACGAGACGACATGCCAGATGAAGCCCTAGACAGCGAGGCATCAGCATCTACCTCCACTCAGAGCAACAAAACATTCATCAGCACCAACAATATTCTTCGGCAACAACAGGACTGTTTCCCTCCGGTGGCAGCAAGTTCCGCTGCTGCACTCGCTCCTGCAACAACTGCAGTAGCAGAGTAATCTTGAAGCAACTACGGAAAGGCGCGCACAGCGCCTCTGGGCCTTTCTTGGTTTTGTGTATCCTGTGTAATAGTACAGCGTGGAGCTATATGAATTTACGTATATATAAACGTACTGCGTGTATTTATAGATAGGTGGGCAGCTGCATGTAGTGCACGCACGCATCTGTTTGTATATCTATGTATAGATATGCAAATCTTCATGTAGAAGCACTTGCAGGGGCGTGTGTAAATGCATGCAGCATAATGCAATATGATTTGCGGTTTGCAGTGAGAATACAGGCAGATAAGAGTAGGCGCCGGCTCATGCACGCAGCTGTGCGTTTGTGTTTTTTGAGGGTTTGCTCTATTATGAAAGGGGTCCTACTCGACGAGGCATACGAATAGGTATGCATCGTTGAGTACAGTTGTGTGCAACTATGGACCTATGTACACATTTATCAGCGTACACTTTAATGATTCATTATCTGTACATACGGCTGTGGGGGGTACACATGTATACCCAGTTATATATACAGTTATATGCCTGTCCGTGGGTATCTGCATGCGGCAGTTAGCTCAAGACCTGGCTCGGTATACAAGAACGATGCTTGCATATGTATGGATGCATGTATTCATGTGTATACGCATACATACAAATGTACGTACATATATGTGTATGTCGGTATGCCGGCACATAGAAGAACCTTTTTATTGTTATCGCCAACTGCATGTACATTCAAAGCCGTATGCACCTGCCTTGCATAGTTTCACAGCTTGAAACAATATCCATACCTTCAGAAGATAATACAGAATCGTGCTGATAACACAACTATCCCGTACCGTGTGCATGCAGAGGCATCAATTGTTACCTCTTTAGAGGGCCCTCTGGTGGGGACGTGGAGGCAATCTCTCAAGAGCCCTTGCGAGACCCCGCAATGCACCGATTCGGCCCTTGGGGGCCCCTACGGGAGCATTTAGTCCAGTTAGTGTTTGCAAATATCTGTCCCAGGCATCTTCGTTTCTCTCGCTGCCTTTATTTTACGTGGATGTACACATCTGTACATACATGCATGAATTTTAAAAGTGCATGCGCATATATATATGCGGACGTAGTGTGTATGCGTATTCGCTTTTTATCAGCATATAAATATACATATATATATATATAGGCGTACATGCCCTTATGATATACCTCTTCCTGCATAGGCGTCAGCGACTAAAACGCCCCGAACGGCATTTTTGTTTTCCTGTCTCCCGCTTTGTGTCCTTCCGGCGTTGATGTCCTCTAGAAGCTTCCTTAGGCGTTTCTATGCAGCGCTTTAGGGTACTGGAGCCCCAGAAATCTCAAAGTTTTATCTAGGTAGCTGAACAGTGTTTACAGTTCGTTTGCCAGGCAGTAAACTATTTGTATTCCTGCGCCACCCTAGCAGCATTTAGAGGTACCCCAGGAACAGTCCTCCATTGCGAATACACCCAGGCGTAGAAACTCCTCAAATTTTTGACCACTCAGATTCTACTCGGTTCAACAAAAATAACCACAAGTGGCCTATTGGGGCTCCGCAGGAGCTGCTGAATACGGCTCTTCCGGGTGGACTTTTTGACCGTACTCCCTGAGCATGCAGTGTACTGCGGTGCATGAGCAGCAGGACCACAGCGAAACATTCAGGTCGCATTTTCCCTACGTTGCAACAGCAGCACAAATAACAGAAATCGCTATTCTCGCAGTCATTGATTCCCCATGTACAGTGAACTATCTTTCTTTCTCTAGGTCAAGTATGTGGCTCTTGCTCTCATGCCTCCCTATGCGGCATCTAGAGCTGCCGAAAGAAGCCTACAAACTGATGGGGCGACAGCGACAACATATACCCCCAATGCGCAACCGCGCTGAACAAAAGTGCGAGCAGAAGAAGCACTTAACTTAAGGACACCCGTGGCGCATTGACACAGTTTCCCTTCACATTGGGGAAATAAACCCAGAGCGCAGCTGATGTAACAGCTGCTGTAGCATTAAAGAGGAAATAACAGCATCTGTTGCCAGAACCACTAGCCTAAGCCGCCGCAGTCTTGTAAGCAAGTGCAGGGGTGGCTTGATCCCGTGCAGCCGGGCCGGCTGCAGGAGACCAGGGCAGCTACCGCTGCTGCTTTTGCGGCTGCATTTGCAGCACTTGCTGTTGCCAGTTTAACGGCCCAAACGAACTATGCTGTTGTTCCTGTGGGAAGTGGGTGTGTTGTTGCAGGGAGTGCTGCACGGGCTGCATAGGTGGACCATAGAGCCCCAAAGTATCTAGACAGTACATGGGGGGACTATGCTGCTGCTGCTGTTGCAAGGGGTACATGCTGCCCATAGGCGTGTGATGTAACGGACTATAAGCTTGCATGGTGGGTGGCCTAGTTGCGACAGCAGCAGCAGCCACAGCGCCAGCATCGGCAGTCGTTGGCCCGTGAGAAGGGCTGCTCGCTGCTGCTGGTGGCGTGGAGACAGCAGCAACTGCAGTGGCAGCAGCAACGGTGGGTCCGTGGGCAGCAGCAGCGACAAGTTCTCTGAAGCTTTTGTCGATGCTCGTTTTGATGTCTCGGAATGGCAGCAGCAAAACTGACGCCCCATCTCTGCTCATTAGAACTGCTGTCTCCGCTGTTCCCAAGTCGCACTTGAAGACTGAATCCCACACGTGCGCGATGTCGAGGATGGGCTCCCCTTCTGCGCCTTGCTGGAAGAAGAGATAGTCCCTGAATAGTCTGGCTATGTATCTGTCTCCCACTTCGCTCCAATTGCTCTCAGCTCCCAGCTGTCCTCTCTCCACCACGAAGCAAAGTTTGCAGAGCAGCAGAAAGGCCCGGCTCCGAGACATTTCAGCAAACAAGAGGGACTCGTAGCGATCCCCTACTGATACCTCCTCCTCAAGAAGGGGCAACGCCTGAGCGGCATAGGCCTCCAGCAAAGACGATGCGCTGTACGAAAGAGATCTGCGGGACGCTCCAGAGAGTAGCGAGCAGCAGAAAGACTTGAATTCGCTGCTGTAGGAACGGTCGGACATCAACATACGCAACCCGCTGGGCACGTCGCAGTCCTGTGAACACACATGTGCAGGATCATGAGGACAAGGCAAATCAAAGAGGCCGCCTATAGCCGTCATCCCCTCTCAGACACGTTAGGCATAAAGTGAACAACACTCAAAGAGCACGATCGAAGCATTCGAACATCGGCCGGGGCCCACGGATGTGCCTTCAGGCAGACGAGGAAGCACAGCGCGTCAGGAGGCATATTGGCACACGTTTACCGACTACTGAATATGGGAGGAGGGGGAGGCGGCAGAGAGAAACAGAAGGAGGCTCTGTCGTAGTTTACTCTGACCCTCCAAGTTTCCCCTTCTCTGCGTTCCTCCCCATTTCTCTAGCACATCCAAAAATGATCGTAACACTATTCGATCCCCTTGACTCTACATGGGACCCCGAATTTCGCGTCACTCACTGAGTTGCCGAATGTGAGGGCGAGGAGGAGCTTGCCCAAGAGCAATAAGTCCTTTTGCTGCCTTTCTTCAAGTGTCTCGCCTTCCGATGATGGCGCTGGAGCCGCTGCCGTGGTGTTACGGGATAGCCTACCTGTTGCTGCGGCTGCGGCTGCTGCAGCTGCCGCGCGCAGTTGCTGCGGCTGTTGTTGCTGTTGCTGTCCGTGAAGTGTTGCGTCTCTGATACCGCACGCCCCCAGCCGCACTCGTAGGCGGTGGGTAACCAGGACCTTGGAAGGATACAGAGCTCCATAAGCCAGTCTACAAACCCCAGAACGCGCACAGGATTTCGCAAGCATGTGCTTGCAAATCCATACATTACCATGGGTGAACAAGAAAAAAAAGCAGAAGTGGACATATTGGTGAAGCTGAAAATACGAATAAAAAGGGGCATAGATGCACAGACTTGCAGAACGCACCCGCATTTACAATGGCAGCTCTACAAGCCCAGGGATACGCGCAAGTGTTTCCTTGTGCTCATATGCGCATATACACGTGTAGATGCGTGAGGAGGTGGCGGCTAGTGATTCCGGTGAACACTCTATATCTACGGCCTAAGACAATTGGGTGTCTCGGCGTAGGCTCGCATGTGCGAGCATGTGGATACATTCGTGTGTGCCCACAGATGTACAGAGGCGCACGCTCACTGGTTGTTGTGGATATGCTGCAGGGCCATGAGGATTTGCAGCGCGACGCTCCAAAGCACCTTTTCACTGGGTGTTTCCCTCCCTTCCTCCGTTCCAACGAAGCGCTCCTCCAGTGTATACGCGTTGGGGTAATAGTCAAAAACAAACACCACGCTGCTTCTACTACTGCCACCACGCGGTGGTCCTCCGAGCAAAGTGCCCCCCCGCCCCTCCTCCTCACTCTCGGAGGTGGATTCCCCTACGTGTGACTCCCGCTGATTCAGAGGCGCCTCCCAGCCCCCTCCTGCGGCCAAACCGGCAAGGCTCGATGAGGCCCCCCATGGACCCCTGCTGGAGAGCGACGTTTCTGAGAGAGTAGAAAGGCAGGCTGCTAAGTCCGCAGTTGCGAACGCCTGCCGCAAGGGGACGATATTGGGATGGGTGGAGGAGACAGGAGCCCAGCGCTTTACAGCGGCCTGAGAGGCAACGCCATACCACAAGGACCAAGTTCCTGCCGCGGAAGTGGCAGGAGTAAGAAACACCCCGCAAGACAGCGGAAAGGCTATGATGTACCGGTGAGTAGTGCACACATCCAGGAGTGGCCTTAGCAGCTACGGCAGCAGAGGCGTCAGTCTGACCTTGACGAGGTCGAACGAAGAGATGGGGAAGAGCGCTATGAGCCGCAAGACGTAGGCGTGGGGATCGTCTAGACACAAGGCCTTGAAGCAAACTGTAGGATACCCGCACGTCATAGACGCACTTGGCAGCAGCAGCTGCTGCTGCTGCTCTTGCTGCAGCAGCAGACGCTGCCGATCCAAGCTCTCGGGCGAATCCAGCAGCAGCAAAGAATGATATCGACCCTGCACTACCTCGGGAACCCCAAAGCCAACAACACCCTCCCGTGGCGGCTGCTGCTGGTGATGACGCCACCGCTGCTGCTGCTGCTGCTCGTACCGACGCGCGTCATCCTGGCACAACTGCAGCAGGAGTCGCTGCACATGCGCCTCTCGCCTGAGCTCCGCATTCGGCGTAAAGGGCCCCCTAAGTGCACCAACTTCCACGGGTGCAGACGGAGGGAAGCGGGGGACAGGGGGAGGCATCAGCACGGGACTGACGACTGGAGGCGCAAGTGACGCTGTAGGAGGGCTCCCGCATGCGGATGGAAGCTCCTCTCCGAGAAAGCCTTCGCTATCGCTGTTGTTAGCAGCTCCCAATGCAGCAGCTGAGAGGCCCCCCACATCCGCCGGAACCCCCGGCAGCAAGAGGCCACGCGGAGAGCATTCGTGCTGCTTTTGCATAGTGGACTGTTCTTGCTGCTGGTGTGCCCGCTGCAGCTCCTGCGAGCCCTCTTGTTGCGCCTGTCCCAACTGCTGCTGCTGCGGCTGTTCATCTCGGTGCCACTGCTGCCCATGTTGGTGATTCTGCGCCTTCTGAGGCAGCAGCGGCTGCTGCAGCTGATCTCCATGCCGCTGAGTGTCACAAGTCAACGACCCACCTGACAGAGCTGCTGCTTGTGATGCAGCAGCCGCCGGTGCGGATGTCGTGGCAGCAGAACCTCCTGCCGATGCTGTACTACTTGGCGCTGCTGCTGTTGCCGCAGTGCGTTTGTTTCCTCTGCCACGAAGACGTCTTTCTCCTGATTGCGGCGTACGCGCACCTAATAAAACAGTGGATGAACCCGAAACCGAATCTCACAAACCATAATGTCTGTAGGAATACGCACCAGCTGCCTGTCCTTTCTTGCCCCCCTTTAGTGGCTGAAAGTGTGTGAGTGTGTGAAAGTGTGTGTGAAAGTGTGTGTGAAAGTGTGTGTGTATGTGTGAAAGTGTGTGTGTATGTGTGAAAGTGTGTGAAAGTGTGTGTGAAAGTGTGTGAATGACACGGCAAGGGGGGCAGAGGGCTCAGAGTTTGTGCATAGTCGATATGCCTCTTTCGTTCTACTGGGAGGAGAAAGTGTGTGACAGGCAGAGAGAGAGAGAAAAAAAACCAAAACGAATAGAAAGTAAACCATGCATGAGGGTGCACACGATCTGTCCGTGAAGAGACGAGGGCCTTACCACTAGGATGCGACGCCGGGAAGGCTCCCTGAGAGGCTGCGCCACTACTGCGCTGCTGCTCCTGCAGTGGCGGGGACTGTTGCGAGGGAAGAGGCAACTGCCCCAATCCTCTGCGGCCAGATTGAACATTGGCAGGCGAACTGGTAGAAGACTGATGCTCACCTGAAGCCAAGACCAACCCGACGTTGTGCGGAGATCGCTGGGGTTGCTGCTGCTTTTGCTGTTGTTGCTGCTGCTGCGATGCAGACACCGCAGTTCTCCTACGCCCCAAATTACCGTTTCCGCCGCTGCTGCTGCTGTTGTTGCCTGGTCGGTTCCCTGAAGCAGCAGATCGTCCCGCTGACCCTCGTGTACCGTCGCCCCCACAGCGCCGCATGGCAGCAGCTGCAGCAGGCTGCTGCTTCTGAAGGTGCTGGTACTGCAGGTGAGTGCGTGGACTATCGCTGTATGGCGCACAACAGTATGATCGGCTGCGTTCGTTGACGCTGCCGCTACTGCTGTTGAAGCCGCTGCTGCTGCGCTCTGCCCAACCCAGCTCGCTGTGGCTCCATACAGCTGCAGTAGATAATGGATCTCTGCCTGTCTTTAGGTCCTTTTGCAGTGTCTACGAGGGACCCCCGGACTGATGGACCTTCGCAGAGAGCCGACAAAAGACGGAGGTGGCTGTAAAGTGCCTGTTTTGGGGGGATACCCCAAAAGCCGTTCCTAAATAGGCCCCTTGGGGGCCACATGCGGAAACTACGGAGGATTGCAGAGACAGAGCGAGAAAATGGAGACGACGAGACACGGGCGGCCGGGAAAATCCGTTGTCAGTCTCCTGGAAGCAGCAGCACAGGAATCTCTGGGATGCCTGTTTGGGGCACAAATGCCCCTCAGTAGGAACATAAGCCCGTGGTAAAAGCACTCAAGTCACGAATAGCCACTCTATTGGGCAGAAAGTAGTGCAAGGAGCCTTGGCACCCAACGGACCGTTTTGACGAGGGGCCCCTCGCGACAATAGAGCCGCAACGGTAGTGAGCCCAAGCAAGACAGGGGCCCCCAAGCTGCTATGTTCCCCGTTTGTTGGGGGTTTAGCTAGGAATTACAAAGAAAGTTTACGAGCAATAATTCTGACCTCATTCCTAAAGAGGAACGCTCTGCAGTGAAAAAAACGGCGAAAAACTACTTCCGCCGGTGTGTGCATAGCTGCGGTCACACCAGGTTGCGCATTTCTAGGCGTACATGCATCCCTAAGTAACTGCAATCCAGTCTTCGCAGGTGCTGTGGTCACAGATAAGAATTACACCAAGCAGAAATACTGTATTGGGGGGCGGCATCGCCCACCGTAGCACTACTGCTGTCAGGGCTGCTGCTACTAATGCTTGTCCTGCTATTACTGGCACTGGACGCACTATTGCCGTTTGTGGCATTGGTGAACCTTGCACTCCATATCAGATACAACGACATGTCAGAGATGCCTGCTCCAGGTGCCCAGCTACGTTATCTGTGCTTCCATCATTGTGTTCTGTGTTGGCACTATCTGTACAAACATATCCTGTGTTGCCCGAGTACTATGCGGTGTGCAGATTGATGCACATTCATACAACTGTAATATATTCATACACAGGGAGAGAGAACAGTTAGTTGAGCTTTCGCTGGCAGGCTTTATGCTTTTGTCTGTACTACTCAAGGGATACAGCTAGTTACATGGAACAGCAGTTTTAGCAGCCCGACCTTCACCACTGATGATTGAAGCTATGTACGTAGGTTGTTCGCAAAGAAACCGACTCTTGAAAACAGTTCTGCAGCCCTGTGTTCGGTCCGGCACCTTGCCACATCAATATGATGTTGCATAGGGACAATAAAAGTGCATGTGCATCTAGAATGCGCACAGTGAACATGAGGGTGATGCAGCTGGCCACTAAACTAGATGGCTTTGACCTGCAATGTACTTCTCTATGCCTGAAAAATTGTCTGGTTTTCAAATGCCTCAGCAAATTGCTTTGCAAAGAATAAGTGAAAGACGAGATGGGCTTGTTTCCTTAACGGTATCGCTGCAGTGTCACATGACCTTCAACAGACTAAAGAGGTAGCCAACACGCAAGAAAGGATTCGGCTGTACAGGCGAGCAGGCAGCGCTTGCTGCAGCTAGCATACTAGCTGTACGAGGCTGAAAAGATGCAAACGAAGGAACGCAAGAAAACCACGAAGCAGAAAAACGCGTCAATGCATATGGTAAGAGAGTCTGCTGGTATATATGCGTAAATATATGCATGTTCATATGGTACGCAGGGTTGCTGGTTGTCCGTTATGTCATTTTTAGAAGATGAGGTGTGCATTCCACCGAAGAATACACAAAATAAGCAGATTTGTTCCTTGTTGTGTGTGTTATGCATTCATATAAGAGTATGGCTACATGCGTACAAAAAGCATAAAATAAAAATATATAATTCAGGATCTTAGAACAATCTGAGCGAGCTTCCGGATCTTCATCTGCTTGCCTTGTCCGAAAGGGCACCTCTAATCTTTTGAAGCATAAGGGATAATCACTGCACGTGTACCAGCCGGCTTTGCAATGCGCCTTTTACTGTTCGACCTGTAATCTGTCCTTCTTCGCGCTTAACCTTTTATCTGGTCCCTGTTCCCTTCAGTATGTGCATGCATTGCCTAGCGCCTCCCAAAGGCTATCATCGAAAAAGGGAGTGGCTTCAAGATTGAAACCGCATGCCTTACGTTGCATGGGAACAAAACCAGCGTACATATTCACCCAATGCAAAATAACACGTTTTGTGCTTTATGACAAGCGATTCCCAACTCGGGTGGACTGCGTTGTATGGAAATTCTGTAGGTTTTATGTGAGGCAGATGAGATGCTCTATATCTACTTCTACCCGGTAATTTCTCCTCTTATTGCAGTGAGGAGTATACAGGTGCTTCGTATTAGGCAACAGGCAACATCTCGAACTAATACACATCGTTTTTTTGTCCATAATTCCCATTGTTTGCTAATTTATAATCTGCATCATGCTGCGAGGGTACTAAACATAAAGGAAGAATAGATAATGTATTTATGCAATGAATTGGCTTGACTTAGCGTTTTTAGCTTATGAAGCCTCACCAAAACAGGTTCTGCATAGATATTATGCCTGGCCGCTTTACTCTGTCGAGGCTTTTTAATTCCATACAATACAAAATGAATCTTCCAGTGGAATTGCGGTGCGAGCATAAAACATCTGTTTTTAAAAACGGAAGCTGGGGTTTGAGGTAGCCACTCTCTAGGAATAAAGAGGAAGATATAATGCACAGAACGCAAGAATAAAACTTTTTGTCAGATCTTAATAGTGTATGCACTTTCGGAAGGCGCTGGAATGCATCAATACATGCGTTTTGCAAGTAAGTTGCTTGCTTGTGGAACTCTCCCGTACATTGGTCCAGGCAGTGCATCCGATGGCAGAGGCAGGATTTCATTCTGCATTTTCATGTGCGCCTTATTAATGAGGTAATGTGAATGCATCATATACACAGTACGTTTCTAGGACTGCTACCTGAAGCAGAGCGGCAGACAGGTGGAGTAGGAGAAGCTCCCTCTACTGCTGGAATGCTGGTGAAGACACTGGGCGGGGTGCGAATTTTCACTGAGGTCCCGGGTTCGTTTACATTGCTAGGATTCTGCAATGCATCGTAAGCAAAATCCTCGCTGTCCTTTTACAAGGTTTTATGGACTGTGCTGAAACCAAAGTTGCGGTCATGTCTGTATGCCTTCCTTTGCATGTGTAAGCAACGTAACACCACTTATTTTACACTCATTTATCTTGCGTAGTTCATTCTGAATAACTGGTTTGGGGCTAAATAAAAGACAGACTCTTAATTTCTTGAGAAAGATGAGGCGACTGGAGAGTAAAGTGCAAAGAAATCAATCGATTAGAATAACTAGCAGAAATACAGAGCAGAGAGCTTCGTGAGCTGCTCTTTGCGATGTGAGTTTATATACTTCTTTGAAACTAACTAAAGACAACACACTGAAAGGAATGGAAGTTGTGGACACTCTCGGTGGCTTTGTTTGGAATTTATACATTCCTGTGGCCACCCTTGGGTGCTTAGTGCCGCGAGGTAGCTGCATCCAGACTAGCTCAACCCAACCCCAGCAAAGAATTTGCCTTGGTATATCATTGGCATCACAGTTCGCAAGGCAACCGAAGAGCCCAGAGAAACGGCCGCTCACCATTATATCTTGGCAGACAGAAGACCGTCAAGCTGCGGGAAGCTACAACTCTATTATAGATATTACTTAAGAGGCCACCCAGCAGTATGGAAAACGTCACAACAATCTTGTCTAAGGTAGTGACTCACAAGGGGAGCAGATTTACGGGGAGGCGAGCCATTTGAACACATTGAATGGTGCTGTGTGCTGATTGTGTTGTATAGCAATCTCTAGACATCAAGCTAAAACATGTGAAACTGGGATGCTCGATATAGTGAGCACAATATTCCTGGACCTATGCACAGTTAAGTTCCTCAGTGGGGAGCATGTATAACAAAAACAAATGCTGTGACCTTCAACACAAGGGCGTCGAGCAGAAGTCGCGCAGTGGTGGTTGTCCTTGATTGCCATCAAAGGCGGATTTTTGAAATAGATTTTCCACTTTAATGAAGCCTGTTAGCGTGTTCTCGGCTTGTCCCCGTCAATGCGAATAGTTCATATGCGTATCTGAAGGTGGCTACTCCTGATCAGCCTTCATTACGGCAGACCACGGACTCCTCTAGCAAGCTAGGGGGATTGGGCGACTCTGTATGCTTGATGAATTCAGTATGAGGTTTACAGGCTCCAAGTTTTCTCACTCACACATGGTGCGGGGTCATGAAATAGAACGGCCTTTTGTGCTGCACGGTGCTACTTGGACGAATTTCGATGCAGCCCCGGAGGATTTGGGCGCAGTTGAATTCCTCGTTTAGCTAGCATATGCAAGTGCAGCAAGGGGATTTTCTTTGCATTGTGGTCTGTGCTTGGCCTAATTTCCTGCAAATTGCTTTCTTCCCAACGAATAATATGTCTGTTCAACTTGTCATACCTTGGTCTATGACACATGGTTTAGTACCGTTTCCAGGCTATGGGATAGCCTGCACACATAACTGTGGCAAATCTTGACGAGCTCATAAGCCAGCCTCCTCTTTGCTTTGCACACGATGCAGTATCGACAGGCGACGGGCGCAACATCTTTTACCCAACACATATTCTGCGCTAATGAACTCGTCATCGCTGGCGTGCAGTAAATTGTACCGCTATGGCGTAAGGCCCCCTTAATGTTGAGGTGGGAGAATCTGCAGGACCGCCTGTACGTAATAGCGGCCTTTAGGCTTACGTCTCAAACGGTCTACACGCCAGGGGGGAGGGAATACATGAAGATGAGGGCTGCAAACTGGAGCTGGCCATTTGACTCCTTTTGTAATGCTTTTTCAAAGGCCTCCATAGGAAAACACTTGATACCTCACTCAATATGATCTTATTGCAAAGCATTTGAATGCTCTTTACGCATATCTCCTTTCGTTACCCGCGCCTCTGAGTTCCCTAGATGAGGGGAGAGGTACAGCTGGGGTGCGCGTTGCTACACCGTGTAAGGATTCCGACCCTTCACAGCAAATGTTAGATAGGGTGAAGCGTAAAACGATGAATCTAGCTGCATCGAGCCAGCAGCATTCTACAATAAATAATGCTAAACAATTAGTCAATTCCCTCCTAATTCATACTTTAAAATAGCTATCTCAATAGAAAGCATCCAAGTACAGCTGTGCCTACTACAGCTTCCCCTTCCTACTTCAACACTTCGCAACCCACGCCCTCATTTCCATATCGCTGCATCGAGACCACTTGCATACAGGACAATAAAATAAAATAATTGCCGCTCTATCGCTACCCTGCAGTCGAGCAGAAACGCGAAAAGTATGCAATCGACAAAATATGTGCTCGAGAAGGACAATTGACAAGGAAGGCGAGGAATGTGTTCATGCTGATAAGCATCGTTAACCAAACAAAATCACAATTTCTCCGAAAGGCAACAAAGCCCGCGCGTGCTCCCTCTTTAACCAATTCGATTCGCCCCCACTACCCTGTTTTACTAGAAGTTTCGTTTGATATGTCTCCAGCGCTCAAAGAATTTCCCTGAATCCAGCGCTTTCAGGGCTCTGTGGCACCTCGGCCTCGGAACTGAATGCTTGCATGCGGGCCAGAGTCCACGAAAACTTCGAAGAGCATTTTTTGAAACGTCTCCAAGAAGCCAAAAATGGACAGCTCCATTTTACTTCCAGCCGCTACGAAAACCGATAGAGAGCACTGATTTGTGAGAGTATGACAAATGATCACAGACACCTGACCGCGAACCTTCAAAGGCGGGCCAGGTCAGAGAAGGAAGACTTACGATCCACTAGGACCAAATCCCCCGGCTCGAAGAACGCGCGACCACAGCATATCAT